ATCTAGCGATTTAGCCAAACATTTATTGAGCCCCGACTAAGTGTCCGTCATTGAGCTACTGAGATCAACAGTTTCTCTCAAGGCAGACGTGCCCCAAAGAGCCACGGGTCCACGGCTGCTCTGCTTGGGCAGAAAGTAAGCCATGTGCCTCAAAGTGTTCTCACCAGGCTGGGAACTCCTAGCCTTCTGCCTTGTCCCTCATCTTCTTGGGCTTGCAGGGAGTGTCTGCTCAGTTCCCAGGCTGATCGCCTTCTGCCCCACAGAGGTGTCCCCCTTTCGGCTGGCCTGTGAGTGCTTCATCCCTTTCACAGGGTGGGGGATGGCTCCGTGGCTCCTGGATCCAACTTTCCTCAGGACTGTTTGTGCCAGGCACTGGCGCTGTGCCAGGAGCCTACTTGGCAGAAAGACTGGGTGTGAAGAAGCAGCTGAGGTAGGAAGCGAGGTCCTCTGTAGCGGTCTAATCGATGTCCGTGTCTCCTCCTTGCAACTGACCATGAGCTCCTGGAAGGCCATGAACCTCACTTCCTTTCCAGCCCGGGAGAACACAGGTAGCCCACAATAATTATTTACTGCACCGGACTGTTTGGTGAACAACCATCTCCCTCTCTCAAGCTCAGGACACGATGAGGATCACGTTCAATGTACCTTTTTGACAGATGAGAACAGTGAGGCTCAAAGGGGATGCCATCAATCTTTATGGACTTTGGGGGAGGTTTCCTGTGGGTCTCTGGGGCTTCCCTCACGAAAGCAAGTCTCCCTGGGGCTCACCACATCACACTCAGATTTGGGGGTAAAATTTGGAAAGAGCTTGGCACTCAGCCACTGACCTGCTGTCTGACCTTGGAGGAAATACATGCTCTTGCCTAGAAAGGTCCTTCTGGCCGGTAAGTTGCACATCATCACCCACGTGGTGCCATGGGGAAAACTGGATGGTTTCTCCACTTGGGCTCCCTCACTCCTCCTACAAAGATCTGCCTGAAATCTGCTCCCACCCCCCGGCCCTTTTGTGACTCTTCCACTTGAGTTGTCATCCCCCATGGTTGTAGGTTTATCCAACACACAGTTGGGAGCCAAAGCCTAACTCCTCCTGGGAGCCTTCCTTGGTTTCTCTCGATCCTTCAGTTGGCTTGACAATTCAATTCACCTGTATCTATCTGATGGTATCTACCACATTCTTCTTGTGTTATCTTTATGTGATTGCAAGGGGTTCCCTATGACATGGCAGCATCTTATGTCTCCCATACAGGCTCCTTTCCCCGCCCCAAGCTGCTGACCACAATACAAACGTGTGTGTGCCCGGGAAGCAGGACCAGTTACACATTTGTCTCCACTCCATAGTGGCAGACCCTCTTCCCCCAACTTTGAACAAGGGTTAGCACATTGGAGGAGTTATAGGAGTTAAAGAAATTCATTTAAATTATTAATGGTTTGAGCATCTGTTTTATTCTAGGCTTTACGCTGGGTATGGGGTTAGATCTAATCATGACAATACCACGTGATGTGTCCTACAATATGGGCTGGAAGGGGTGGCTTCCCCGGCGGCTCATTGGTAAAGAATCTGCCTGCCAGTGAAGGAGACACGGGTTCGATCCCTGATCCAGGAAGACCCCACGTGCCACAGGGCAACAAATTCTGAGGGCCACAACTATTGAGCCTGTACTCTAGAGCCCGGGAACTGCAGCTACTGAAGCCCACACACCCTAGAGCTCATGCTCAGCAACAAGAGATGCCATCGCAATGTAAAGCCTCTGCACCACAACTAGGGAGTAGCCCCCACTTGCTGCAACTAGAGAAGAAGCCTGTGCAGCAAAGAAGAATGAGCATAGCCAAAAATAGATAAATAAAATGATTTTTTAAAATATGGGTGCAGGGCAGAGCTTTGAGCTTCACCTAAAAGGACAGAGAGTGTGTGAACATGCAGAAAGGGGGCTTGGGGAAGAGAAGAACCTGGGAAGAGACAGCGTGGATAAGACTTTGAACTGGGCCAGCTTGTCTAGAACCTGGGTCCAGGCACCAGAAAGAGGGTGCTCACCCCAGACAGAATTTGAGGCTGGAGAGGTTGGCAAAGATCTGCTCGGAATCCTTTAGAGGCTAACATTTGAATTATCACGCTCAGCTCCGAAGACAGGAATCAGACAACCCCAGGTTCCAGCCCCACCTCCATCACTGAACAGCTTAGTGATCTCAGGAAAGTTATTTTACTTTCTGAAAGTTATTCAGAATCTCCTTTTTCTCATCTGAAAAATAGAGATAACAGGCCTTCCATAAGTGGTGGCATTTAGAACAGTGCTGCACATGGCTCAGGGGAGGCATGTGAGCTGCAAAATACTAGCAGAAAGAAAATCCCCAAAGGAGGGGTATATGCATACATATAGCTGATGCACTGCTGTGCCACAGAAACGAACACAGCATGTAAAGCAACTATACTCCAATAAAAATTAATAAGAAATGAAAATACTAAGGGATGCCCCAAACCCTCAGTAATGAAATTTTATATTTAAGGGAAGGGGGTGCCAAAAGGATAACAAGAGTCAGACACGACTTAGTGACTAAATAACAAAAAGCAAAAAACCCACCAAGATACATAACATTTTAATGCAATATTTTTAAAATGTCATACATACACGTCAAAAAAATAATCCACGATGAACAAAATAGCAAAAAATGTAAATAAAGGCCAGCGCAAAGGAGGTAGCTCAAAACACGTCAAGGATGATTGGTCTAGGAGTTCTCAGTCTTCAAGAGCCCTGGACTTTTGAAAACCCGAGAACGGGTGGCCCCTCTCCCCCAGAAGAATGTACAAACAGGTACAGTTTGTGCAGATTTGGGTGGTGTTCCTGCACGCCTGGGACTCGGCCAGGTGGAGGTTAAGAACTCAAGTCCAACGTGGCCATGAGAGGGTGGGTCCACGTGCCATCCAGCCGCCTGCGGGCACCGCAGTACCAAGCCGAGCCTCCGTCCTGGCAGCCTCGGGCGCTCTGCCCCCTGCAGGAAGCCTCGCAAAGGCTTGCTGCTGCTTTTTCTAACTTGCTTGGCTCGCCCTCCGCTCCCTCCTCCCCCCATCACCCCCCTCTTCGGCTTGGGACTTTTCCTAAAGTTGCTGAAACCAGACACCTTGCTCGACCGAGCCCGCGTGCAGCCACGGTTTAAAAGGCTGCCTTCAGCGCCCCCTCCCCGCCCCCAGCGGAGACTTCAAAAGGCCCGGCGGGCGCCGCGGCCCCTGCACCTATGAACCGCCCCCCGCGCCCGGAGCCGGTGCTGGAGTCCGAGGACGCAGAGCGGCTGAAGCTCGAGCGCAGGCGGACCCGGCGGGTGGCTCAGCCCAGCGCGCCCATGCCCCTCCCGGTGCCGCTGCGCTCCGAGCGCCCGCGCCCAGTTTAGGGAAGGGGACCCCGCACCCCCGCCCCCGCGCCCGCGCCCGGGGCTGCGGGGACCCATGAATACAAATGCCGTTAGGCGCCCGAGGAAGGACCGACCGTCCAGCCTCGCACCTAGGGATCCAGTAAGTGCCCCGGGGTTCCTGGAGCGCTGGGGATACGGGTGTGTGTGTGTGTGCGTAAAGAGACGCGCGGGTGGGGTGGGGGTGCACGTGCGAGGAGTGAGTGTGTGCCCTCCGCGTGCAATGGGCACTAGCGGAAAGCTCTGTGCAGGTGGGGGTAGGGCGCGAGTGTGTGTGCACTTGGGCTGTACGTTGAGTGTGTGCGCACGTGAAGGTATGTATGAGAAGTATGCACGCGGGTGTGTACGTTGGGAGGGTCTGACGAGGCTAGTGTGCATTTACGCGCATGTAAGCACTGATGTGCATGCATCTGCGTGGGTAGAGTCTGGGTGTGCGCTTGATTCCAGACACCCCAGGGTGGGTTCGTGTGAGCCCAGAAGGAATGCGTGGCTGCGCTTGCGTGTGAGTGAGTGTGTGTCTGAACTTGGAGCAAGTGTAGAGATGTGTGGGAATGTAAACAAGCCTTTGGAGGTGGAGGCGGAGGGGCTTCTGATGCCAGGGTTCGGACTGGACCTGGGAGTGTGCGAATTTGCCAGGTGTTCGTGGCTTCAAGGTGTGCAGGCCTGCGCTCCGGCGGCGGGGGGTGGGGGTGGTCTGAGTGAGACTGGTCTACGCTGAGGTGGGGAGGTAGGTTCAACTCCCGGTTCTTACCGCGTACAGAGGACAGAGAGATCTCCCGCACTGTAGGCAGACGCTTTACGGCCTGAGCCACCAGGCAAGATTGGGGAGAGAGAGGTGACCAGCATTAACAAACCCACCCACTACGTGCCCAGGGAAGTCCGTTCTCCAGGATGCTGTGAATCTGAGACGAAAATAGGTGTGTGTGTGTGTGTGTGTGTGTGTGTGTGGTGTGGTGTGGTGGGACACTAGTTGCTCTTTTCATGGGAGTCAAGACACCGAGCCCTGGTCCCAGATTTATCCCTGGAACTCCTTGGAACTTCGGGTTCCTTTCAGCAGTAGTAGGTCCCCTTACCTCCTCTATCTTTGCCCCCAACTCAGGGACTCCCGGTCTCACAAAGAGGTCCCGAATCTCCGAACTGTGACCACCCTGCTGTACAGTCTTGGCGACCTTCTCCTCCCTGTGAATCTGTTTCCCCATCTTTCCAAGGGGGCTGGGGGGTGGGGTGCCCCCGCGGGACAGTCGTGGGCGCGCGGAGGCTGTGTCCCCGGCTGTGGCCGGCAGGGGGCAGCAGGGGGCAGCAGAGGGCGGCCCGGCGCGGGGAGGAGAGAAGGTGGAGAGCCACCGCGGGCCGAGACTTTAAATCGCCTTCATTTCCCCCAAATCCTTCCTTTTCCTCTCCTCCCCCAGGCCGGCGGGGAGGCAGCTTCTACCGCCCTCCGCGCGCCCTCGCCCGGCCTTGCTCTGTCTCCGGGGACCGCCAGCAGCCCGCCTCCAAAAGTTTGATCATCTTTTTTTTTTTTCTTCTGCTTCTTCTTCCTTTTCGGTGGAAGCAGAAAAGAGCGAGGCAGGGGCGAGCGCGGCGCCGGGACTCCTGGGACCATGGGCCTGGCGCGGGCGCCCGCGGAGCCCCGGCCGCGCTGCCTGCTTGCTCGGGCGCCCCTGGGAGCCGGACTGCGCTGGGGGCGCGGGGGCCGCGCGCACTTCCAGCGGAACGTCAGCTTCCTGCCCCTTCCTGCGCCCCTGCAGGGCGGGCCGCCAAGGGTTAACGCGGGCAGCGCCCCCGGCCCGGCGAGGGTTGGCGAGCCGAGCGCTGCCCGCCCTGCCCCGCCTGGCGCGGCGGCCGGATCGCGTTGGGGCGGGGGCCGAGCTGGGGAGGGTCGCTGCAGAGCCCGCCCCGGGGTCGAGATTGAGGGCTGGGGGTGGTGCCTGGAGCGGTGGGCGGGGGAGGCGGAGGGGGCTCTTTGGATGCATGGGGGAGGAGGGGTCTCCGTTTCTGGCTGTCTCGACGTGTTCCCGTGTGGGCGTCCATAGGTCCCCAGCCTGTGAGTCTCCGTTTCTGTCTGTTCTTGGGAAACTGCCTGCAGATTTCCAGGGCTCCTGCTTCTGTCTCGGTGTCTGTGTGTCTTTGCACGTCCCCTGTTTCTGGAAATCGCCGCGTGTGTGTCAGGCTGTTTGGGTCTGTGTGTCTCAGCGCTTCCTTGCTTGGGGAGGGGCGGGGGTGGGAGTGGGGGTGGTCCTGAGTTCCTGTCGCTTTCCCGTCATCTGTGTTAGGAAAAGTGAGAGCCAGCATGTCAGGGCAGAAAGGGCCCGGGGAGATGACTAATTCGAACCCCTCGTGGCACAGATGTGAGCCCCCGCGGGCCCCTGAGGGCCAGGGAATCTCTGGTTCCCAGCCTGTGGAATAGGAGTTGTGAAGAGGGAGCGTGTGCAGGACTCACTGGTGTGGGTGTGTGTGGGAGCGAGCAGGCGGGGAGCAGCCCCTCAGGACTGTGGTTCATGTTCACTTCTGGGCTGGAGAAGCACAGAGCTTGCTCCCTGTCCTTCCTGCCCCCAGGAGCAGAGGACTGTTCCCAAGAGGCTGGTCTGGGTTGTAGCTCCGCCCTACCCCACCGGGTCCTGCCCCCTCTGCGCTGGAATCAGGGGGGCGATGCNAGCAACCCTGGTGTTGCGCTGGCGGGGGCCCTGTCCTCCACGTGTAAGCCCCTGTCTGCCCCTCTCTGAGCACACTCTACCTGTTACTTTATTGGCATATTCTCTTCCTCTCTCTCTGTGTTTCAGGGACCCTCTTGATACCCCACAACCTGCCCGACCCACAAAATGCCATTTCAATTGATGGTGGAAACGGAAGCAAAACATAAACTCACACCCATCAGCAGGGAGAGCATGGCAGTCAGGCCGTGTGAATCCCTGCCTCTGTCCTGCAAGCTGGGGCGGACACCTTGCCTTCCCACTTCTTTTTCTCATCCCCCAAACAGGCATCTTCATTTCCAGCAAGCAGGGTTTTGTGAGGATTAGTGGGGCTGTGCTTGTAAAAGTCTTTTAGAACAGGGCCTGGCATGTAGTAAGTGCTCAATAAATGGCAGCTGCTGTTTGTATCATTATTCACTTCATCTTGAATGGATGTGTGAGTCAGCTGGAAAATTCTGGGCCACATCCTGTCCAGACAGATGACCTGTCTGTGTTCCCATAGAAGAGGTGTAAGGTGTGAAGAAGGCCGGGGCGTGGCTGTCTGGGCACATGGGGCCTGGCCAGTCCATGGAGGCAGGTGAGACAGGTTCACCCCTTTTCTCTTCTCTGTGGTCCTCTGGCCAGCATCCTTCCCAGCTCACTCCATGGGAGCGCAGCCAAGCCCAGAGACCATGGGTCTACTTGGCCTTGTGTTTCTATGCCCCGGGTCTCAGCTCTGAGCGCTCAGTGGATGTTCAGACTGGTATCGGTCCCTGAAGCTCCCCTGTGTTCTCAGGTAACAAGGAGGGAGGAGGAAATCATGCAAGCCAGCTGCAGGTTCTGGCAGCCTCGTGGTCCAGGAGTAACCACTTTGGGTGTACTGGCAGAGGGCTTTTTGCAGGAGAGAGGAACACCTGGGATCCCTTCTTGGAGGGCTCAGTGGCCAGGTTGTGTATCCAAGGTCAGGCTCCCTAACTCATGGCTTCCGTTCCGGCCGCCTTCTGCCATCTCTGGCCCCTGTGCTCTGGTCTTCCCGACATTCTGGAGCCCTGGCTTCGCTGAGCCAGGCCCACAAGTCAGCGGTGAAAACAGAAGTCTGGAAGAACAAAGCTCTGAGCCAGCGCAGGCACTAAACGTTATTAGCAGTAGCCTAAACAGGATTGGAACGGGAGCAAAAGAATCGGCAGGCCTCCCTCTGGGAGCCAACTTTCCAGGCCTGGAGCTTACTTAGATGGCTGTTGGCTCCCTAGGCTGCATCTCTGTTCCTGTTGGTGAAGGCTGGGGCTCTGGTCTCTGGCAAGTAGGAAGTCCCTGTAAGTCTTTGATTTCTTCTTGGGAGACGAGTCAAGCAAAAATGGTCTGCTAAGTAGTGGAGTCAGATGATATGGGTCACTGACATGCTGTGTGGCTTTGAGCAAGTTGCTTCCCCTCTCTGGGCCTCAGTGGCCCATCTCTCCAAAGGGGATGAGACTAGAATCTGGCCTTGAAATGATCTCAGAGGACCTTCTCCCACTCTATGAAGTGAAGTGAAAGTCGCATAGTTGTGTCCGACTTGTTGTGACCCCATGGACTATATAGTCCATGGAACTCTCCCGGCCAGAATGCTGGAGTGGGTAGCTCTTCCCTTCTCTAGGGGATCTTCCCAACCCAGGGATCGAACTCAGGTCTCCCACATTGCAGGCGGATTCTCTACCAGCTGAGCCACCAGGAAAGCCCAGTTCATTTGCACTCTATACTCCCTTGCTATACTTTGGAAGTTTCTGGGTCAAGTGCACACGGAATCCAGGTCTGAGAGGGTCAGTTGTATTTGTTGAGGTGAATGAAAGGGAGACAAATATTTTTTTTTAAATAGCTCTTTCAGAGCTGAAATTCTTGAGTTAGAAACCATGGCGTTAGGAAGCTTAATTGAAGGGGCTAGTCTGATCCCATCTCCCCTGGGAGTCTTCTTTCTCCTGGGATTACAAATGTTGCCTCTGAATTTATCCTTTTATTCTCTACAGGGTAGTCACCTTGGCATAACTCCAGCAGGAGAAATTGACCGAGAAGGATGTGCGTGGTTCTTGTACCTTCCCCTCTCCACCTGGCCTGTCTTTATCAGCTTGGGGAGCATCCAGAAGGGTGGATGTGACGACACAGGGAGAGACTCAAGAAAGAAGGCCGGGGCCCGGAAAAAGCCGGGAAAAAAAGAAAACCAAAAGAAAAGGAAAAAAAAACAAGGAAGCCGCAAGGAAAACGCAAAACAAAGAACAACGGCCTCCGAAGAAGGCCTCCCAAGAAAAAAGAAGTCCCCGGGCCCCCAAGTTCCAGGAACGCCGAACAAAAAAAAAGGCAAGTGAATTCCTTAATGCAAAAACTCTCAGAGCCTTTGATACGCAGTTGTGCTTTGGAACTACCAAGAGTAGGATGTAGGAGATGGCTCTTCCCCAGTAGATCTGGCCAGCTTCCTGGTGTAGCTACCTGGTGGGTATGGGAAATAGTACTGAAGACCTATGTCCTCAGAGTCTGCCCATGGTGACCTTGAGAAAGTACCTGTCCTCCCGAAGGCTCAGCTTTTGTCGAATCAAAAAGAGCTGCCTCTTATTGTTTGTCGCAGCTGATGGGGCTACCATTTGCTCTAAGTAGGCAGGACATGCCAGAAGGGTCAGCCTCTACCCCTCTCCCAACTGAGGGCAGCTAGGCACTGACCTTTCGTTGTTGCTGGTGGTAAGCTGGAGACAGGGAGGACAGGTCCCATGTAAAAAGCATTCTCACGGCAGTGGCAGCAGATTGGAGAAGAGAAGGAAGGAGCAAGGGTTATCCAGGAGCATCCTCGGAAAAAGTCAGAGGTGGGGTGGGCCTACTGGCATTAAGTCTTTGGGAAGATACTTTTTTAAAGTCCAGAGTCCTGTAGTTCCAGATGACATCCATTTCTTCTGTAAAAATACACTGAACACTTACTACATGCCTGCCAGGTGCTGGGAATCCAAGGCAGACGCGGGCCCTGTCCTTCAGGGACTTGAGTTAGAAAATGAGACAGGAAAGTAGACAGATATACATGGGATACCTTGGGAGGTCCGTGCAGCAGACGGTGTGAAATGACACTCTGGCTAGACTCTAACACGTGAGTGGGAGCTGAGCAGGCCAAAGAGTGGAGTCCAGAGCACTTGAGATTGGCATGTGCTAAGGCCCAGAAGCCGAAGGCTTTCAAGGGACCGCCATCAGCGTCTGAGTGCTGTTTCAGCTAGCTTGCCTTATGCTGCATGTAATTCCCAATTGAACATGGCTTAAGCAGTAAGGGACTCATTACCTCCTATATCAAGAGGTCCAAAGGAAAAGCCGTAATAGGATTGGACAATTCGGCATCTCAAGTGTCATCAAACACCCACCGTTTTTCCGTTCTGGCATTCTCACAGGCTCATGTGGCTTGTTACTTCATGTGCACAAAACAGCTGCAGCAGCAAGTCTTCATTCAACAACATTCAAAGGCTAGAAGAAAGCCCTTACTGTGCTCCTTTGAAATGCTTTCTTCGAGGTCCTGATAGACATTCCTGACATCTCATTGGCCAAATTTGCGTCATATATGCAGGCCTAAACCAGTCAATGGCATGGCAAATTCCCAAGATGGACTTAGATCTATCCAGAGGTATCTAATTTCCTTTGTAGTTCATGTCTCCCTGAACAAGCAAGAAGAGGGGGGAGGCTATGGGTAGGTAACCACCAGTGCCTTCTCCATTGTCTAGGTCAGGATTACCACTGATGCTAATTACAATTAAATTGGAGGATTTGCTATTAAATCACAGAGCGTGAGCTTGTTTTCCAAAGCCCCCGGGGAGCTAGGAAGAGCCTGGGACTCCCGACCTCCACTCTGGCAGATGGGTTTCCTGGATTACACAGTTCCCCAGAAGCACACTATCCTAGCCTTCCTCTTGGAAATGGATCCTGGGCCAGCGTGTCCCAGCCTTTGCCCTCACCACCCGCCTGGCGGGGTTCTTTCTGCCTGCCTCCTGGCTGGCCGACTCTGGCCACGTGCCGCCCTCCCCTTTGCCTGCCTGGGGATCAGATGCCCCAGTGGCTTCGGGTGTCACCAGTGGCTGCTCCCACAGGAAGGTGAAATCGGATCACTGCCTCTGCCCGTCTTGGCAGGAGCCCCTGAGCAGAGCATTAACCCTTCTGGGACCCAGCGTGGAAGGGCAGCAGGGTTGGTCTAAGAAGCACTTCTGTGGCTGGCAGCAGTCCGAGCCCTTGACATGCATGAGCTCATTTAATCCTCACGCCTGGCTTGCAAGATAGGGAACGTCAGCTGAACTGCAGAGAAGGAGACAGGCTCAGGGAGACTGAGGGACTCATCCAGGGTCACACAGCTGGTATGCAATGGGGCCAGGTTTGCACCTGAGGGGGAGGCCTGACTCCCCACCTTCTCCTCTTCTCTTCTTCCCTCTTCCATTTTCTGTGAGCATGAAGCTAGTAGGCAGCTTCCTTAACATGCAGTGGTCCTGGCTAAGCGGTCGTCTCCCACCCCCGGCCCTGAGTCTGGAGACTGAGTTCTTCTCTTTCCTGCCCTTTGAAGATACCTGTCATCTAAGCAGACCCCTCTGGTCTTCCTGCTGACCTTTCCTCCCCGGCTCTGCTGCCTACTGGGTCTCAAAGTCCTGAGGCCATAATACAGATGGGGAGACTGAGGTCCAGCGACAAGGAGGCGCAGGGGCTGGTCTTCTGTTGCCCAGTGCATCAGTAGCAGATTTTGATCTGGACCCTGAGTCTCCTGATGTCCTGGGCAGGGCTTCCTGCCTGTGACCTTGATTTACTGATCTGTAAAAAGCAAGATTGTATTTGTACTGTGTAAGCAGTTCCTTTTTCAGAAGGCTGTGCCTGGACCCTAGGAGTGTGGGCTGGTCCGATGGGGTCCTAGAGTCTGCACCTCACCTCCCGCCTCCCCTGGGCAGGACTGGGGTGGCACCGGGGCTGGAGGATCCCCTCCCAACTCCCCAGCCGGATCTGGACGCGCGGGGTGGAAGCTGATGCCGCATCTGCTTGTGTCTCCTGGTCTCTAGGGGATTTCTCTTCACCTGGATCTTAGTTTCGCTCGCCTGTCACCTGGCCTCCACCCAAGGAGTTCCTGAAGGTAACTGTCTCTTCTCTTTGTCCAGGGGGAGACAAAGCAGGACGGAAGGGATCTGGGAATGCAGGGGTGGGAGACATCGGTGCTCCTAATGGGGAACTCGGGACCTCAATTTTCTCATCACTAGAATGGAGCCAATCATTAACAAATTCTCTCCGGCCTTGAAAGCATCCCGTTTGATGTTTTGTGAGGGTAGGAAGCGCCCAGTGCAGAAATGTAGAGGCGATGCTTTTGTTCCTCTCCAGGGCAGAATGTGAGTAAGTTGCACTAGGTCAGTAAGCCTCAGTTGCCCCCCTTTGTCTGATGGGTACCCCAAGAAGGGCTGACAAGAGGCACGAAGGCCTCCAGCATCCTTGCCCACTCGTGTGATCTGCACTTCCCTTCCCATGAGATGCTGCTTTTCCCTGCTATCCCTGAGGATCTGTCCAGGGGGCCCCAGGTGGCGGGTGGGGGGGCAGAGGGGGCTGGCTACATAGCTGTGCATGGAAACTGAAACCTCTCCCACATCTGTTTGTCAAGCAGCCACAATGCCTCTTAAAATAGCAGCCCCTCCCCCTCCTGCACGCCCGGCCGTGTTGCCGGGACAGGCACCCGGGCACTCCCAGAGCCCCTGTGGCCTGACCTGGCTGCTGGGCAGGGATTGGGCCCCTGGGAGGGGAGGGCTGTGCCCGGAAGAGACTTCTGCCGCCCAACAACATTTTGTGCAAATGTCATATTTTCCAAGCTTGCTGTTTCCCCCACAAAGTAGGTGAACAGCTGTCCAGAGTCCTGAGTCAGGCACTGGGAAGGGGGGTTAGGGGGCGGAGAGGCTGGGGCAGCATGAAGCCAGGTTTATGTAATAAAGGGATCTTGCTGCGGCCAGCTGGCCGGGTCCCTCCATCTCGGCGTTGGGCTGAATTCATTCCCCGGTCCCCCAGCTCCTCTCCCCTGATGGGATCCTGTTCGCATCTCTAGCCTGCCTTCCAAGCAGTCGAGGGGCTCCAGTGCAGGAAGGCATAGTGATGAAGGAAGGACCTGGGGCCAAGCAGCCTGGGTTTCAAGCCCACTTCTGATTATAAGCTGTGTGATCCTGGGCAAGTTATTGAGTTGGCCAAAAAGTTCATTTGTTATGGGGGCATCCAAAGGAACCTTTGGCCAACCCAACACTATATATAGCTCAGCTTTCTCACCCTCTTCTCCGAAAGAGTAGGGATGACAGACAGTACCTGCTTCATAGATGATGGAGAGAGTCAAGAGTTAATGCTTGTAAAGCACTTGATACATAGTAAATACTCAATAAACATCAGTTCTTCTTCTTATTGTTGATTGTATATTTACCTGTAAAGTTGGGGCAACAGTGGCCCTTCTGTATCTCCATGGAGCCCACAGGGGTCAGAGACCCCTGGAGGCTCAGCAGTGACCAGCTCTGCCAGCTCCAGGTAGCTGAGTCGGGAGGACTTGGCCGCTGAGCTACAGTGAGTGTGTGGGGGAGGCCTGGAGACTGTGTGGTGTCAGCTTTAAAGCCCACCTGGAGAGGGTGATAAGGGGAACCTCCTCGGTGCCCCCTGGCCTGGCCGGTTGTCATCTTCTCGGGGCAAGTGCGAGGGGCTGTAAGTGGTAGGGTGCAGAGTGAGGTCTGCAGGGCTGGGAGCCTTTCGATCCCTGGTGAGGTGGGATGCGGAGAGAGGAGAGCTGGCTTTAAAAAGGAGCTCCTCCCTTTTAAGTTGTTTATAGTGAGAAGCATTTTATGGTAGTAAGCGGCTTTCCATGATTAAGTGTATAAAAGACACTGCTACTCAGAGAATCCCTAAATGGTGGCTTATTTTAGCTTAGGACCTGGGGACAGACAGAGGTGGGAGAAAGGAGGAATTTGAAGTGAAGCGAAGGCCCTTGGGTCCTAGAGAGGAATAAGAACCTTCAAGCCACAACCTGAAACAGCAGCCTGCAGCTACAGTTTTTATAATGTTCTTAGGACTCTGTGGCCACCTCCAGGTCAGGTTTCCCTTGTCTCACAGGCAGGGAAACTGGCCTGGCAATGGGAGGTGGGGGGAGTGCAGGAAGAAACTTCATCAGCGGCACAGAGTGCAGGTGTGGGTGAGGATCGAGACGAAGACCGCCTTATCATCTCCCAGGGCCCTGATGACGTCAGCACTCTTCATAGCCTCGTCTTATAGTGGAGGGAATGGAGGCTCAGAGTGCAGACCTGCAGGTGGTCTTGTCTGGCTCTGAAGTCCAGCCTTCTGCTTGCAGAACCTGCCATGGAGCCATTATGCTGCAACGTTGCCAGTGCCCAGGTTCTGAGGTTCCCCCAGCCCATTTGTCTCTCTGTCCATCCATCTCACAGCAGTCAGCCTAGGGTCTACGAGCTGGCTGCATTCAGCCCAGCGCACGCCCCTTACTTTAGGTGATGAGGGAGAGAGCTTTCCACATTCAGGGGTCAGGATGCGGAGCTCAGGGGAGGGGGCCTTTGGACCTTTCCCAGAGCTCAGTTCCAGATGGAACCTGTTCTTTCCTGCTGAGATGGGGCTCCCGAGCAGGCTTCTGCAGGCGCTGGCAGCTCAGCTGACTGAAGGAGGTTGAATGACCCGACGAGAGGCAAGGTCAGGAAACCTTTCCATAAACACCCTGGAAACCCTCCTTTTGCTCTGGCAAGCTCTTGCCAGTGTAATTACCACACGGATGTGACCTGGCCAGACCACGGTCAGATGTCCAAACACTTTGCCAGAGGACAGAGGTTACAAGAATGCCTTGATTACTTCCTCTGCTCTCTCCAAAGCCACACAGGGAAGGGGGGGGTCACTGGAAATGTCCTCTGCCTTCCGTGTAGACAGTGGCTCCCCCAGTAGTCTGCTCTAGCAGATTAGGGTTCCTTAAGATGGTCAGACTAGTCCAGTCCCCTGGACATCCCTACCAAGCCCTGGTGACACCAACATTCCTGTTGGTCCCTCACTTATGGGACTGCTTCCTGGAGGAGATGGCTTTTCAGGCAGAGAAAGGGGGAAACGCCACATTGGGCAGTCTCTAATACTTTTAGCTCTAGCATTTGGTGATTATCATTATTTTTCATATTAAGAGCTATCCTTCAAATGTGCTTATTTTGTGCCAGGCCACTTCCCCCCCCCCCAGGTGCATTAGCTCATTTAATCTTCACCACGTCCTTCTGAGTTTTGGCACTCCTATTATCCCATCTAAAAGGTGGGAAAACTGAGGCAGAGACATCACAACCCTAGTGAGTGGTGGAGCTGGGATGTGAACTCAGGAAGCTTGGCTTCAGCGTCTGTGTTTTTAGCCACTTACAGACGGTCCTTAACTTGACAATGGTTCTATTTATGAATTTTCGACTTAATGATGGTGCAAAAGTGAAACTGTACTTGGAGTGTTTGATTTTGATCTTTTTGATCTTCTCCTGGGCTAGCGATATGCAGTACGATTATCTCTGTGACACTGGGCAGCAGCAGCCACAGCTCCCAGTTGACCGTAGGATCACAAAGGGAAACAACCCATACACTTAAACCATCTGAACCAGCACAATCATTGTTTCTTGGTTTCAGTATGTGTGTGTGAGATAGGTGCTCAGTCGTGTCTGACTCTTTGCGACCACATGGACGATAGCCCACCAGGCTCTTCTGTCCAAGCAATTCTCCAGGCAAGAATACTAGAGTGGGTTGCTATTCCCTTCTCCAGGGGATCTTCCTGACCCAGGGGTCAAACCTGGGTCTTCTGCATTGCAGGCAGATTCTTTACCATCTGAGCTAGCAGAGAAGCCCTGCTTATAGTTTAGCACTCAATATATTATATGAGATATTCAGCACTTTGTTGTAGAATAGGCTTTGTGTGGAGGCTTCCCTGATAGCTCAGTTGGTAAAGAATCCGCCCGCAATGCAGGAGACCCTGGTTCGATTCCTGGGTTGGGAAGATCCGCTGGAGAAGGGATAGGCTACCCACTCCAGTATTCTTGGACTTCCCTTGTGGCTCAGCTGGTAGAGAATCCGCCCGTAATGCCAGAGACCTGTGTTTGATCCCTGGGTTGGGAAGATCCCCTGGAGAAGGGAAAGGCTATCCACTCCAGTATTCTGGCCTGGAGAATTCCACGGACTGTATAGTCCATGGGGTCACAAAGAGTTGGACATGACTGGGCAGCTTTCACTTTCAGGCTTTGTGTGAGCTGATTTAGCCTAAAGCCTAACAATAAGTGTTCTGAGTTTAAGGTAGGCTAGGCTAAGCTGTGATGCTCACTAGGTTAGGTGTATTAAGTGCATCTTTGACTTAGGATGTTTTCAGCTGACATTTGCCGTATGGGGCTGTAACTGCATTGGAAGTGAAGGACGGTCTGTATATACACAGATCACACAGCCCAGCAAGGGGCTGGTTCCAGCTCTGCTCTGTCAGTCAGCTGTGGGGCAGCAGGCAGCAGTGGGTGGGCTGTCCTCACTGTCGCTGTGGCCGGAAGCAGGCCCTGACCGTGCCCTCTGTCCCGTCCCGTCCTCCCCCTCCAGATGTGGACGTCCTCCAGCGGCTGGGCCTCAGCTGGACGAAGGCAGCGGGCGGCCGGAGCCCCCCGCCCCCAGGGGTCATCCCGTTCCAGACGGGCTTCATCTTCACGCAGCGGGCCCGGCTCCAGGCTCCCACGGCCGCTGTTGTCCCTGCCGCCCTGGGCACGGAGCTGGCGCTGGTGCTCAGCCTCTGCTCCCACCGGGTGAACCATGCCTTCCTCTTCGCTGTCCGCAGCCGGAAGCGCAAGCTGCAGCTGGGCCTGCAGTTCCTCCCCGGCAAGACTGTGGTCCACCTGGGGCCCCGGCGCTCCGTGGCCTTCGACCTCGACGTCCACGACGGGCGCTGGCACCACCTGGCCCTGGAGCTCCGCGGCCGCACGGTCACCCTGGTGACGGCCTGCGGGCAGCGCCGGGTGCCCATCTCGCTGCCTTTCCACAGGGACCCAGCGCTCGACCCTGACGGCTTGTTCCTCTTTGGGAAGATGAGCCCGCAGGCGGTCCAGTTTGAGGGGGCCCTGTGCCAGTTCAGTATCTACCCCGTGGCGCAGGTCGCTCATAATTACTGTACCCACCTGAGAAAGCAGTGTGGACAGGCTGACACCTACCGGCCTCAGCTGGGACCCTTCTTCCCCCGAGACTCTGGCACACCCCTCATCTTCCAGAGCGATCCCGCCCAGCTGGGCCTGGAGAACCTGACCACTGCCATGCCAGCCCTGGGGTCACGGCCGGCAGGCAGGGGGCCTGGGGTGACCGTGGTGCCTGCCGTGCCCATCAAGCCCACGAGGACTATCACCACAGGCCCGCCCCAGCCCATCACATCCCATCCAGCCTGGACCCCCCTGCCCTCCGCCAAGCTATCAGCCAGTGAAGGGCCTCCTCCCGTGTCCCCAGTCCCTCCCGCCAGCTCCCCCAGACCTGTCCAGCCATTGCAGAAGAACACAGCCACCAAGACCCCTAAGAGTCACCCCGCCACACCGTCAGCCCTTTCTCCTTCAATTGCCCCGGTCAGAAGCCCCCGCCCCACCCAGAAGACAGCTCTGCCTGCCTTCATAAAGCCAGCCTCACCCACCAAGAAGCTGGTGCCACCTACTTCCCAGCCCATTCCTGCCAAAGTCTCCCGTCCCACAGCGAAGCCGATCCAGAGGAACTCCGGTATGCCCAGATTCCCGCCACCCAGTGCCCGGCCCCTACCTCCAGCCGCTGGCTCCTCTAAAAAGCCTTTGCCCCCAGTGGTCCGGGCTGAGGCCAAGATGAGTAGTCGTGCCAGTGAGCCGGCTCCTGCCCGCACCAGCACACACAGACCTCCCCCACCCACAGTCCCGCCCTCATCACCTGTCCCCAGTCCTAGCCCTCCCAGGACCGCTCGGCCACTGGCCACAGCGATGCCTCCCACCCTTGCTCCTGGTTCAGCCTCCACTGGAAGCAAGAAACCCACTGGATCAGAAGCCACAAAGAAAGCCAGACCCCGGAAGCCCGTCCCACTCAGATCCGGGAAGGCAGCCCGAGATGTCCCGCTGAACGATCCGACAAGGGAGTCCAGCCCCAGGCAGCCCCGGGCCAGGCAGCAGACCACCCTGGCCCCAGCGCTGGCCCCGGCGCGATTCCTGTCCTCCAGCCCCCAGCCCATGAGTACTGGCTATTCACTCTTCCACTTGGTGGGACCCACACCTTTCCTGCTGCTGATCGGACCTCCGGGACCCAAGGGAGACTGTGGTTTGCCGGTAAGACTGGGTGGGTGTGCGTGCTGCTTGGAGCTTGAGTGACTGATAGGGGCGGTTGGGCGGTTGCTCTTGATCAGGGCAGAGGAGGAGAAGCTAGAGCGAAGAGCTGGTTATGGGCAGAGCCTCGACTTGAACCCGGGCCCCCCCATGCCTCCATCTCTCCCATATTCATGAATTGCACATCCTGCCTCAGATCTGTGGTCCCCTGGGATGAACTTGGGTCTGGTGGCCCACTCCAGGTAAGAGCACCTCTGGGCTTTGGTTGGCCCAAGCCCCAGGTGACTGTGCGCTAACATAACCGTAAAGGTTGAGCGGCTGAAGGAAAACCACGAACTGACTGGCCCCTGGTCCTGCAGTCCCCAAAGGCCACCTCTCTGACTCCTGGGCCAGAGTTCCTCCCGTCCCCTGGCTTGTCCGCAAGTTTCAGGCGAAGGTTGTCCATGGGTAGTCCTGAATATGTTTTGTTTGGCACATGCAACATTGTTTAAAAAATATTTAATAAGTGATTAATATTTTTTGAATGTGAGAGATTTCTTATAAAAGACGGGGTGACCAGCTTTTCTTGGAAGAGGGAGAAAGGCAGTAGTCCGTGGGTTGTGGCCGGGTTGCGGCTGCTTCCTTGGACAGGACAGGCCCGTTCTTGTCTATGCTCATCCACACATCTCTTGATTGGTCTTCCAGCCCAGTCCTTTCATCTTGTTTCTTTTACCTGCCCGACTCCTGTAGACGTTTGATTTGTGGGCCCTGGTAGAGGAGTTTGGTGTAAGAAGGGTCAGGGTGAGTGTGAACAATCAAGGAAGAAAGAAAGAACATTCCACGTGCAGGAGACCATCTTGGGGTTGATGCCTCCAGTGTGCCTGGGACTGTCTCCAGGGGCAACGACCTTTCTGCAGCTGGAGGCCAATTCCTCCGGGTGGGGGTGGGGTGGGGATTGATGAGATGGCATTTCCAGAAAGCTTGGCCTCAGCTCTGTTCTTCTGCCTTGGAGGTGACCACCATGTGGGTTCCTCCTTCCCGGGGCTGAGTCTCCCGCCAGGCCCCGGGCTTGGGGTTAGGCTCCCCGCAATGTGGAGGCACTGGCAGATGCTGGGAATTCCCAGGCCTTACAAACACACTTAATGAGTTTTAATAATCATGAGGAATAATATTTATTCAGTCTGTCTCCAAGGGGACTGAGAGCCCGTTTTTATTATAACCATATTGTAGAACTTATGGAAATTGTATGCATTGCTTTGCAATTATGTCAACATTCTCTTCAGGTCCCGCATTCTGAAATTGGCAGGGTAGGGAGCGGGGAGCCGAGGGAAGCAGGCTTCCACCCCCTCCAGGCTACGCAATCCTACTCAGGCACCAGCTACCTTTGGCCTGTGACAGCTCAGCTTCCCAGGCTGTGGGGCTGCCACCTCACAGGGGCTGGCTGTGAGGTTGAAAGGGGGTGAATTTTCCCCCTCTGACAGAGGAGGGTGAAGTGTAGGGTCTCCACGCCGCCGGGTGGAGGGGGCCAACCCTGTCCCCCAGGGCTGTGTGTGATGCAGAGCAAGAGAGGCCATGGCCGAGCCTGCAGAGCTGGAGCAGGAGCAGGTTCCCAGGGTGTAGACTCTGCCTCGGGGCCGGTTGGCTGCCTGAACTGCAGACTTTCCTCCTGGAGTTTAATGATGCGGGTCAGCAGGAGGTGAGGCCTTCTGCCGGAACTGGTCTTGAACTCCTCCCACCCTGATCAAAGAAGGTGCTGGAGTTGACCTGTTCAGTGGATGGGTGCTTAGGGATCATTCAATTCATCCTCACCATTGTGCAGGTGGGGAGCCTAGAGACTGGGTCCAGAAAGGGCCAGGATTCACTCAGAAGCCACACAGCATGTCGGAGGCCGAGCTGAAGTTTACGCCGCAGCTCCAGACCCCAAGATCAGCATGTTCCAATCCACCCCCTAAGTGTCCGCTCTGAGACGCTAGGACTCAGGGCTTAGAGGCCGGGGGCTTGAGAGAGGGAGGCCTTGTCCTTGATCTCAAGTGAAGTGTTCAGTGTCTAGAACATCTGTTTCTATACCTAGCACATTCATAAGTAATTTCCACACATGTAGCATCTTCCTTTAGGACCTTGTAGAAACTGGTCCAGAGGGTAGGATGTGTCCCCTGACCCCTGCTCTATGAAGGAGAGGACCAGGGCTGGGGAGACAAAAGACTTGGCCAAGGGCACCCGGAATGATCTTGCAGGAGGAATTGGGATGCAATTCCTGCTTCTCCAGCCCAGAACAGATGAGGGCAAGAGGGAAGACATCAGTCTGTCCGGGTGCCATCCTGCCTGACGTCCTATGCAATCCCCTCATCCCGCCCGCCCCCCAGCTCGGAACCTAATCTTACTCCAGTAGGAACCAAGAAGCTTCTAGAAGCTTTGTCCAGTCTGCTGTGGCAAGCTGATCATTTATATTTCACCGGATAGCAGAAATTATTAATCAAAGTGGTGTCTTTGAGCAACAGCGATAAGAACTGATTCTGACAAGTGTTCCTTCTCTTCTCCCTTGTCCCCACCCAGAACCCTCATCTGTATTCGGGATGTAACCCCAGCAGAGCGGAAGCTGCAGTGCCCGGGCATGAGATTTAATTGTCTACAGTCTGGGTACACACCAGCCTGGGTTTAAATCCTGGCTCCACTCCTTACTAGTTCTGCAGGCCTGACCCACACGAAGCTTCAGTTTCTGCAGAATGTAAGAGGATAATAGCTCCCACCTCCTGTGAGGAAGCGAGTTGAGGGCTCTCCAGGGCCACCTGGGAGTTCTAGATTTGTTGGGTGATACAGGGAACTTCTTTCCGCTCCCTGAGGCTGTCTCTCCTCTGTGACGGGCTTTGGGAGAGTTCCTTTCTTAGAATTCACTCCGGGTCCTTTCAGAGCCTGAGAAGGTTTTCTTTCTTTCTAAAAAAATAATTTTTATTTGTTTATTTATTTTTGGCTGCGCTGGGTCTCCAGTGCTGCATGGGCTTTTCTCTAGTTGTGCACGGGGGCTTATTGCAGTGGCTTCTCTTGTTGCGGAGCTTGGGCGCGGGTACACGGGCTTTAGTAGTTGTGGCTCTTGGGCTCTAGAGCAAAGGCTCAGTAATTGTGGGACACGGGCTTAGTTGCTCCACTGTATGTGGGATCTTCCTGGACCGGGGATCGAACCTGTGTCTCTTGCATCGGCAGGCAGGATTCTTTACCACTGAGCCACTAGGAAAGCCCCAGAGAGGGTTTTCAAGGCTGTATCTGACCTGTTCTGCGTGGATCTCAAGGGGCACGGGACAGGCTGGCAGAGACTGAGACACAGCTCTGGTGAGGCTGGCCAGGAGTTGTAGCCACTTCGAGAGGGAGCTCTGTGGGAGCCCCGGGAGCAGGGGGGAGCATGGAAAAGCTGAGCTTGGCCCCGGGTGAGTAGGGGCGGGGAGGCTGCGGTTCACAGAGGCTGCACAGAAGCCGCACAGAAGCCCCACGCCCAAGAGGAGGCGAGTCAAGGCCTTATTTATTCACACTCAGGCCGCTGGCATTTGCACGCCCTTGCACTTTTTCCAAGCGTCACCTCGGGGAGACCCGGCTGAGCGCCTGGCCTGCAGCAGATACTCCATGACTATCTAGGAGATGAATGAAGGAATTTGATCCTTACAAAAAACAGGTCGTCCTGACACGCAGGCCAGGCTCTTTGAAGTTACACAGATCTCTGCTGCCGGTGGGGTAATAAGGGCGCATGGAGTGCAAAAGCACATAGAATTTGGATTTGAAATGACCTGAGTTTGAACCATTGCCTGATCCAGCCATCTTTTCCTTCTTTCAACAGATGTTGAATGAGTGCCTTCTGGGTGCTAGGTGCTGTGTGACCTTTGGCAAGTCACTTGACCTCTTTGAATCCCAGTTTTTACCTCTGTAAAAAGAGGGTATGGTACCACCTACTTTTCCAGGGCTGTGTGAGTTGTCTGCCTCCAACATTAGAATCTGGTTAGGGATGTGCTGATGGCTGAGGCAGGGGCATTGTCACCCTGAGAACCAAGAGCTTCTGGCACAGGAGGGCCTTTACGCTGTTGGCAGTTAGGAATCAGAACTAGATTGTGAGTCGTTTACCCCTTATGCTGGCATCATCTAGAACACAGGAGAACGGAGGAGTGTTGGCTTTGTCTTTGGCGTCTCCTTTTTGAGCTCCTGCTGCGTGCCAGGCTCTGTGTGGAGCAGTTGGCATGCTGTATCCTGTGGCCCAAGGCAGGGAATAGTGTAACTGAGGGGAGTTTAAGGAAGGAACTCTTTACAGAGGTGCGGGCACCGTCAAGGGAATCAACAGGGGCTGGAGAAGCACATGGGGTCCCACCTGAAGGTGCAAGAATAGGGGGAGGTGTTGCCACAAGCCAGGGCGTTAAAACGTGAGCCGGGGTCTCCGACAGGAGCTGGAGCCAAACAGAGCAAGGACGGAGAAGGGAGAAAAATACCCCACCCACCCTCTCCTGCTCTGCAGTTTCTTGCTGGGCCCGCCTGTTGACCAGACTCAGCCAGAAGCCTGCAGGTGCAGCCTGTAGATGGGGGCTTCCCAAGGACACAGAATGGATTTGGAGAGTGAACGGAGAACTCCCGGCACACATACACGTTATCTTGGAGGCTCTTGTCGCTGGACACAAGGGTGGACTTGTTCCGTGGGAAGGGGTTCCCCGAGGCCTGGCTGTCGGGGGCCGGGACCCTTGGGGAAAGCCCGAAACGGCTGCTTGTTTCCATGGCTCTGTTTGCGTGAGCCCACCTCCCCCAGACAGGCCTGCGGCCCCCGCGCCCCTCCCCCTCAGCTCCAGGCCCTCTCAGAGGCCCCGTTGTTTGCAGCGTGGAGTGGAAAAATCCCACCCCGGCCTCGTGAATCATCCCAGAGTCACTCGCTCAGGCTTCAGGCCTTGGAAAGAAATGGCAGCATTTTTCCACTGCATGGGGAGCAGGCAGGGTCTCGGATCAAACGAGAAGGGCAGGGGGCATCCAGCCTCACTGAATGTGGGAGGGTCGGACCTGGGAACGCACGCGGCTGGGCGGCTGGGCTGCCGTGTCAAGGAGTGCGGCCGTGAGCTCACCTCACCAGGCCGGGCCATGGGTCCTGACTGGCACTTGAGTCTGCTCCGCAAATGTTGCGGATGACGTCAGACTCCAGGCTGGATGCCCCCGTTTCTGGGGCAGGAAGCGTGCCAAGAGGGTGTGTCCAGGCCTCTCCAGTGTCGGCCCTCCCAGAGTCCACCAGGGAGCTACACCCCGCAGAGACGTCCCTCCCTGGAGCGCTACCCCAGCCTTCACTCCGCTGGGCCTTGGCCCTCTTCTCTGGAAGCTGGGCATGATCTCACCTTTTCTATCCCGCTGAATAACCTAGAAGAGGAAATCATCACCACCCAGAAATTCAGGAGATGCCCAGTGTGGGGGAGGTTCTGGGATGTTCATTTCACCGATGCCTACAGAGGAGAGGGGACTGGCCCAGGTTTGCACACCTAGTCACAACGCATCTGGCCAAGATTGTGTGGATGCTCCCCAGGCTAGGAGAATAAGTCAAACCCAGCTTCTCTGAGCTGTGTGGCCTAGAGTAAATCACTCTGCCTCTCGGAGCCTCCCTCTGCTTTCTCACCCGTGTAAAGGGCTTGGTGATGAGAATGATACCTACGGGAATGCTTGGCCTCAGACCCCTGCATTTCCCTTTGATTCTGGGTCATTCGGAAGAGGCGGGCCGAGGAAGGGCCTTCTAGGAAGGGAAATCTTTTGCTCTCCCCCAAAACAGATGCTGAGAAAAGTGGTGGCTTGACACTTTGAGTTGGGGAGTTTCCAGCAGCTTGCTTAACAGAAACGGCACTAACTTTCTGGGCATGAACTGTGTGCCAGGCACCAGGATTAGCACTTTTTATAGATTATCTGTCAGCGAGGTGCTCTTACCGCCTCCTTTTACAGTGAAGGAGTGAAGCCTTGGAAACTGGAAAGAACTCGGCCAAAGCCACACAGCTAGTAAGCGGGGGTGCGCAGTGTGCGCCCAGGGCCCTGTCTGATACTGTATTCTACTGCTCCTCAGGGAGAAACAGAGTAGGCTGGCCTTGATTCTCAAACCTGCAGTGGTAGATAGAAGACTAGAAACTGTCTGCCCAACCCCTGGGCTCTGGATCGAAGGAACGCTGCCGGCTGCCAGCTTGGCCAGAGGTACCTGGAGGCTTGAGGTGCCCAGGACTTGCCTGAGGTCACGCAGCAGCCCCCCTCCCTCTAGCTGGGGCTCTTTCCAGTGGCCCAGGGGCCTTGGTGGTACCATATCTGCCTGTCTGGCTCTCTCTTCTGATTTTTTTTCACAGATGAGCAAGCACGTGGCGTTCACAGACCAGAGCTGTGAGCCGAGGCTGCCCAGTGTGAGATCTGGATTAATTACCAGCCAAATCGTACTGGGTTTTCAACACCGATTCTAACTCTGGGCAGGAAACCTGGAATCTCATTGATGGTTATTTGAAACAAATGAATTCCCCAGGCCTCACACATCCTTGAAAGCCTGGCTTCCGTTGAAAGTTCTGTGTTCAGTTCTTTACATCAGACACTCGGTTGATCCTCCTTTTCTCCTCTGAAGTAGACAGGACAGGAGCTGTGGTGCGGGACAGCCGCAGAGACTCAGGCCACAGGCTCTGTGCCAAGTCTCCAGCTAGTAAATAGTGAGACCAGGATTTGCATGAAGGTCAGCCTGCGGCTCCGCAAGTCTGCTCGGGTGCCTCGCTTCCTATGGGAAGGAAGAGAACTGAGAACAGACAGGTGCTCCCCAAATGCCGTGTGGCAGGATTAGGCCTGTCTTATGGGGGAAATGGGGAGCCACTGAGTGTTGTTGAGCTGGGAGATGCCGTGGGAAGGTGAACCGGGCTGTGTGGAGGAAGACGAGAGGGGAGAGGGTGGAGGTGGGGCCCAGACCAAGTGAAGGAGGTGATGCAAGTTCTTGGAGGGTGATGATGGAGGCTGAACCCGGCTGTGACCCCTGGACTAGAGGGGACATTTGAGTGACCATTGCATACTAGGCACCGTGTTATATGTTTGCCATCTCATTTCATCTTTGCAGTAATCTGATGAGATGGGTATTATTGACCCTTTTATAGGCACAGGCTGGTTATGGAACCTGCCCAAACCCAGCTGGTAGGTGGCAGCACTGGGATTTGAACCCGAAAGCCTTGGCGTACACCCATTAGTGACACTGACTCTCTGTGTGTGACTCAGAGATGCTGGTGTGACCTTGGACAGGTCCTTTCTCTGCTCAGGCTCTGCAGAGAACTTGGCTGAACTCTGAGGTCTTTTGCTGTTTTAGTTTCTCAAACATTTGGCTGAGGCTTAGGGAGAGAGAGAGATGACTCATATCCCATTAATTCCTTTGAGGAGACCATGGTCTAGTGGGAGAGCGGGCTTCTAAGCAGACAATTCCCCGAATAAAATACAGTGGCCTTTAAAGCAGAGGGAAAGAGGGGACTTGGCCCAACTTGGGGGAGGGATCAAAGAAGGCTTCCTGGAGGAAGCGATGCCCTGAATTAGCTATGTAATAAAAGATGAGAGCTTCAGAGACCAAGAAACAACAGCTGCCAAGACCAGAAAGCCCCAAAGAGCAGAATTCCTCAGGTTAGGACCTCAAGGGACCTCTCTTCTCAGCTCTGGGGTGTTCATGCCCAGAGCTCTGCATAAGTTTGTTGAATGACTATCTGATCCCATTCTATTCTGCCACGTGGCACTGATGCTATCTTCTTGCTTTTTATTCAGGGTCCCCCTGGACTGCCTGGGCTTCCTGGACCCCCTGGTGCACGGGGTCCTCGGGTAAGTGATCACACATCATGCTTGAGTTCTGGTTGTTTCAATGTCCTGTATCCCTTTGCCCCTGGAGTCCCAGCTTTGCTGTGTGTCCTCACGCTGTCTGGCATCCCTTTTCCACGTTGTCCATTGGAGTAGATGTGGGGCTTTTAGGGGTCACTGGGTGTCCAGACAAGGCATGGGACAGTGAGAACCTCTTTCAGGGTCTCAGCTGTCCATTGTGGGTATCACCTTTGGCAGCCTGGAGTAGAGTAGGGGTTTCTGCAGATCACATCCCCTCAGTTGATGGGCTTTGGTGTTCGGCTGGGAAAAAGCTGACTTGGAAGAGCATGACCCTTGCATCCATCTTCCCATCTCTGCTGGGCCAAGCTGGGGTAGGGATGCTGACAGAGGCAACCAGATGGGCCTTGCCAGGGATGGGGCGAGCTCCCCATGCTGAGGGGTTCAACCAGAGTCTGGAGGATGGCTTGGCAGGGCTTTGGTGGCTGATAGGAGCTAGCCCGAACCTCGGAGTGGAAAATATTAATAGCTCTGGTCTGTTATGCCTGGCATGTCACTTAATGCTGCCTTACTTGATCCCCTCTCCTTCCAAGACCCCCGTGGGCCAGTATGATCACTCTCATTTAGGGATGAGAAAACCGAATAACTCAGAAATGGAAGAGCCAGGACTGGAACCCAGCTCCTAACCATATGATACGGGGACTCTTGAGGGTCCTCTTGGAGAGAAATCTCTCCTTTTCCCAAGGGGGCTCAGACCCACGGCGCCTGGCATCTGTGCCCAGGCTGAATCAGCCTTTCCCACGCTGGGTGCCTGGTGAGGCCCTGGCAGAGATAGCTGCCTGGGGCATATTTTTAGCGCTGAGCCCAGCGGATGGTTCTGGTTATGCAATTACTCGAGCCCTAGTTCCCTCCAGACCTGGCCCTGTGCTCCCTGGGCCCAGGACTCTGGAATCTGCTGTCTGAAGTGGCATTTCCTCCTGGCTTTGGAGTCTCCATGGAGCACTTGCCCAGAGCTGGGGACACATGGACATTGCTGGCCAAGGGACCTTGTTGCCTGGGACCAGGATGTGGCCCCAGGACCTAGCCTCCCAGGTACTGGCAGTCTGCCTGCGTCTCTAAACTCCTTCTGAGCCCCCAGCTTCTGCAGGACTGTCCTCCTGACCCAACGTGTCCTCCTTTGCAAACTCCTCCTCCATCCATGGCTCAGATCAAATGCTCCCTCCTTTTCTGATGATCACCTCCTTCTTGGAGCTCCTGTGGCAGTTAACTGCATGGATTCCTTGGTAGAAAGCTCACATTGACCATTGAACCCTGTCACCTGAGTGGCATATGCAGGATCCTCTCCCAGCTTTCTAGCCTTCCTGATAAATAAGTTCCAGCATTATCCCCATTTTACAGGTGAGGAGACTGAGGCACAGAAAGATGCAGTTACTTTGACTAAAGCCCAGCATGGGGTAAATGCCAGAGCCCAGATTGAACCTGGACAGTCTGACTCCGGAGCCCGTGACCTTAAACTACCTGTTGTGATGGTTTTCTGTTCTACTTAGCTGAGCCCATCTGGACCAGAGACAGGTCCTATTGACTATTCTTTCTTACCTGATGCCTAGCAAAGTCCCCTGCATCAGAATGTGCTGGGCGTATGGTTGCTGGCGGGTTCTAGTCTAGGAGTCGAGAACATTTCCCGTGAAAGAATGGATGCATGTACATGTATGGTTGAGTTCCTTTACTGTTCACTGGTAACTGTCACAACACTCTTTGTTACTTGGCTATCCCCCAATACCAAAGAAAAGAGAAAAAGAGTATTTCCCCCCCCCCAAGAAGCTGTGTGACCTTAGGCAAGTCCTTTCCCTATTGTGGGGTTCAGTTTCTGCATTTATAAAACTTAGGATCTTGGTAAGGCATTTTCAGCCAAGATTCCTTCCAGCTCTGAAATTCCGCAAGTGAGGGAATGACTCTCTTGACATCCCTCTCAGGCTGTTGGAGGACTCCCCCCCGCTCCCTGGAGCCCATCACCCTGTTTCTAGACTGGAAATTCCATAGATCGTAAAATTCCAAAGATAATACATTGCTGGGACTAAGCAATCCCAGTTCCTCTTTACAGATGGTGATGGCTCTGGGGCTCGGGGAGGGATCGGGGCCTTACCTGAGGTTGCCTAAGGCTTCATGGCTTGGCCCTCTCCACCTCCACAGACTCCCCCGGCCCAACCGGGGGAATCCCTCGGCCTCCCTCCACTCAGCTTTCTGGGCTGCAGCGTTTGTAGAATCGGTCTGCTTGGCTCCCAGTCAACTATGCGGTTCGTTTCTCTGCAAGGCAGTGGCTGGAGAGGGGAATGAAGGTGGGGGCGGGAAAGCAGGAAGCCCCCACCTCCCTGAGGGGTAGCCGGGTGCTCTAACCCTCCATCTGTGGGCAGCTGGGGGCACGACTGGGGAGAAGTAGTCACTCCTGACCTTGTCTACCACACCCCTCATCTCATTCTGGGGTACTGGATGTGAGGGTCCCCTCCTCAAACATCCTTCATCTAACCTTTTCCCAATTCGGGCTGAGCTTTGAGCTTAGAACCCAGGAGCCCAGACGGGGGTGAAGCTCTGAGGTCTTCCAGATTCCTTGGAGACCATGAGTTTCCCATCATTCATGGAATTGATGGGGAGACCGAGCCTGGGGAGAAGGGAGACGCAGAGCTGGGACCAGGTTGCATCTAGTTGACAGGATACAGCCTTTGGTGAAATATCAGGAAGGGGCTGGAGGGCTGATTATTTTGGAGGTTACCCATGACACCGTTATAAATCCCCTAGGCTGAGTGAGCTTCTGAACTCGGTTCCTTCTTGACAAGGATGGAGAAGGGGAGGGTCCCAGCTCAGGCATGAAGGAAGAGGGAGGTGCCTTGGGCGGAGTGTGATGGGCTGCAGCTGGGAAGTTGGCCTTGAAGCGAGAGGAAGGAAGCAAATTCATACATAGCCCGATGAGTCAAGAGGGGCCAAGGAGGAGGCAGTGTGTCTGGAGGCTGTTGTGGTAGGGGGCACCCCTTGAGGTGCCTGTCTCCACCCTCAGTGCCTCAGATTATTCCTATTGGACAAAGACTCTCGGAAAGTAGTCGACTCTTAGGATTCTGTTTATATTACTGGGCTGCAAGATGCTAGCCCAGGGCCTTTGCAGAGAAAGTGGACATAAGGCCCCAGCTGTTATAAGGGACATTCAAATATGGCCTGGGAAAATCTAGTGCCACAAATAAGCCTTGGACTTGAAGCCAACAAACTGGGTTCCAGCCCTTGTTTGGCCACTACTCTGCTGTGTGACCTTGGCCAAGACCCTCTGACTCTCTGGGTTTAGTCTTCCCAGCTGTTTCATGGTCCCCGAGGGACTCTGTAAGCGCGGAACATGTAGGAATCTAAGGGAGAGAGCTCTGACTACCGCGGTGGCCCTAGAAGAGACGCGCCCTTGTTCGGAGGAGGCCGGTACTCCCGTGACTGCGCGTGCAGCTCCAGAGGATCATGCAGAGTCCAGTTGGAGTCTGAAGGGTACAAAGTTTCCCTTAAGCAGGAGGAGTCCCAGAAGGTTCCCTGGAGGAAGTGGCATTAAAGCGAGGTCTTGAAGGATGGGCTGGGTTTCATCTGGAGGGGAGGGATGGGAAAGGCATTCCAGATGATGGAACAGCATGGCATAGGTGATGTGAGTGGGAAGTACCAGGCGTGGGGCAGGGCAATCACTGAGTGTGCTGAGTCGAAGGAAGCAAGTGTGGGAGAGGCTGGTGCGGCCAGGTCCAGAGAGTATGCAAAGGTGATCCAGTTCAAGGGCTTGTGCTTGGAAGCCGCACATCTGAGGTTTGTCCATTAGCAGCCGGGTGACCTGGGAAAGTTGTAAAACTCTCTGGATGGCAGCTTCCTCATCTTGAAAATGGGAATCATGGTAGCACCTATCGTGTGGGTTAAAAAGGTAAAATGAGGTGATGTACAGAAAGAGCTGAGCACAGGGCCAGGCATCATGAGAGCCTTTCTGCAAGCAGCTGCCATGGCCAGACTGCTGAGACTCAGCTAGCGGAGAAGACCCAGTGGGCGGGCGGAAGTGCCAGGCCTTGCTTTAGGAAGTGGGATGCTCCTCTTTTCCCCTCATCTCTTTTTCACTTTTCCCTTTCAGGGTCCTCCTGGGCCTTATGGAAATCCAGGCCTCCCTGGCCCCCCTGGAGCCAAAGTGAGTATATGTTGTGGGGTCTGGTGATACTACCATGGGGTGGATGCTGGGGTTAAGGGCCCTGCATTGGGGGACGCTTCTTTTCTTAGGGGCTCCTGGCAGGAGGGCCTCAGAGTCTCCATGGAGGATCCATGTCTAGGCCACCAGCACTCCCTGAAGGCCTCCCAGGTGCCATGCCCCGGACTGGGCTGGAGATGCAGCGAGGAGTTAGGAGTTTAGCAACCAGTGTGGAGGAGCTGGGTGGAAAAGGGCGTCTGGAACTTAGGGCCCTCAAAGTGGGTGGGAAGAAAAGTCATCTGCTGCTAAACATGGGAGGGCCTTGGAGGTCCAGCCTCAGTGTGTTACTGGGTCATAGGACACACCCTGGGGAGGCAGGTCATGTTTTGAGCTGGGGAGGGATATGGAGAGGTCACGTTTGAGAAAAATCCCTGGATGCCGTGTGGAAGGTGGGCTGGGGGGCTGAGGACCAGAGTAGAGGCAGGGAGACCTGGGGTGATACAGGCCAGCGTGGGGTGCGGGAGGAAGGGAATGGGTGCCTCGGCGACGTGGAGGTGAGATAGAGAGGACTCAGTGATGGACAAGAGGAGAGAGACGGGGATTCTCTCTTTAGCCTCAGTGGCCAAACCAGGGAACTGGAGGAAGGAATGTTGCCTTTGGGAATCTGTAGCCCAGCCAGGCGGAGATGATTAGTGGACATTCTGAAACTCAGGGGAGCTCTGAGCTGGAGATGAAGCCCTGGGGGGTGGCCCGCACAGAGATGCCACCTCTGGGCTGCAGATGAGACCAGAAACCCAGGTGACTGGTGCTCTGATGACTATGGGGACTCCAGCTCTGGGGCGCCGGGAGAGACCAGAGCTGTCCAGGGCGGTGTGTGGAGTGAGAAGCCCCAGGATGAGTATGGGGCCAGCAATATTAAGGTTATAAGAAGTAGCCTCAAGTGATGGCTGGAGAATAGAAGGAGGGGGCCAGGGGAGCCAAGAGCACAGCAACTGAGCCAAGAAGAGCACGGGGCAGGCTGGGAACGGCAGAGGGTCTGCCTGGCTGTCAGCTGTGGGGTAACCAGGTGAAGCGCATCCCTGGGCTTTGGTTGGCCTAGGCTCAGGGTCCTTTGCTAACCCATTACAAAGGTCTTGCAGCTTGCGGAAAACCGTTAGCCGAGTGGCCCCAGTGCATGCTGTGATTGAGGGCTGAGCATCCTCTATAAGCTAGTTCTGACTCCTGGAGCTCTTTTTGGGAGAGATGTACACAGGCAGCCCTGGATGTATGACGGCGTGGCACCGGAGTGCTGGTGCAGAGCCCTCGTAGGGAGCGGTGGGGGCGCTCGCCTCCGCCCCTGTGGGCATGTGACTTCCGCCAGCGCTGGGCTGGGGTCCTTTCTTGGAAAGTGCGCCCAGAGGCCTCGCCCGCAGCTGCTTGGAGGTGCTCTGGGTTTTAACAAGGCAAACACCGATGATGCCAAGCACTGTATACTGAACCCTTACTCTGTGCTAGACACTCTGCATGCACTTCACGTAGCCTCATTTGATCTCCACAAAGACCTAATGAGATGGTAGAGTTACTGCACCCGTTTACAGATGGGGAAACTGAGACTCAGGCAGATGATGAAGACCCTGCCTGGGAAATGGCAGTGGGACCTGCCCCCATGAGTCAGGCAGAGGGTCCGAATTCTCCTTGGGAAACTTCTGCTTTGCAGAGGCTTCTGGTCTCCCAGGCCTGGGTAGATCAAGATGCTGAGGATTAGCCACTGTTTTGATTGCCAGGCTTGCTCAAGAACACGCCTTTCTTGGCCTGCTCTGGGACTGTTTGGTCCTCCCCCCACTCCCCCACCACTCCCAGACTTGACCCCCTGCTTCTGTGGTAGCAGATGCTCCATCATCTTCTCCCCGGTCCACACCGGCCCCAGTCTGGCCTGCAGCCCACCCTTCATCCTGCCAGCAGATGTAGGGAGGCAGGAGGAGGACCTACCAGCTGCCTTTCCTGCCATTTTGAGGAGCTGTTCTCAGTGTGGTGAGGGAGGCTCAGACCTCGAAGGTGAGCCCTCCTGCAGCTGTATGGAGCCGGAACCTGTGACTCAGGGCCTCCTGGACAGGTTTTCAGCTTGCTTCTGTATAAACAAATAAGGGAGTGGGTTCCAGAAAATACACTGGAATGGGAGTTTTCTCCCAGTAGAACTTCCATTAAAATGCCCAGGGGAAAAGTCACGCCCTTTTCCTGGACGCTGGACTGCGAGTCTAAGAGGTGAGCCCAAGTGGATCCAGGGCAGTTCAGTTGAACTGAAGGCCCCAGGCTGCTGGACTTTGGCCCTGGGCTGGTGTTCATCTGTGGTTTGGCCAGGATGGGGTTAAAGAGAGGCGCTTCCGGGACAGAATTCCTGAGATTGGAAGAGAATGTTGTGGATCTGCAGGAATGGGCGTGATTCTGGGGAGAGGGTCCTTGCTGTTTACCAGATCCTTTCTGGGTCTGGGTGGTGACCTGGTGGGACTGTAGGGCTGGCTCCCTCCAGGCCCGGTGCTGGCTCCTCCTTTTCCAAACAGTGTTGGCTTCTAAACTACCTCTGGGACCACTCATCTGTTTATTTCCCTTCAATGGGCAAACGTTTATCGAGCATTTACTATGCGCCATTGATGGAAAAATCAGCCCAACAGGCAGGGCCTGCACGGTGGCAGGGAACCCGCCCATCATCTGCACGGGTCACAGTGGGCTCACTCCTGTACCGTATTTATTGAGCCCTTGGGAGTATGGCCTTGTAGGTTAAAGATCCCCCTGCCAGACTAAGGATGGGAGAGACTGGTGGATTGAGGAATCAAGAAGGGGAGACAGAGCAAAGTGAGGGACTTCATTGCTCTTGAGGTCAGGGGAGCAGAGACCCAAAGGGCCCGTGACTTGCTGGGGTCACTTGCAGTGACCAGCAGTGGCAGGACTGAATTTCAGGTCCTTGGGTTTTCTGGCTGGAAGACACTTATTAGGTCTCTACAGATGGTTCAGGCCAGAGCCAGGCTTCAGTCCCTTCTGCCTCCTCCAGAGCCCAAGGCTTTCCTTATGTACCACATACCCATATGTTCCACGTTCAAACCCATCAAGAAGAGGGTTTGTCAGTTCCCACAGAGTCAAGATCAAGGACTTTGAGACTGAAGCAGAGAAGCCAGAACCCTGGGTGAATGGTGTTAGCTGACCTTGGAGGCCAAGTGTTGAGTTATGTGTCCAGCAACCACAGTTGTCGTGCAGGAGAGCACGTGGTTAAGAGCACGGACTCTGGAGCCAGATGGTGGAAGTTCACATCCCAGGTCTGTTAGTAATACCTTCTAGTTCTGTGACTCTGAGCAAATTATCTGAATTTCGCGTGCCTTAGTTTGCTCATCTGGAAAATGGGACAATAGTAGCTGTCCTCCTGGCATCCCCAGTTGTCATGAGATATAACTGAGTTAAGAGCAGTGCTGGCCTGTGGCGGTGGTCAGCTGTCAACAGGTGCAAGGCGCCCAGCGTACAAGGGGGCACAGACAGGGACGGTTCCTGATCTTGTGGAAGCAAGCTGACCACGCCATGCAGAGGGCCCCACATGAGAGGCACTGGGTGCTCAGAGACCCCACAGAATGGCAATTGATCTGGTCTGGAAGGTAAGGCCTGCCTTCCTGGAGGTTGGGAAGGTTGAATCAAGTCTGAAGGGCAGCAGGCCACCAGGCCAAGGGGTGGGAGGAGGTTGGGGAGGGCAGCAGGCCTGCTGGGTGTGCTGAGACTTTTAGACTTCATACAAAGAGCAGTTGGAAGGTGTGAGGTTTGCAGCAGGCAGGACACGATCAGGTGTATCGTTTTGCAAAGGTCACTTAGGCAGTTGCGGAAGCTGGGTCCGTGGCCATCAAGTCCGTGGCCATCAAGTTGAAGGGTGGCCAGCGGGGAGGCCTGGAGCTGTGGCTGTGGTGATGCTGATTCTGGGCCAGGTGAAATCAGATGGGATGCAGGGCCCAGGTCAGGTGAGAAGCTCTGGGTCCGAGGTGGGCGGGGCTCTGACTATGCTTGTGCTGGGTGATGAGGCATCTGGCCCCTTTCTCCCTGGCAGCCAGCTGCCCCTTCCCTCCTCTGGCCTGCTTGGTTTGCAGTGAATTACTCAGGATTACTGTGAGCCCTTGGGCATCTGGGGAGGATAGGTGGGCAAGAAGGGCCATGCTTAGTGATCCAAGTGACTCCTTACAGGAGTCTCGGGCCTCAGACCCCAGCTTCCCCTTTCCCTGTCTCCAGTGACTGAAGTAGGACATATTCTTTAAGGAAAATGTGGAAAAGTCTAGAAAGTATCAAGAAGAAAGCAGGCCTCCTGATCTGGCCCTGCCCAGCGATAGGCACTGACTGCATTTTAAACAGCCTGTGTGTCCAGGACTGGCCAAGAACCTGACATACTTTGCAGGGTGGATGTTATTACCCCCATTTTACAGATGAGAAAACTAAGGGCCAAAATGTCTAAGTAACTAGCCTATCTCTGATAAGTATCAAGGACAAAATTTGAATCCTCTGCTATCTGACTCCAAAGCACATAGTTTTAGCGTATCCATTAGCTTCATAGCCCTTTAGCTCTGTAGATTAAGCTATATATGTATATATATATATAATATATATATATATATATATATATACACACACACATGGATATACATATGTATACATTCATACTACATATATGTGAATAATTTAAAATATGCTTGTACCTAAGTGCCATATAGTGTTTAGCTGTTATTTTATTAACAATTGCCTTGTAGAAAGACTGAACCAATCTATGCCACTGCTAGCATTACAAGAGGATATTTGTAAAAGATAATTCATTATTGCTTCCAATACACTGCACTGATCATCTATGAATAATTTTCTTACATTTGCTTTCTATTTGCATTTCACCATTTATGAGTTTGTTTATTTTAGGGGTTAGGATGTTGTCTTTTGTTATTTATTTGTAAACATCATTTGTGTTTATATATGAAGGTTTATTAAGGCTTCATCTATCTTACAAATTATTTTTGAGTTTGTTATTTGCCTATTGAGAGTATTCATGATGATTTTCACAAATGAGAGTGTTGCCTATTTTTTTTGAATCAACAATAACTGGCATTTATTAGGAACTTACAGTGTGTCAGAATCTGAGCCTTCAGGAAAGCCCTAATTTGAAGAGAGCTCTATCATAAGTAGGGGCTTCCCTGGTGGCCGAGGAAAGAATCTGCCTGCACTGCGGTGGGCTGGCGTTTGATGCCTGGGTCAGGAAGATCCTCTGGAGAAGGGGATAGCAATCTACTCCAGTATTCTTACCTGGAGAATTCCATGGACAGAGGAGTACAGTACACGGGGTCACAAAGAGTCAGACACGACTGAGCGACTAACACTACCATATGTAAAATTTATGATTCTTTACTTTTGTACTTAGACATTTCTTTCCCATACTAGGACCAGAGAGGTATTCACTAATATTCCATTTTATAATTTCATTTGTACTCAAAATTTTAAACCATCTGGAATTAATCTGCTTGGAAGTAGGTATGGGTATAGCTTTATTTTCCCCACAGTAGTTGATCATTTATTAAATAACTTTTCCTCCACTATTATATGATAGACCAGGGTCTATTTTAGGCCATTCAAGTATGTTTCATTGCTATGTTTGTATATTTTTAGGCTAGTAAAATACTATTTTATGACAGTTATTATCTTTATACTGTGTGTCTCCCTCCTCCACTTATAAAAAATGTTCTGGCTATTTAATCTGTCAGATGAACTTTATGCCCATCTTAATAATTTCATTAAAAAAAACCTCTCTTGGGGTTTTTCTTGGAATTGTGTTAAATGTGTTTATTTGTGAATAACTACCATCTTTAAAATATTAACTTTATCCATCTAAAACCATGCCATATCTTCCCATTTGGTTGAGTTTTTTAAATGTCTCATAATAAACCTCTATAGTTTTTATTGCATAAACCTGGCACATTTCTTACTAAGTTTGTTCTTAGAAATTTCATATTTTTGTTGCTGTTATGAATGGAATATTTTCCCCATTATATTTTCTAGCTGGCTTACAGCTATTGAAAAAGAACTATTGACTTTGTATATTTGTACTTTTGGTGTTTATTTTACAACCATGCCCTTTGCTGAATTATTTTATTAGTTCTAACAGTATTTTACTTAGTTCTCCTGAATTTCTAGACAGGCACTCATATTGTTTGCAAAAAAGGACATATTTTTGTCTCCTTTTCCTCAAAGGTTAGTAGCCTTATTTGTTTTTCCTGCCTTATTGCTGTGGCCAGAACTTATAAACACATGAAATAGTAGTAGTGATAGTGAGAGACCTAGTGAATCTTCAGAGGACCTTCCGGAGCTGGGGTCAGATCTGACCCAATCCTCGCCCTAGAGTTGTCTCTTGAGACGCCACTGATTTATTTTCTCACTTGAGAAATATTTTTCTGATGCCTCCTCTAGGCCGGGCCCTGTGCTACATACTCGGGATCATGTATCTTGCAAAAGATGACTTGCACAGGGGATTTCTGGCCCAGAATTTTCCAGTCCTTCATGGTTTGTTTCTTCTTTGTCTCAGCCCCTTGAGGCCTCATCTAACCACTTCCCAACTTCACCTGCAAGAAAGAAGCTCATAGTTTCCATTCCCGCTCTGTTAATAGCATTTCTGGTTTAGTATATACCTTCCTAACCATCTTCTAGCTCCTCAAGTCTCTGTTAACTAGAGTCTGCTGTTCCATAGAGAGGGAAAGGGACTCGTCCAAGATCACACAGGCTCACTGACTGGAGAGCTGGGTCTGGCACCCACGTCCTCAACCTCACCAAGGTGTAAACAATTAGTTAGACTTTATGATTCCTTATATCTCTTACTGGAGAATTTGCTGGAGTCTGGCTGGGAAGATGGATAAGTTTCTGCATCCCAGAAGTCACACGTTCAGCTGAGCAAGGGTGCCTTGAGCATCCCTGGAGCCTACACTGCATCTGGCCCCCTTCTTGTCTTCCTCCAGCTTTAGCTTGGCTGATTGACTCTCAGTCTGGGTCAAGTTCTCCCAGCTTCCTCCTGTACTCCACGTATCACTGATCCTAGTTGTTCATCTCTCGTGTATTGAAATGTAAAGATCTTGGCCTCTGGAAACAGACTTCCTGAATCAAAATCCCACTTATGAATTATAGGATCTTGGACAAATTACTTTCCCTCTCTGTACCTCAGTTTCCTCATCCGTGAAATGGGGATAGTGATTATGGCTCCCTTTTAGATTTATACGTTGAAGACTTAGAAGAGCACTCAGAAAATGCTAGAGCAGATCAGCATTACCAGTCTCTGGTTTCTCCCTTGAGAGGTCCCCACAGGCGCGACTTGTGTCTTGATCCCCACCATGGTATTTCCAGTGTGCACAGTAGGATGTGTAGATGTTCAATAAATTTCAGTTCTTTTTTTTGTTGTACTCGGGCAGGGATTAAGTCCCAAACATGGTGCTGGCTGCTGAGAGTGCAGAGAGCAGTCCATAGAAACTAAAATGCCCCCGGATATGACCTCTGGGCAAAGGAACCAGTCTGGCATCCCTTTGGATCTGTTTCCCCCTTTGTAAGATGACAGAACCGGATGCAAAAGGCCCACCCCTGAGAGCATTTTAAGCCCAGCTCCTCTGTTGGCTGCGGAGCGAGGTGGGCAAGGGCGGGGTGGGTAGAAGTGGCTATCCTTTTTTGGCCGTTGGAATCCTGGGTGGCCCTGGGCCTGGCCTTGCACATGGACATAAAAGGCAGTGGAGCTGGGCTTATGAACGCCGAGGCTGGGAGAGTGTCAAGGGGCTGCTGCAGCATGAGGCTGTTGATCCTAGAGGTGAGGCCTGCAGCAGTGACTTGGAGGGACCTCGGTGGACAGAGAGTTGGGGTTCTAGCAAAGAGGGACTGGCCTGCAGCCTGGGGCAGCCGGTGGGCATGTGGGAGAGGCACCTAGGCTTCCCATTTGTAAGTGGGGGCTCTGGAGTCAGATTGACCCAGGACCTAGTCAGACCTAGTGAGACTTGGCCTCTGACCTGCACGCCTCCCTGGGCTATGACTCAGCCCCTCTGAATCTGGGGCTTGGTCCTGTGTTGCCACAAGTGGGTGTAAGAGGCCTGGCGAGGTGCTGCATTGAGTGGGCCAGTGTTGGGCACGTGGTCGGCGGGCAGCGAAAGGGCGCCCTCACTCTTCTAAGGCTTGTTCCGGTTGGATGCAGTGATTTCTCGTGCAGAGTGACTGAGTCCGGATTTGGAGGATCTGGGTCCTGACACAGAAAAGAATCAAGTGGGAACTAATTAAAGTTGGCCAAACCACCCTCCCCACGTGTCACATCCATCATCGCACTGGCTCCTTGCCAAGAAACCNTTTCTCGTGCAGAGTGACTGAGTCCGGATTTGGAGGATCTGGGTCCTGACACAGAAAAGAATCAAGTGGGAACTAATTAAAGTTGGCCAAACCACCCTCCCCACGTGTCACATCCATCATCGCACTGGCTCCTTGCCAAGAAACCGGGATGCCAGGCGGCCATGTGTACCGGTACCCCTGTGTGTGTGTGCACGTGTGTGTGTGTGTATGTGTATGTGTGTCTGTGTGCAAGTGTGTCTGTGAGCACAGACCTGTGTGTGTGTGTATGTGTGTCTGTGTGCATGTGTGTCTGTGAGCACAGACCTGTGTGTGTGTGTGTGTGTGTGTGTGTGTGTGTGTGCGCGCGCTATGCAGCCTGCATTTTAAAGGTGAGGAAACAGGCTCAGAGAAGTGAAGTCACTTGCTTGAGACCCTGCTGTGAGTCTGTAACCCAGGACTACTGACTCAGGACCCAGACTGGGGAGGGAGCTGGGGAGTGAGGCTAAGCGACAGAGACCAGGAGACTGACTTCTCAAAGGACTGTCTCCTGAGTCATTTAAGCAGGTCGGGCCATAGCCCAGAGCCCTCTTTAGCTGTGAGAGACACAGCTGGTGGGTGCTTCCCTGAGCACATGCTCTTAAGAGCCAGGATACTTGTGATGGGGATGCTCCCGTGTGCTTGGGACTAGGAATGCCGGTCTGACTGAGGACACGCTACTTGTCAGTTTCTCTGCTCTTACCTGCCTATTCCAACTTATTGGGTCCCAGGTCTCTGTTCTGGGAATTGAAAATTCAGGGTCCTAGTCTTAGCTCTGCCAGTGCCTCAACTTGGGGTCCTGGGCTGTCCTTTTCCTTCTCCAGGCCTCAGTTTCCCTGAATGTGTTATGGGGTAATAACACTTCCTTTGTCCGCTTCATCGGGCTACCCCACCCTGGTGGGGTGAAGGATATTGCAAACTGTGAAGGGCTATACATAGAGTAAGTGGCTGTTAGTGCACTGGCTCTAGGTAATTTGAGATGGTGAGGTGAGCATCAGGGGCTAGGAAAAGCAAAAAGAATCAAGCTTACCTCCAGGGTGTGTCTCTCAGAAGGTCTCTGAGGGCCCTGGGGGAACACATCACCTGTACAGTGGGCCCAGGGATCTACGGGTTGGTGGAGGAGGATGCAGTCAAACTGCATCTTGGGAATGTTTCTGGTTTGGCTAATGATGATTAGGGGGGAGTGGTTTTCTACTTGGGGGTGACTACCTGCACAAGGACCCAGCAGCATGAATGTGAAAGTTCTGGTGGAGGAACGTGGTCTGGGAATGGGGCAGAGGGGCCCCGTCTACAGGCTGGGCTGGTAGGAGGAGAGGAGTTCTGAATAGGGTGGGTGGTACCAGATGATGGAAGACCTGGGACACCCCAGGGGGAGTTCGGGCTTTGTCACTAGGGTGGTGGGCAGCTCTGGAGGGTTGCTGAAGCAGGGGAGTGATGGGGTTGAAGAGGACCTTGTGAAGGAATGTGAGTGGGGTGGAAGGGGAGGGCATTTAAGCAGAGGTCAGGGATTTGAGCGGAGTTGGTGGGGAGATACCCTCTTTAGAAGACGTGGCGGCCAAAGTGGAATTGTTTCTGTTTCAGGGACAGAAAGGGGACCCCGGGCTCTCACCAGGAAAGGCCCACGATGGGGCAAAGGTAGGTTTCCAGGGACCCCAGCGCTCAGGGAAGCGGAGGAGTGGATGGTAGGGAATCCGCCTCTGTGCTCCAGCACAAACCTCCTGACAGAGGCCTCTGCGTAACAAAAGGCCGGAGGCAGGATGTAGAAAAGGACATGGTCTGTTCTCTTTGAAGCCCTTCAGCTCTCCCTGCACCAAACCCAAAGCCATCCCCGCTGCCTTCTTCCCTTGTGCAGCCAATAAAACCAACAAAAAATGTGACCTGTGGACATTGCTTTGGTGAATGTCCTTTGGCCTGATGCTCTGAGTGGGTTTTCTGCAGGGCCTGCTAGGTGGCCCTCGGCATCCAGAAGCTTCTTGGTAGCATACGCTCAGGAAGCTTCCAGCAGACATTCGAAGACCCCTCCAAGTTGGTTAGTTGGACACACAGGTGTGTGGATTTTCAGGACGTGAAAGGGAATGGGCTGGAGAGGCAGGGCTCCCTGACTCTGAAGCACCGAGACCAGAAGTTCTCCCATGGGAGAGAGAAGAGTTAGGCCCAAGGACTTCATTGCCCCTGAAGCATCCACCCTGTAAGTTAAGCAAGGGGCCTGGAGGGAGCGCAGGTCAGGCCAGAGCAAGGGAACCCAGAACTCCAAGTAAGGCCGCCCCGCGTCCCGGACACCCATCCTCTGGAAGGAGCCCTCAAGTCTGGTGTCCTTCTGACACAACCCCAAAGCCCTCCTGACCAGAAGGACTCTGCTTCTCAGCCTCAGCCCAGTCCCCGAGCGGGGACTTAAAGGTGGCGGCTCCTGTTGATTTCTCTGAGACACAGGTGGCTCATTCCTTCACATCTTCGTGAGAAGTTTTTTCACTCAGCAAATGCTTCCTGTATATATACATCCACATGCACTCCCATTGGATTCTCGGAAGCTTATAAGCCAAGCAGCTGGGCCTAGCTTGCCTGGGAGGAAACAGAGGCCCCAGAGGCAGGTGGCTGGAGGCCACGCAGCTGGTCAGGTGCAGACCAGACTTTGTACCCGGGCTGGATGACCTCCAGGGGCCCAGGCTTCTCTCCCGCTCCTGCATTGTCTGCTGCTGGGTCTCATGGTGGTGGCAGAAATCCCCCCTCCTGGGTGGCCACCATGTTCAGCACGGGCAGGAGGGAGGAAGGGGGATTGCCGATTGAAACAGGTTGCATATTCTCCAGGGCAGTGGTTTTCAAACATGCTTTTGGCAGTGTAACCCATTCCCCAAATGGTACCTTCTGCCAAAGTCCAACATAGAAAACAGATCAAATGGAGCGACTGAGTCAAGTGAGGAGGGACTGGGTCCCCTGCCCACTTGGTTGCACTCACCCTGCACAGAGGACCTGAGTCTCCTCTGAGGCCTCTAGGCCTCCGTGAATCCTGTTCGCAAACCACTGGCCATGGGAGGCTGAACTTTCAATGAGTGTCTGCTCCTATTCTCTCATCTCACCTCATTTTCTGCGTCTTTTTTCAGGGCGACATGGGCTTGCCCGGGCTCACTGGGAATCCAGGACCCCTTGGACGAAAGGTACACCTTGGTGTTGATGCTTTGCTTTGCTGAGTGGGTTTCCTAGCAAGTGGGGTCTTCAGGCAAGAGTGCTGTGTGCTGCCCGCTTGTCCGCCTGCCTCTCCCCAGCTCTGGCCCAGATCCTCAGCAGTGGGCTGGTGGCCAGAGGGGAGAGAGGTTTCTGAGGCTCTGTGCTTACCCAGGGGCGTGGAGCACCTTGGCTTGGAGCAGGTCCCCCCACAAGGGTAAGGAAAAGGGAAAAAAAAGGAACCCGGGTTGCCGGCCCTCCCCCTGCAACCCAGCCGCCCCAAGGAAGGCCCGAAGGGGCCCCCGGGGGGGGAAAGAAAAACGGCAAAACCAAGAACCCCCGTAGGTTCAGCTCCACCTGCCATGAGCTGAGGGCCTGGGACCTGCACAGCCCCTGTCTGAGCCTCAGCCTCCTTCTACCTGGAGTGACCATGACCTGCCCCCTCCCCCGTCCCTGATCTTCCTGGGGCTCTAAACCAGGAGCGAGATCTGGAGCCTGGGAGTTGAGAAAGTGGGCTCTGGGGTCAGCTGCATCTGGGCTCTGCTCCCTGCTCCACCATTTGCTCGCTGTGACCTGGAGCAAGTCAGCAACCTCTCTGGGTCTCATCTCATCCCTCCCATATACTGCAGGGAAATCCCTGTAGAGCCAGAGAGTTCTCTGTGCATTTTGAGCTGTTCTCATCTGCCCCCACCCCATCACTGCATCAGTCAGGCAGGGGGTGTTAGCTCCCCAACAGCCTTTGGAGGAGGAGCTGTCATTTTCCTAGGTGGTGGGTTTCTGGCTGGCTGTGCCCCTGAATTCCTCTCCAGCTTTGCAGCTAGGGTATCCCATCCTTCAGACTCAACTCTACTTGTGCCCCCTCCAGGAAGCCCTTCAAGAACCCAGCTTTCAGCTCGAGAGCCTCTACGCTGCTCGAGGACCCATAGTCCATCTAAACGGCGTTCTTTTCCGTCCCCAGACCAGCCCCGCCAACCAGGACATGCAAAACTGGTTTGTCGCTCTTCCCACAGAGCCTCGCTCAGGGCCTGTGTGTAGTAGGGAAGACAGTGCAGAGTCAGGGTCAGCTGCTATTTTTGCAGGAAAATCCCCCATTGCAGACGGGTTTTCACTCCGTAGATCAGCCTAGGGCCGCGGCTTGAGCGTCCATGCTGGCTCCCAGCTGTAACCACAGCTGCCCTCTTCCTTGGCCATCTGGTTCTCATTCGGGCAGCCGTGGCATCTCCTGGCTCCATCTTGTCCGTGCTCTTGAGGGTCCCTGTGGCGCAGGTGGACATGGAACATCACTGCCCCCCCGGACCCCTTCTCCAACCTCCTTGGCCAGAACGGGTCTTGCTGCAGATCTGAAGAAGCCAGACCCAGACAGGAGTGCGTGGCTGTCTGTGAGCTGGGGAAACGTGGTCTCTTCTGGCTCAGAGAACGCAAAGGGACTCCCTCTCCCCACTCACTTCCTCTCTGGGCTCCAGCACTTTCTGATGGATGAGGTGTGAGTGGAAAAGTCTTCTTCCAGTCCTGGCTCATAAAGCAGCCAGTGGTGGTCTCGCTTGGCACGGGAGTAGGAATCTAGCAGAGGAGGCGGGAGATGGAAAACCAGACTGGATTGGCTCCTGCCTGGGGTTCTCGCCTTCCTGCTCTTAGCAGATGTCCAGGGAGGCCCAGAGTCCCCAGCCTAGGGGAACCAGCTCACCTGAGCAGGGAGAGACATCTTTTCTAAATTAAGGAAGAGTCTCTGTGTGGTAGGAAAACGATTTGGCAAAGCCATTTCCACCGAGTCCCTCTGGCCCCGGTCTAGGCAAACACAGAGGAGCTTGGTCTGGCTGGCCAGTGTCACCTGCTCACAGTGGGTGGTGGGCAGATCATGGGGCCGCTCAGATCTCAAGGCAAGGACCCCTGACCGGTGGTGAGGGTCAGGGAGGCAGACCAATGGGGTGGGCAACCTCAGCTGGAACCATCCCCGTTTGTCAGTAGTCTCTCCTCCCCCAAGAATCTTTGGTAACAACAGTAGCCATTTTGCACTGATCCTGTTGGGTGGTTTGCCTGCACCATCTCATGTAGGGAGCCTTGAGCGAGAAAGAACATCAGTGGCTGAGAGGTGAGGTCAGCGTGTCCTTTGCTCATCAGCACACTGGATTTTGGTGTCACCTCATAGTGACACCAGTAGCCCTATTCATTCATTTCTTCAACAGAACGAATTGATTGTCTTTTGTGTGTCCGGAAGTGTGCAGGCCTCTGAGCTGAATGACGAGACAAAAACCCCTGATCCTCAGAGGTTGCAACCTTGTGGAAGAAAGGAGGCAACAAAAATGGTAAAAACACGAGATATGTTAGAAGATGAAAAAGGCCATTGAGAAAAGTAGGCAGGAAAAAAGGGACTTTGAGTTGGGAGTTTCTCATATTGACTAGTGTGACAGAAAGGCTGACTGTTCCTCATCACATCTCTTCCTCATAATAGCCTCCAGCAGTTAAGCAGTATTACGCCCGTTTCACAGCTGAGAAAACTAAGGCCCAAATAGGTCTCATTCGTTCATTCACTCTTCCAGTCATTGCGCAAAGATGTGCCTATGTACCTGGCCCTGTACTGACACAGGTGTTACATGCCAGTGAGCTCACTGGGGGCTTTCAGAGATTGAAGTCCACAGCCCTGGTTCCCAGCCCCTCTGAGTGTGAGAACCAGTGGGGGAGTTTGTCCTCCACCTCCACAGGGTTCCAGTTCAGCTGGTCTAAGCGGACTAGAGCACTAGATCGTCACGGGCAGCCCAGGCCGAGAGCCACTGGGTCAGTGGACACAGCTGCCAAGGTCTCTAAATGGCAGAGCTGGGATTTGAACTCAGGTCTTCTAACCTTCAGGCCCTTTCCCTCTCTACAATGCTGATGGAAACAGCTTCTTAAATAAGAGCCTCCCCACCCTCAATAACGGAGAAGGCAATGGCACCCCACTCCAGTACTCTTGCCTGGAAAATCCCATGGACGGACGAGCCTGGCAGGCTGCAGTCCATGGGGTCGCGAAGAGTCGGACAGGACTAGGGACTCACACACACACCCTCCTGTAGCCCAGAAGGCTGCCAGAGCCTTTGCTCCTTGGAAGGGCAGAATCCAGTGCTGTCCCTAGTCTAATCCCCCTGCCTTCTCTCCTATAGAGCAGCGCTATTCAACTGCCTCCTGGGAACAATTCACAGTGGAGGCATTTTTGGTCATTACCCCCGGGAGCGGGCGCTTCTAGCTTTGAATGAGTAGACAGCAGAGATGCTGTTACAGATCTTGTCATGCATGGCACACACACCCCACCCACAGCAAAGACTGATCCAGCCCCCAGTGTCAGTGGTGCCAAGACCAAGGAATTCTGCTGCATAGAAACCCTCGAAGCATCCAACCCTGTGTGCCCTGGGCCTTCCTGCCTCCCCGTGTTTGCTTATGCTGGGCTCTCCCCTCCCTCCTCATCTTCATGGATCAGTCTCTCGATTCTACCCTCACATGCCGTCTTTTCCAAGAGTATCTGCCCAGCACCTCCAGGCCGAATTCGTATCTCCCTTCTCACACCAGCCTGTTTTCTCAGCCTCTTTGGGACTCTGCATTTTCTGGCTAGCGGGCAACTCGTTGATATTCTTGGCATAGTTGTCAGACTAGAGCAAGTTCACAGAGGAGGGCCTCTTCTTCTGTGTTTCCTCGTGCGGGGCTCAGCACAGTGCTGGACCCGGACATCTGCTCTTTCACCCCATGCCTCCCTGCCTGCTCTGCCCATGGCAGAAATAACTAGTTGCTCTTTCTTGCCAAGCCTAATTGAGCCTCAGACTCTTTCTTAACACATTGCTCCAGGTAGACATGATTGATGGAATAAAGTTGGTACCCAAGTTGGAACTTCCTCTTGGCTCCCTCCTGCCACCCTGCCCATGAGCCCTCCCTCTGCCTTCTGCGTTGGCCACTGTCTGAGAATCTATAGTAAAATGGGCAGGCAGAGGGGGTCACCTGGGGGTGTATTGGGGGGGTGTGTGATTGACAAATCTTAAGGCAATCTCCTGCCTTTCTGCAGAACTGCCAGTTCTATCTGGACATAGCATCCCCAGAGCTGGACCCGGACATCTGCTCTTTCACCCCATGCCTCCCTGCCTGCTCTGCCCATGGCAGAAATAACTAGTTGCTCTTTCTTGCCAAGCCTAATTCAGCCTCAGACTCTTTCTTAACACATTGCTCCAAGTAGACATGACTGATGGAATAAAGTTGGTACCCAAGTTGGAACATCCTCTTGGCTCCCTCCTGCCACCCTGCCCATGAGCCCTCCCTCTGCCATCTGCGTTGGCCACTGTCTGAGAATCTATAGTAAAATGGGCAGGCAGAGGGGGTCACCTGGGGGTGTATTGGGGGTGTGTGTGATTGACAAATCTTAAGGCAATCTCCTGCCTTTCTGCAGAACTGCCAGTTCTATCTGGACATAGCATCCCCAGTTCCATGTAGCACCCCCAGTTCCATGCAGTGCCCCTACTGAGGACCTCCTTGGATTCCCCCTGTTGCTGAGCTGTTCTGATCTTCTGGTGCCCATACCCACTCTGTTTTTTTTTCTTTTAAAGAAAATTTATTTATTTAAAAAAATTATTTATTTTAAATGACTCTACTGGTCACATTGTTGTGGCATGTGGGATCTTCAGTTGTGGCATGTGGGATCTAGTTCCCCAACCCAGGGTTGAATCCGGGCCCCCTGCTTTGGGAGCACAGAGTCTTAGCCACCAGACCACCAGGGAAGCCCCTCCAGCTCCGTTTCTGCACTCCACTGACCCTCTGCTCTCCTTCAAGCCTCAGCTTACACCACCACCTCCTCTGCTTGGCTGTCTGTGCTCTCCCAGCAGTCAGTACTACTTAGTTCCGCTCCGTATGTGCTTAATATCCTATTCTAGAAGGTAGAGAGCAAGTTTTCTTTGTTTACCTGTGCATTTTCAGTGCTAAGATAGAGTCTGCCCTCTTGGTGGGGCTCCGCAAACCTTGGAATGAAGGAGTAACCAGATGAATGAAGGATTCGCACAGAAACTCTACGTTCCTGCTCTGACCTGTCTCAGGTACCCACTGAGCAGATCTCAGCATCAGATGCCTGACTGTACTGTGCTTTTGGACAAGCCACGCATCATATTGCAGAATCTTACAGAATCCTATTATTTTGGGGCCAACAGGATGCTTTGAGAGGTCAGCTAGGGAAACTGAGGTTCAGAGAGAAGCAGGAACTTGGCGGGTCTGGTGTTGTGACTCACTCTGCCTCTTGGCAGATGTTTCTTCCAACTGACCCTTTCTGTTGACTGGGGCTCTCCGTCCTGCCGGCCGCCCAGTGTGGCCTGGGGGCTGCCAGGGTGGTAGAGAAGTTTAGCGGGAAGCCTCATGGAATGCTGAGCGGATCTGGTGAGCTTTATTCTACTGCGAGAGAAGCTGGGGCCTCGTGCAGGCTGAGGTGGAGCCTTCGAGATCAGCGTGCGAGAGGCGATCAGCTGAGAGGTCTAGGCTGGTTCTCAGGACCCCCAGGCAGGGACAGGACCCCCCTCCCCTCCGTGCCCAAAGCCCAAATAGCATCCCAGCCGACAGGGAGACTGTCTGCAGTAACAGTGAGGTGATGTCTGGTTTTTACTTGTGCATTGTAAGCAATGATTAATCTGGCTCTGAAACCAAAATATAGCCCAAGTTCTATTATAAACATGGGTCCTGTGGAGACCCGCCTGCCGAGCAGCCAGAGGCCCCTTGCAGATTTCTGTGGTCCCTGGAACTCCCCTGAAGCCTCTGCTCTCCTCTCGTCCCCGTCAGGCAGCCATCACCCATGGGGAAATCACTGCCCATGGGTCCACCTTGCGGTCAATGCCCGCCCCGTAATTGCTGGGGCCCTGGAGAAGGTAATGGTTTAGATTCTTCCAAGACCCGGGGCCCTGTCATTTGAAGCTATTTGACTGGCCCCAGCTTGGTAAACACTGTTAAGGTGCTTTCCAGGGAGCGTAGGAACCCCCATCCCCACCCCAACCCCATGTCTCTGCTGTGTTCAATCTCAGCTGCTCCCAGTCCTCTAAGAGAAACGGGTTCGTGGCAGTGTTCAAGGCCCTTCAGGGCCCATGGTTTGGAAAAGACCTAGGAACTGTGGCCTTCTGGACAAAGCCCAGCCCAGTGGGTCTGGAGTCATGGGGAACTGTCTGGGCTTGGCCGTAACCTGCTAACTAGTCTTCGGCGAGTGCCTTTAACCTCTCTGAGCCTCGGTTTCTCATTGTATCCAATGAAGGAGGCTGTGAAACTGATGGCTTAGGTCCCGTCCAACTCAGACAGTGGGTTCATGATGCTACAGTGTGATCCACAAGCTCAGACCTGGGGAGGTGAGTCCGTAAGAGAGTCTTTCCCTTGGTATCCCTGTGACTCTTGCAGGTGGGCTGGGGTCTCAACAGTTAGGACATAGGACTTCGCAGCCTGCTGTGTGGCCTCTTTACCTCACTGAGCCTCAGTTTCCTCATCCGGCAAGTGGGCCTGGTAATTCCTGCCTCTCAGGGATGATAGCAGGTTGTTGATGAACTGATGTATCTAGGCCTTAGTGCGGGGCCAGGCATAGAGTGAGTCACTGTCCATGTCCCTGATGGTCATTTGCTTCCTTTTCACTGCATCCTGAAAAGAAGATTTACTTGAAATCTCCTCCTGGGATTTCACTGGCAAGTCTGCCAAAGGTTTCTAGCTTCTTTGTGACTGCAGACGAAGCCAAAGGAGCATGTGGTGCTCAGGGCTCCCTGGATCCCTCTCTCGCTTCTCCTGGGATTCTTGCTCCATTATCGCACTGGCTGCATTATGGCAGCAGTGCATTATGCATTATATAATGCATATATGCGTTATGCTGCATTGAGGCAGCAGAAGATGGCAGAGAGAGGCTTAGAGAAGGCAGTCGCCTGGACTGAGTCACACAGCTTAGAGCTCGGGGCTCCACTCAGCTCTTCGTGGGAAAAGGCCTTGCTTGTTTTTCCTCATCTGCAGCCTTCAAGTGGAGAAAGGATGATGGTCATGCATCCTGTCCATGACACATCCCTGCTCACAACCCTCCTGTGCTTTCCTGCCATCTTTCCACCTGGCATGCTCTGGTTTCCTGCTTCCTCTCTGACCATCTCGTCACTCTGCCCCTCACCGCTCACTCATTCTGCTCCAGTCCCAAGGGGCTCATTCTTTCTTGAGAGCAATCTCAAGCCTCAGGGCTTCTGCCCCTATTGTTCCCTCTGCCTGGAAAGCCTTTCCCCAGAGAGCCAGCCCTGTGTCTAGCTCCCCTGCCTGCCTACCCGCGGTCACCACCCTGCCCAACGTGGGCCGCTCTGTCCTCTGCTCACGTTTCTCCACAGCACTAGTCGTTGCCACACATGATCCCTTTTTTAGAATTTCATTTTCAGTGATGATAAGAAACACATCACGTACATTTTCCACCTGAACCCTGTTTGTGTGTGCAGTTCAGTGTTGGGTATGTTCACATTGTCATGCAATCGATCGCCAGAACTTTTTCGTCTTGCAAGACTGAAACTCTACCCCCATGTAAGCAAATCCTTGAGACATTATGTTTTATATTTATTTGTTGCTATATCTACTTAATTAGACTGTAAATTCTGTTAAGGCAAAGGATCTTGTCTTCTTGTTCACCCAGTGCCTAGAATGGGGCTGGAGCTTGAAAGAACAGCAAATGTTTGTTGAATGAATGAATGTAATATAAAGATCATGCTACTAACAGCAGCTAGCCTTTACAGGGCTTTTGAATTCAATGTGGTGCTAAGTGCTTCACAGATTATATCATGCAGTCTGCAACGCCAACCCCTTAGAACCCCCTTTTGCAAGATGAAACCAGGACTCAGGGAGGTGGTCCCAGGTCCTCCAGCCAGTAGGGAAGCAGGATAGGGATCCAGATTAATCTGAAACAAGAGATCTTAACCACTCTGCATGCTGGCTGCTGGCTGTGGCCTCTGCCTCAGTTTGCCCATTGGGGAAGAATGGCATGCTGGAGGAATCTCACCCAGCCATGTTGCATCAACCACATGGGCCCCAGTTCTGAGATGCAATCACAACGCTGAGCAGTCTCGAGGCGTGAGTAGGTGCAGAAGGAATGCTCGTAAACTCCCCAAACCTCTTGGATCAGAGCGATGCTGTTTATAATTAAAGAGTGCCGCTTTCTGGGGGTCTGCGGGGGTGCCAAATGTGTGTGCCTGTGGGTGTTTGTGGATGTGCATAAACTGTACATGCCCAGGGGGGCTGCGAAGCTCTCCGCGTGGCCTCTGGTGTCAGAAAGACCCAGTGGTGAGCTTGAGCTGCTGCTCCTTAGTAGTGGGATTCTGGACAAGTGACTTCTATTCATTGAGACTCGGTTTTCTGTAGGATGGAGATGATATAAACAACAGTGGGTAGAGGGGGTTCACAGACATCGTGTGTGTGTGTGTGTGTGTGTGTGTGTGTAGTCTAGAGTCTCATTTATCACCAGCCTGGGGGAGCCCTAGGGCTTCTACCTGCAATGCAGGAGACCCAGGTTCGATCCCTGGGTCTGGAAGATCCCCTGGAGAAGGGAATGGCTACCCACTCCAGTATTCTTGTCTGGAGAAATCCATGGACAGAGGAGCCTGGTGGGCTACGGTCCATGGGGTTGCAACAAGTCAGACATGAATGAGTGACTCACACGCTGGGGGAGCCCTAGAACTCCTGAGTTCCAGAACACCAGGGCTGAAGAGTACTTGGAGTTCTGACTCCCTTGTCTGACAACCAGAGAAGGGCATCAACTCCTCCAGGGTCGCACAGGAAGTCAGAGACGGTCTGGACCCAGCCCAGGGCTCCCTGTGAGGGGGCGTCTAATGGAGATAACCCCGTCTCCACCACACTGTCTGAAACGGAAGCCCCTGCTCCGTCTTGTTTCATAACAGCCCTAAGCTTAGGGAAGTTTGCAGTCTGGGGTTTCCCTGCAAAGAGCTCCTTACACTCATGAAATCGTCCAAGTGGCTGCACCCAGTACCACCTGAAGACACACACTCGTTTTGATTCTCTTGACCTGGAGACCTGGCCTTGGACCATGGGAATTAGACCATGGGGACAGGACGCATGGTTGGTACTGAAATGTCACCAGAGTCTTTCTCAGTTAATCTAGTGGCCTCTTTCCCCCTGGAATAGTGGCTGGAATCACTGGGAAGGAGGGTAGCTATTTGGGGGTCACACAATCGGTCAATAGGTGTGAGATCTTTTCTGATAGGGGGTTAATGAGAAGGTTCTGACAAAAAATTCCCAGCAGACTTTAAGGCCCTCATCAGTCCACCCATCACTTAGACATCCCTCCAGCCCTGCTTCAGATGTTCTTACCTTCTCTCTGGGTTTGGAAAGAAGGGTAGTGATAGCAGCATCAGTCTCTCCCAGTTGCCATATCCTAATTCAGCTCACAAGTCCTGCCCAAGGAAGGATCAATCCCTACTGTCTTCTGGTCTAAGAACCATTGATGACAGAGAGGAAACTGCAGGATGCCTGATGTACATATCTCCACTCGGAGAGCGGTTCTCAAACGCATGCTGCCATGCGTCCCTGCCAAAGTGCCTGCAGCGCTGCAAAGGCAGGCGGGAAGGCTGGGCCTCTGTGATCCCCAGACCCAGACGTGTCCTCCTAGGCTCAAGTGGTTTCTTTCCCTCCGCAGGGACAGAAGGGTTATCCTGGACCGACGGGGCACCCCGGAGAACAGGTGAGGGCTGCAGCCTCAGCCCCGCCCTCCTCGTCCTCCCTTGCTCCAGTCCCCCTGCCTGCCCTTGGCCTCCACCCCACCCTGCCTGGTTCCACGAGTAAGCTCCAGAGCCAGGAGGCTCTGCCTCCCATCCCACTGGGGCCCCCACCCGACCCCACCTCTCCCCCAGCCACATCTGCCTGAAAGGGCTGGAGTCCACGCCGGCCCAGAGCTGGCATGAGCCGCTGGACTCTGGTTAGAGCCATGAATAGCTGGCCTGTTCCGGGCGATGTTAGGGGATATTATACACGCCGCCACGGGGTTTGCAGGAATTTTGGCTGCCCTGGCCCAAGTCAAACATCAGCCGCTGCCAGCGTGGGAGAGCCCAGCCAGGCCCCCTCAGCGCTTTATTCCTGGGCTGCAAGGACAGGGGGTTTTGTCCCTCCGAGCTGGTCGGACCGGTTTCTCAAAAGGGTGGGCTGGAGGGAGAGGGTGGGTTAGCGGGGGCACCCAGCAGGCTGATGGCCTCCCTTCCCTCCACTTTCGTCTCACATTCCTGCCCTTCTCTTTGTCCATTGTAAACCCCGGCCCCCCACCGCCCCCCAGACCTGGAGCTGGGCAGGGTCTCCCCTTTCATTATGCTTCTCTTGTTCCTTTGCAGGGGCAGCCGGGACCCGAGGGTAGCCCAGGGGCCAAAGGTTACCCTGGCAGGCAGGTGCAGTATATGGCTTCTGGAAGCTCTGTGGCCGCGGTGGTGTGGAGCTGGCCACGGGTGCCCCCAGGCAGAGGGAGGCGGTGGGCTGGGGGCCCAGGAGCTACACCTGCCAGGGGGGCCCTGAAGGAAAGGGCTGTTCAGGGGGCCGTGCTGAGGAGCCTTCTCTGAAGGCAGCAGGACAAGGATGCTCAGGAGGACACAGAAGGAAGCGTAGCTCTGGGGTGTGGGGGCGTGGCTCCAGAAGCTCTTCCCAGCCGCCTGCTTGGCCCTGGGGTAGCTGGGGGCTCAGTTTGAAGACCAGGAGTGTAACCCCACTCCTGTCATACAGAGGAACAGCTGAAGCCAAAGGAGACAGGACTTGGCCTGGGTTGTTGGCAGTAGCTAGAACGTCTCCATATGTCCTTGCCCTTCTGACTTTTGTGTTTCAGGGGCTGCCTGGACCCATAGGAGACCCTGGGCCCAAAGGCAGCCGGGTAAGTGCGACTTGGCAAGTGCCACCTGCCTGGGGCCCCGGGTGGGCATTTCCTGCCCCTCCAGTGGGCCTGGTGGGCGATCGGGGCTGTAAAGCCTGCAGTGTCTCCTGGGGGAGCTGGGGCCTCGGTCCTCCTGCCTGAGTGCTCCCGAGAGCAGAGGGGCAGCAGGATGGCTACGTGGTGGGGAACCCTGGGGCCAGCTTGGTGCCCATGGCCAGGCAGCTGGGCAGCATAGGTCTGCTGAGGACTTGGCCACAGTCCAGCTGCTATAATCACACATTTGCTTGCTGTGTCTCCCAGCAAGTCCAATCAGTAGGGAACCAAAGCTGGGACCACTTTGTCCCTGGAATCCTCTGAGGCCTCACTCTTGCACCTAGCTGAGGGCTGGGGTATCACCCTTTAGGGAGGGCAGTGCTGACCAATGGGCGAATGCTGTCCAGGCATGGAGGCTGATGGAGCATCTCCTCTGCCCCTCCTTCACAGCCCCTGAAACAAACCCTGAGTAGCCAGCAGTCTGTTTGCCCATCTTTCCAGTGGGAGGGGTGTCCGTTCCTACTCCTGGCATGGTTAGGGGGATGCTAGGGATTTGGGAGCAAATACTGCTGAAGGGGCTCCCAGGTGGGTTGTGGGGCAATGGAGAAGGTTCTGGGTGAATTGAATGGGGGTAAAATGGAATTTAGAAGACTAAAGAAGCAATCTGGTGGAATCCTGTCTTCTATATACAAGGAAACTGGGCTCATGGTGGGGCCCCAGTTCCCACAGCTTGCCTAAGGTGGGGCTGGAATTGAGGACCCAGGTATTTGGAGGGCTGCGCTGCCTGCCTCTCAAAGAATGCTCAGCAAGTGGGTCACACAGTCCTTGGTCAGGCCAGGTCAGGTCAGGTATGACGTGTCCTTCAAGCCTAGCCAAAGCTATTTATGGCTGCAGTCTCAGCCTGAATCCCTGGTCCTGACGGGCGGATGTTAGGAGAGCGGCTGGGAGGTGGGAAAGTTCCCCGGGATGTGTTGATGATGTCATTGATGATGATGATGATGATGGTGATGGGGGCGGGGCAGTGATAGACAGGGGCTGAGGAGGCTCCTGTCTTAGGAGCTGGGTCTCCCCCTCCTTCCCTTTATCCAACTGGTCCCATGAGCTTTGGCCCCAGAGGGGCCTCCTGAACCAAGGGAGAAGGGCTTCCTGGTTCAGCCCCAGGTCTCTGATCTACCAGGAGCACTGGAGGAGTGAGGCAGGCTAATGACATCTGGGGCTGCTTGCCGTTTGCCTTGCTGTGGCATTTAGAGGCCACACGTGGGGGGATTGCTGGTCTGACCCTGGCACACCCCTTTTCAGGGTCACAGGTCCCTGAGCAGCCTCGGTGAGCCAGGGCCTCTCAGGCTGCCTGCCCAATCCTGCCATCAGTGGCCTTATGTTTATGAAGTAGGCAGAGCACAGACTTGGGGTCAGGCAGGTGGTTTGGAGACCTACCCTGCCATTACCCAGCTGTGGGAGCTTGGGCACATCTCTGGACCTCTCTGAGCCCATCACCGCCAATCTGGGATATAAGCCCTGCTAGGAAGGATCAGTAAACATCATTGGTTAAGATGATGCTGAGAAGGGGGCCCCCGCACCTCTTCTAGGGACGGAGAAATGCTTGTGAGCCTGCACCAGTTGCTTTTTTATGGGAGGCAGAGTAGCAAAGTGGTTAGAGCGGCCCAGGCCCTGGGAGTCGGATGACCTCAATTCAAATACCACATTCTGCTACGTTCCAGCTGTGTGACTCTGGGCAAGTCACTTAGCCTCTCTGGGCCTAAATGATCTCACCTCTACAGGAGGCTGACTAATAATTCCTACCTCCTAAGGGTGTGGAGAGGGCACAGTAGATGCCTGAAATTCCTGCAGCGCATGAAGAAGTGGGTCTGGCACATACTTTGTGCTCAGTAAATGTTAGCTTATGTTGTTCTGTCGCCCAGTCGTGTCTGACTCTGTGACCCCATGGACTGTAGCACACCAGGCTTCCGTGTCCTCCACCATCGCCCTGAGTCTGCTCAAACTCAAGGCCATTCAATCAGTGAAGTCATTTCACAAACATCTAGAGAGTACAGATAGTGATAGGAACCATGGGCTAGGTCCCTGCTCTGGAGAAGTTCCTGGGCTAATGAGGCCATGAAACGTGGACACAGATAATGAAGATACAGAAAAGGAAGCGGTAAATCTATTAAGTGGGGTACAAATAGGGGCTTCCTTGGTGGCTCAGTGGTTAAGAATCCACCTGCAATGCAGGAGTCACGAGAGATGCAGGTTCAGCCCCTGGGTCGGGAAGACTTCCTGGAGGAGGAAACGGCAACCCACTCCAGTATTCTTGCCTGGAGAATCTCATGGACAGAGGAGCCTGGTGGGCTGCAGTCCTTGGGGTCGCAAAGAGTCAGACATGACACTGAAGCAACTTAGCACAAATGCAGGGGGTACAAATAGGGGGCCGGGGAGAGGGGAGGAGGTTGCTTCTGGTTGGAGGCATCAGGGATGCTAGCCAGAGGAGAGCACCTCCGAGCTGGGCTTGAAAGCATTGGTTCTGCAGTCGTGGGGGTGGGAAGGGCATGCCTGATGGAGGGCATGGAGTGGATAGAGGCTGGAGGGCAGACGAACCAGACTCCACCCCTGTCTTGCTGTGCTGCTTTCTCTCCAGAGCCTGGGTCTTCTTTGTTCAGTGAGGAGGAGGATGGGCCATCTGCAGGGTCCTTGGGCGGGCTGGATGCAGCGGCACACATGCTTGGCAGGATGCCAGCATGCCGGGGTGGCAGCGGCTGTCACTGCCGGCCACACTCAGGCGGTCCAGGGTGATGCGAGCCCCACGTGCACAGCCTTGGAGGCCTAGAAGGAGGGAGCCGCGAGTGCCACCCCCCCCAGCCTCCCTGGGAGGGTGGGTAGGGCTTGCTGCCACCCCGGCATCTAACCCGGCAGAGAGCTTCCTTCCAGCAGGTCCAGGAGCCCCCGGCATGGGGCGGGCCTTCCCCTGCGAGCGCCCGTGCCCTTCCCTGGCGTGAGGGTATGTGCCTTTGGACTACATCGTGGAAGCCAGCACCATGCAGTCCATGGGCATATACACTTGCCTCAAGGCCTATGTCATCGTGGAACCACTGGAGCCGCCGCCGCTGCCTGCGAGGAAGAGGACCTGGGCGCAGAGTGCAGCTAGAGGGGGCCAGGCCGGGCCCGGCAAGCCATGCCCCGCCAGCCAGCCCTTCTGACCTCCCCTCTGCTCTTTGCCTAGGGCTACATTGGACTCCCGGGGCTCTTCGGCCTGCCAGGGTCCGATGGCGAGCGAGTGAGTATGCCTTCTCTGTTTATCTCTCACCTACCTCACCACCCTCTGCCACAGGCCAGCCTGGAAAAGTTCTAGAATCCCTCCTGGAGGAGGTGCCCCAGAGTTAAACAGTCCACTAAGGGGTGAAATCGAGGCAGACGCCTTCCAGACACAGAGAACAGCATGTGCAAAGTCAGGGACAGAAGCTTACCTGGCGAGTTTGACAGCACGGAGCTCTGAGTGCAAGGCAGGAATACGGACAGGAGACGGGCTGGAGGGGGCCCCTGGGCACAGCTATACGGCCCCCAGGAACTGGGATTAGGAGAGGGACTGTTCCGAGAGCATGAGGAGCTCCTGAAAGGCTTTCGGCAAATGAAAAGTGGGCTTATTTTGTATTTCCAATCAATATGGCCCATGGACCAGATCCACCAGGCACTAGTTATGTGAACCTTTCCTGAACACACTGCCCTCATTTGTGTATATGTGTCCAGGGCTGCTGGAGTTCCCAGAACAGAGGTGGTGTGCCCCACCTGCCTCTGGACCGGCTCTGTCCCCTCTCCACCTGAGCCTACATTTGGGGACTCAACTGTAATCTCATCAATAAGCTGGGGAATAAGAATCACAGGGAAACAGCGGGAGCATGTATTGAGTATCTGCTGAATACCAGAGTCCTGGTATTTCCTTAGGGATCTCCCCAGCTCAGGTCCTTGCAGGCCCTCACTCTGAGGACCTGCATTTAAGGACCATCCGTCCGACGTGCCCATCACTGGCGCCTGTTGTGTTTGTGGGCGCCAGGCCTACTGTGACTTTCTCTTGTGGGTGGAAGAGAGGCGGGTTTGGAGCAACGCTGTCAGTCTCCTGCTGGAATCCTGTGCTGATCTCTTCCCTGTTTCCTTCTGCAGGGCCTGCCTGGCGTTCCTGGCAAGAGGGGCAAGATGGGTAGGCCGGTAAAGATTTTCCGTGTCTATTACGCAGATTCTATGGGTGAACCTGACCTCCCACTGGCCATGTGGCCCCGTCCACCCATGGCCTGGGCGTTCTTTGCTTCTCTCTGCTCTTCTGCTTTGAGTGTGTGGGCAGGCCTGGGGGGCTGTCTGGGCCTCGTGTCCTGCTGCCGGAACACTTCAGTGGCTGCTGCACGGCTGGGGCTGGGGGCTCCTGAGGACTCTGGGCCCTTCTGGGATGGAGCTTCTCAGCGCATCCAACAATTGTCCTGCAAGGCGGTTCTGTGTCGGGGGGCTTCTGTTGTCTGGGTCATGAATGCCATGCTGGGGGACCTTGTCTAGACCTTGTCTGTGCTTCTCTGTCTGAGAACACTCAGTCTCTGTATTGTCCTGGTGTTACCTGTTTTACTCCCGCACACACAAGGCCAGAGGACCCTGGGGTGTTGGGCAGGCCCACCGGAGACGTGACCACGAGAAGGGCTCAGCAGGAACCCCAGTTCACCAGCTCTGACCCTGATTGTCCATTGTAGATGGAAATGATTTCTCCCTTTATTGGAGCATCTGTGGGGCAGGAAGAAAAAGCCAAGGCCCAGAGAGCTCAAGTAACTTGCCCACAGTTTGACAACAAGAGCCAGGACACTAATTCGGTTTTTGTCCAGGGCCTCTGACCTCAGCGTTGGCTCAAGTTCACTAGTTGGCAATAACGCTGTGGAAGTGGAGTCCTAGAATCTTCGCTTGGGGGAAAGTCATTCATTCCAACGATCTCATTTTTCACAAGGGGAGACTGAGGCTCTGAGAGGCGGGGTGATACGTCCAGGGTCTCGTTGTCAGGTTGAAGGAGACCCGGGACTGTAACTGAAGCATCTTTCTTTCAGGCCTGGCCCCTGCTGGTGGCTTAAGATTCTCTGCTGCTGCCCCGCAGGTTAACTCCTGGGCTTGGAACCATCTTCAGCTCTGGGTCTCGGCCTCCCTTTGTTTGTGGTTGATGGAGAAGGGATAGTGGGGGTGGTTAGAAGGTGAGAGGCAGCTGCGAGGGAGCCAGGAACACTCAGGGTGGCCAGAAAGGGGGTTGACTGTGATTCTGGGGTTGACATGCATGTCCATGACGCCTTACCTCTTGTAGTATAGGGATCTGGACCCTCTGGGGGCCAAGTTGAGAGGTTCAGAGAAAAGCAACATCCAGGTCCTGACCTTATGGAATTAATAGAAGGGGTACCTCACCCTCAGACCTAGAACAGTCCTTTGTGCCTGACAGCTAATTGTTGTTCAGTCACTTAGTCCTGTTTTGCGACCCCATGGACTGCAGCACATCAGGCTTCCCTGTCCTTCACCATCTCCCTGAGTTTATTCAAACCCATGTCCATTGAGTCGGTGTTTCCATCAAATCATCTCATCCTCTGTCGTCCCCTTCTCCTCCTGCCTTCAATCTTTCCCAGCATCAGGGTCTTCTCCAATGAGTTGGCTCTTCACATCAGGTAGCCAAGTATTGGAGTTTCAGCTTCAGCATCAGTCCTTCCAGTGAATATTCAGGGTTGATTTTCCTTTAGGATTGACTGGTTTCATCTCCTTGCAGTGCAAGGGACTCTCAAGAGTCTTTTTCAATGCCACAGTTTGAAAGCATCAATTCTTCGGTGCTCAGCCTTCTTTATGGTCCAGCCTCACGTGCATACATGACTACTGGAAAAGCCATAGCTTTGACTATATGGACCTTTGTCAGCAAAGTGATGTCCCTGCTTTTTAATATGCTGTCTAGCTTTGTCATAGCTTTTCTTCCATGGAGCGAGCATCTTTTAATTTTGTGGCTGCTGTGGGGAAGAGCATTCCAGGTTGAGGGAAGAGCAGGTGCAAAGGCCCTGGGGCAGGAGTACTACTGGGTCTGAACTGCAGTTTTCTCATCTGAAAAACGGGGATAATAGCTTCTAGCTCATAGGGTCATTGTGCTTGTCACAGAATAAAAAATAGATAGTAGCAGTCATTGTTTCTATTTTTAGTTTTGTGGCTGACTGAGGATTCCTCTGGGCTGTGTGAATTTAAGCCAATGGCCTTACCTCTCTGGGTCTGTTTTCCCAAAGTTTCAGTCACAGAGTGGGAGCAGTTGGCTCAGGTAGAATGTCTCAGTGCAGCCCTGGAAATCACCTGCCAAGGCAGGAGACACAGGAGACATGGGTTCAATCCCTGGGTCAGGAGAGCCCCTGGAGTTGGAAATGGCCACTCAATCCAGTATTCTTGCCTGGAAAATTCCATGGACAGAGGAGCCTGGTGGGCTACAGTCTATGGGGTCGCAAAGAGTCAGACACAACTACGTGACCGAGCACGCATTCCCGGACCCTGCTACCTGCCTGGCATTTGAACCACTACATGTGGTTCTCATACTGATTCACTGAGTTAAGATTGATTATCTATTTTCCAGGCAAGGAAACCATGGCTTCAAAGCCGTGTACCCAGAGACCCTCTGAGGCCTTGCCACGCTTCAACCCCTGTAACAGACAACTCATTTCTGTCCCTTCACTCCACGTCTTTGTGCCTTTAACTCCCTAAGATTCCACCCTGCCCCCCATAATAGGTGTTCCCTGGCACTGGGGTGTCAGGCGAGGAACCACCGCCACTCCACCAAGGAGCCCTATGGCCGTACAATACCCCAGAGGGCCGTGAAAGTCTGCTTGACTCTGGTCCAGTCATCTTGGCCAGCATGTGGGCAGGGTCTGCCTTGGAATGATTTAATGTGTATGGAATAGACTTTATATCCCTGAGTCCTTTGGGCTTTGCGTGTGCCTTTGCCTGGCCTCCCAGTCTGCTGTGCCCTTGGCCCTCACACTCCTCGCCTGGTCTTTAGGGCCATCCCCTGGTTACGTGCTCCTAAGCCCCTGATCTGCCTGATAGGAGCTGGGGGCTCCTTCTGTGAATGGATTTTCCTCTGGTCAAAAGCTTGGGGCCAGATGATTTCTAGGCACTTATTACCAAGAGGAAATGTCAGGAGAATGAGCTGAATCCCTTCATGCCAGATCGCAGCTGGCCTCATTTCTGGCAGGGCTGGTGATGATTTTGCTGTGGTCCGTTTCTCTCCAGCAAGCAAAACCTCAGGCCCATGCATACGGCCTGCTCAGCATCAGGAGGCTGTGTGGGAGTCTTCTGCGGATGGGAGCTGTGAAACACAGCAGAGGTCAGAGCACATCAGAGCTGCAGGAACCCTAGTGATGACCTGGCCCCACCTCTAGGTCAGACGTATAAGTAGACATAGCTCAGAGAGGCCAGTAAACTCACCCGAGGTCACACAGCACATGGGTGGCAGAATCCGGACTTGAACCCAGGACCCTTGCCTGCTCAGGCAGAGTGCTCTCCACGTCACCCCTCTCCTCTCTGTGCTCCCCCTTCAGCCTCCAAAGGAAAGCTTGCTCCACAGCTTTCATCTCACATCGCCTGCTAGAAAGAGAAATGTGCTGTGGTTTCCGGAGGAGGGGTCCAGATATAAGATGTTACAAGCTTGGCTGGAGTCAAAGAGGTTTCTGCTGGCCTGTTAGAGGCACGACGCAGTGACATGGCTGGGGACAGAGCCATGCCTTGCAGAATCTCATGGGGCCTAGGAAGACGCCATATTGCATCCTCTTGTCCTGCGCTCTGTGGCCTCACTGTCAAGCCCGCTGGAATGCCTGGCAAGGCCAGCCCCTGCTCACAGCTTCTCTCATGGCTTCTGGCCAAACCTGCCAGGACTGGTCTTGTGTAGCGAGTCAGGCGGGCAGACCCTAAAGCTTAGAGCTGGAAAGGTCCAGCCTTGGCTCCGGTTCCCTCCGTGTGTGGCTTAGGGACACTTGGGACTCGTCCAAGGCCACATGCCTGTCTGGGGCAGGACAGGGCTTCTCACATAGTTCAGTTTTGGCTTCAAGCTCTTTCTCACCCCGAGGGCAGCAGGGAGCAGAGTGTTTTCCAAATGGAGAAACTGAGGACAAAACAGATGAAGGTTCTAAGCGCTGGTGATGCTGTGAGCTGGGGGTGTGATCCCTAGGGTCCAAAACTGGAACTGAAACTGTCTCCAGGGCTGTTGGCAACCCTGGGATTCTGCTGAGCACTCTCCCTTCCTCCCTCCTCCTTCCTCCCCGTGGTGACTCCTTGTGGGGGGATTCCCTCCCAGCTGGATATCAGAAGGTAGGGTGAAGACATGCTCAGCGTGAGAAAAGGGTGCAGGGATCTTTAGGAGTCTTCCCCTGTTGGAGCACTCGGAGGGCACGCATCTCCTGGAAAAGAATACAGGCTGTTGTCAATGTATTAGGAAGGATACAGATCAAACCTGTGCAGGATCTTCTCAACTTTAGAGACTGTAAACCCTGTAAAGAGGGCTCCAAGTTTCTTCTGCAGGCTTCTCCTCGAGGTTATTATGAATTCCCCTGTTAGCACCTAACCAGCGTGTGATATCGTTGTAGAGTCTTTCAGAAACTAAGGCCTAATGTTACCAGAGGCGGGATTGCAAACATCTCACTTCTTCCTTAGCACAGGGGAAGCTGGGCAGGTGAGTTGTCAGGTGGGTGGGGCAGGACTGACCATCTCGCCAGCCAGAGAGCTGTGTCTTCAAGATGTAGCAGAGCTTCTGATCCTGGAGACTGCAGGCATCCCTGCCCTGACATCTCAGCTTCTGGAGCAGGCCGTCGGTGTAGACACTGGCTGGAGGGAGGGGGCGGAGAAGATGGCCCTCAGAGGCCTCCTCAGCCCCTGGCATCTGGCCACAGATGTGGTTATGAGAACCGTCCCTGTTTGGGCGTCTGTTCCTCTGAATTGCTGTAGCCAGGAGAGAATGTGGTCTCGCCCTGGATCCTGGTTCTGTCTCCTCCTGGGCCTTGTTCTGCTCCAAGTACGAGGCATTCAGTTCCCCAGGGGGGACTGACCTGGGGAAGTGAAGAAACCACGTGGCTGGGGCCCAGCAGGGCGCCGAGCTCATTCCTTGGGCCTCGGGCCAGCTTGCTGTAGCCGGGAGCTCGAGCCTGCGGAGCTCCCGCCATCGGCCGCCGGGCTGTTAGTGCACGCTGTGCACGGGTGGGCGCGGCCAGACAGGCAGAAGCAAGCAGGGTGGAAGCAGTGGTACGCGTCCAGCTCCACCGCCACCTCTCTGGGATCCCTTGGATCAAGAGTCAGGGCCCTGGGCAAGTGTCGGAACTGGGATGTGTTGCTCAGCGGTGGACGGGTACAGCAAGCTAGCGAGGTGAGGGGGCCTTGGGCAGGTTCTGGGCCTCAGTTTCCCCACTGACGAATGAGGTGCTGAATGCCAAGAACAGCTAGGGTCTTTCCATCTTAGACCATCTGTGATTATTCCAGTTGCAGATCTGGATGCCAATTCCAGCTCTTTTAAAGCCCTGTCTTTTTTCTGATTGTACTGTGCCTAATCATTCAGTTGTGTCCGACTCTTTGTGACCCCATGGTCTGTAGGCCAGGCTCCTCTGTCCATGGGATTCTCCAGGCAAGAATCCTGGACTGGGTTGTCATGCCCTCCTCCAGGACATCTTCCCAACCCAGGGATCAAACCCAGGTCTCCCACATTGCAGGCAGATTCTTTACCATCTGAGCCACCAGGAAGACCTTTTTTGGATTACTGTGTTCTTAATTACCCTAAATTTCTAGGTCATCTGCTTGGCTCTGAAGAAAGGGAGAAAAGGTGGATACGGGGCTGGCTATTGAGGCCGCTGAGCACATCGGATAAACCAGAATCAGTCCTGAGCCTCAGCAATGCCATTCCCTCTTACACATTAGCCTAGGGCTCTCATGCGCCCTTGAGAGGCCACAGGCTTGCTCTAGCCATTCTGTGTACTCACTGTTCATTCATAGCCAAGAGAATGGTCTCTGGAGTCAGACTGCCTGAATTCAGATCCCAGTTCTGCTATTCCATAGCTGTGTGACTTCAGACAAGTTCCCTAATATCCTTGGACCTCAGTTTCCTCATCTCAAAAATGGGGCCAATAATAAGCCCTCTGTCATGGGGCTGTTTCTGTTGTTGCTGTCATCCCACCATCATCAGCCACTGGCTCTCCTCAGGCTGCATTTTGTCCACATAAGTGTCTCTCTTTGGGTTTTCGACCATTGATTCTGATGGTCTCGTCTTGGCTTAAGCCTCAGAGGTGCCCTGGCATCGCTGCTGCCTCCACGTGCCGGCAGGGACTTGCCGTCCATCCAGCATCTTGGCTCAAACTCTCAGGACCCCTATTGTACAGCAGAGAAAACCGAGGCTTGGAGAGGCCCGCGTGTGGTGGAGGGCTGGCATCCTGTTGCTTTGGTTTTAAAGCCTCATGGGGGAAGCTGGCCTGGCAGCTGGGTCTGAGAGGAGTCCCGGGGCCAGCCTAGCGTGGCCCTGACTGCAGACCCATGGGTTTGAACCTGTCTGGTGGCTTCTGTGTATGAACACGTTGGGCATCTCAGCGAGGATTGATGCCCAGGGAGTACAGTCACGCTGTCTTGTCTTCCCGAGGTGATGGGGCTGGTGGCGGGGTCCAGGGGCACTCCTGCTCCTCCCTTCCAGGCTTTATCTAAGGGGTGGGCCAAGCCGCAGGGTTCTCAGATCACACCCCCAGCCTGAGAGGACAGTGGGTCAGGTGAGGGCCTGCCTGTAGTCACACAGCCCACCTGGGGGTGAGCCCAGGTCAGTCTCCGGGCTGTCTCCAGAGCCTGGATCTGGAGAGCACAGCATGGACTCCCCAAACCCTGCCTCGTGAAGCCAGCCAGGTGTCCGGCTAGACAGCATCCCACCTTGTCGCCTGACGGATTGTCCTTCTGTCTCGCCAAGCCCCCAGCCGCAGGCTCCAAGGTCAGAGGCGGTGGCTCAGATGCCTTCAGAAGCCTCCCCTGCCCACTACTCGCCCAGCTGATCTCTCTTGCCCCAGGACAGGAGAGGGCTCTCTACCTTATAGCATGCCCAAGCGGGGCTGGGTTGGAATTTGCCAGGGGGGGACCCTAAGGATGTGGGAAGAGGCATCTTAGATAGGGTCAGATGTAGCCCCATGAAACCTTGATCTGGAGGGGCATGCTCATGTGTGCACGCACACACACACACGCACACACACACTTGCACACGCACGCACGCGCCTACCTTTACCGCTCTCTAAAATCAGTCAGGCACACATTTGAGCAGCTTCTGCATGCCAGGATGTGCTCATACTCAGATCATGCAAACATGGCAGAGTTCAGAGAGGTGGGACCTGGGCTCAGCTCTGCCACAGACTTTCTTTTTGTCTTTGCTGAGGTGACATTTCTCTCTCTGAGCCTCAATTTCCCTTTCTGTTAAATGGGACCAATAACCTTCCCCTCAAGGGCGAATGTCAAAGGCACGTAAAGTTTTGCATGCAGAGTCGCTGGCTTGGCCCAGATCTCTTTAATGTGTCCTCATTTCCTCCTTTGGGTGTCAGAATGAAGCCACACCTCCTACAGGGTCCATATCAACGCCTTCCCTTCTGGTCCACTAGGGTTTCCTGGCAGAGGAGGGATTTGAGGGGAATAGTATTCTGGGCAGGGCGAGACAAAGGCCTAGATGCGCACACACTTCAAGGTCTCTTTGCTCAGCCAGTATAGACTTTGTAATTGGCTTGGGTTTTGTTTTCATCTTTGGTCTTTTTAGTTTAATCTACTTTCTGGATTCCCCCGGTGGCTTCAGAAACCAGAAATAAATTATCCTCCGTGAAGAATCTTGACTGTTTGAACAGCTCAGGCCTCCTCTTGGTCAGAGAAACATGTGCTTTGTTTTTTTTTATTAAATTTCCCTGGAAAAACAGTGATTTGAATTCAAGGAGAGGAGAACAGGTTTCCCTGAATTCCAAGCTCAGGGACTTTCTCTTCCTTTTGAAGTAGAATGGAGTTATGCCCCCCTCCTCGGCTCCAAGAAGCTTCTCCACAGCTGATGTTTTTCCAGCTGCCTGTCTCCCCAGAGAGCGTGGAGAAGGGGTCAGGGCGGGGGCGAGAGGGCCAGACCTGCCCGCGCCGGGCCGCCTGTTCCTCTTGGCTGCCGAAACTCACCTGTGGTCGTGCTGCCTGTATTCCCTATCTGTGTGACTCTGTGACCTTGACACCTGCCCTTTCAGAGCCTCACTTTCTTCATCTGTAAAATGAGGGTCGTGACTCCAGAGCGTAGCTTTTAAAGAGCACATCACAGAAATCGCAGAAGGTCTGGACTGGGAAATGCTGCAGAAGCCTCTCCTGCTTGGACCAGTGGGGAAACTGAGGCTCACTCAGGGGGAAGGCATGACTCAAAACTCTCAGCAAGTCAGTGACTGGTGCAGGCCTAGACCTACCTGACCCCCTACTCCATCCGGACCGGGTCTCAGCCTGGTGATAGTTCAGTTGCTAAGTCATACACGACTGCATGGTCTGTAGCCTGCCAGGCTCCTCTGTCCATGGAATTTCCAGGCAAGAGTACTAGAGTGGCTGGCCGTTTCCTTCTCCAGGGGATCTTCCCGATCCAGAGATCAAACTCGGGTCTCCTGCATTGTAGGTGGATTCTTTCCTGAGCCACCAGGGAAGTCTCAGCTTGGGGTTTGGCCCTTACGTGCCAGGGAGCTGGGTGCTCTTTTCTGACACTCAGGAAACATGAAAAGAAGGCTCCCCGGCCATGGGCTTCTGTACAGTAGCCAGTCCTTGGGAAGTTCTTTAGTGGGGGCCGACAGGGGAAGGATGTTTGTTGAGGGCTCAAGGTGACTCAGGACTCCAGAGCCTGCCCAGATCCTGGAACCAGCGAGTGAGACTGCATGGACGTGTCCTGTGTCCCCTTGGGGTCTGGATCCAAGCCGCCCGCAGGTATACACGCTAATCTGCAGATGTTTGCTCTCTCTCCTACCCTCAGGGGTTTCCTGGAGACTTTGGGGAAAGAGGCCCTCCAGGACTGGATGGAAACCCTGTAAGTATTTCACATCTTTTTTGGGAACAGGAAAGAGATTAAGAACAAGCACTCAGCAGGTTTTAGGACCCTAAGCTTTTAGGTCACCCAGCCGGGTCACCCACGAGCTGGGTGCTCCTGGGTGGACTGCATGATTTTCCTGAATTCCTGGCTTCTGTCTACTATGGATGGCCTTTGAGCCACCCCACCCCACTCCAGGAGAGTCCTCCAGCCCACTGAGCCCCAGGTCCCAAAGCCCTAGGCTTTGTTCCATCCTCAAGGAGTCAGGAAGGTTCGTGGGTCACTTCCTGCTGGGGAATCCAGGGCCACTACCATGTTATAAAGTCTGAGAAATGTTTATGGGACGGCAGCGGCCTGGGGGAGCAGATGGTTTGCAGGCCCTGTATGGAGGGAAGAGCTGAGTTCTAAAGAAAATCTCCAGCACAGGCATGTTTATAGAGTTTGTAAATAATTGAGGGCCGTCAGGGAGCCAGGTCAGCCTGCCCTGGGGAGCCGAGCCCGCCTCTCCCTTGCCGTCCTAGACTCCAGCTCCAGTGGTGGGAAAGCATGCTCTCTGCCTGGAAGTGCAGATCATGTCCAGGGCTCTTTGGCACATCTGCCGTGTGCCCCCCCATCTGTCCTGGGGCTTCCCGCCTGCGCAGCTGTGCCTAGCCATGCCCTCGGCAGAGGTGGCTGCTAGATCCATAGTCAGCACCTGATATGTGCTTGTTTTAAATTCCACAAATGCTCCTGGAGCCTCACCCAGCTTGGGGCTGACTCCCGGGCTCCCCAGAGACCTGCAGCCCTGGCCTCAGAGCCAGATGGGTCTGGGTTCGGATCCTTCTGCACCCCTTGCCAGGCGTGGAAGCTTGGACAAATCAGTTGCCCTGTCTGGATCTCAGTTTCTTCATCTGTAAATGATGGGGATCTGACGCTAGTCTCCGAGAGGTGTTGCGGGAATGCAGTGAGGGAGGGCAGGGAGGTGCTGGGTTTTCACTGGACGGAGGGGTTGGGAAGAGTGGGTAATGATGGGGCCTGTTCCTGGAGGAGCTCATGGCTGTCTCCCTAGTCCATTGCACGGGGTGAAGTGAGACACGTGGGATCAGAGAGGTCACAGGTGCTATGGAGGCGGGAGAATGAAGCAGAGAAGACTCCTGGGGAAGATGGCATTGGAATTGGGATGAGGAGAGAGGTGGTGGTGGGGCATTCCAGGTGGAGGAAAGAGCACTGGCAAGGGTCCGAAGTGGGAAACCAGAGTCTTTCCTTCAGTGTGCCAGTCACCGGATTAACCACTATTCATATAACAGGTGATGTCATCCTGGAAGCGTCCTTGGGGAGGGGATGACTCTGTACTCACGGTCCGGAGGAGGAGGAAGAGGACCTGATGACTGGTCCCGGCTCTGCCGCATAGTCGAGTGGCCTTGAACAAGTCCCTTCCCTTTCCCGAGTCTCAGACCCTTCGCTTTAAAGCCAAGGCTCCTCCTCACCTCCTGTTCCCCTTCTCAGTGGCTGTAGTGATGACGTCCCATCTGATCACACAGATGAAGGAAGACAACCCCCCAGGAGGATGTTGGTGGTTCATAATCACCATTTCTAGAGCTTCCTATTTTTATTCCCACTTTTGCGGCTTGAATTTGATCCAATCCCCTCTACCTGTCTTTTCTGGTGCAAACAATTGAAAGTCCATTTATAGAGATTTGGAAAACAAACTTGCCCATACATGGCCGTATCTCCTGACTCCCAGGCGAGAGCTTCCCAGCCTCTCAGAGGCCCTGGGAGGTGGAACCTGAGAGCCTCTTTCTTCTGGGGGGTTCAGGGGTTCTCTCAAGGCCCCCAGTATCTTCTGACTGAGAAATGGAGGGAGGCTGGCCGGGTGGGTCTCGGCTTGGTGTCCTCACCCCCCTGTTATTTCTTCGCTCTTGACCTTAGGACAGTTGCCTGACCTTGGGCCTAAGTTTTGCCATCTGTAAGGTGAGAGTGAAATGAGATCTCCTGGGCCAGGCATCCTGCCCATCTCTATTGCCACAGTCAGGATTCTGCCCATTCTCACACCTGCCACTGGAAGGTGCTGGATTAGAAACCCAACCTCCCCACCTTACAGATGTGGAAAGCTGATGACAAAGGAGGAAGTTCTCATACAAACTCCAGGCCAGAACCAGGAGAGTCAGGAACAAAGAATGGTCAGCTCTGAAGGAGTCTGCCAGAGGCCCACATGGAGGATGGGGTGGAGGGCGTGGTCTGGAGGGTGACAGAGCCAGTAACCACCTTGGTCTCTCTTTCTTTGCAGGGAGAACTGGGCCTGCCAGGGCCCCAAGGAGTCCCCGGCCTCATCGTAAGTACACAGATGCCTGGGGAGGGGAATGGCCAGGAGGGAGAGTGTGGGGAATGAGCTACAAGTCCTGCTGAAAACGCTCCTCTCTCATCAGACCCCTGGAGGAGCTGGGAGAGCAGGACAGGGCAGTCGGGGCAGGGGACTAACGGAGGACAGCCATGCCGTGTGGCCTCAGGCGGATCACCAACCTTCTCTGAGCCCCTTTCGTCATTGTTCAAACGGGGAAGGGTTTGGAGCGTGAGACAGCCGTGTGCTTTCACCCCTGCTACCTGTCCATTGCTCTGCAGCAAGGTCTAGGCAGGCGGTAGTGTGTCCATCCGACAGATGAGGTGCTTCAGGTCCAGACAAAGGAAGTGACTAGCAGAGGAGCTGAGTCTCTGGACCACGCTGGACAGTCTTCTCCATCCTTTTCAGAACACTGACCTTGGAGCCAGATCACCTGAAGTCAAGTCCCAGTTCTGCCATGACCAGGCTGTGTGACCTGGGTCAAGTCACTTACCCTCTCTGAGCCTTAGTTCCTCATCTGTAAAATGGATATGATGGTAGACTCCTCTTGGAAGGGCTGTGAGGATTAAACAAGGCATTCTTGTACTATCTTTGGTACATCTGGCATTCAGTAAATATGCAATTAGTGGAAAATATTGCTTTTATTTTAAAATGTCATTTCTTGTTGCTATCTCTTGATGTGCCCGGGATTGAGAGAGGCCTGTACCAGGGAGGTAGGAGGCAATCTGACTTCTGACTTCATCCAGGTTGGGGTAGCTTTGTGGAGTAGTGCTATTAACCAAAACCGGAGCTCCCCAATAGACCTTCAGAGGGTGAGCCCTGACCTTGGGCCCAGGCCCGAGGGCCAGTGACAGGCCTGAGTCTAGGAAATAAGTCTAAGAGCTTCCCTAAGGGTCTGATGCTCCTCCTCTGTTCTTTGGGACATATCCTGTGGGATTTGAGTCTCAGGGGCTCACACAAGGAGGCTGTTGCCTGGTTTGACAAATGGGCTGCCAGCTTTGGCTACTCCAGCCATCGTGCTGAGACCTTCTATTGAGAAGGAGGCTGGGGAAGGCCCTGGAGAGTTGGGGAGGTCATTGTTCAGGGAAGACCAGTCCTGGGAAGAAGGCCCAGAGGCTCCCATGGGCAGTGTGCTCCTGCTCAGGTAGGTGAGAGCAGAACCAGGGCAGGGTGCGGAGTGGAGGTCCGATCAGCCTGTGTGTAGATCCTGGCCTCGCCTCCTCTGGGCTCTGTGGTCTTCAGTTATAGGCTCACTTCCTGAGCCTCAGGGATCCACTGTCAGATGGGATCTTTATGCTCACTCTTGTTAGGACCACATGTATACCCAGACCAGTCCAGAACCAGGTTACCTGGGTTCAAATCCTAGCTCTATCACTCTTTTAATTGCCATTCTGAGCACATTTTCTAAGCCTCCCATGTCTCAATTTCTTCATCTTTAAAATGGGAATAATATCAATACCTAACTTGGGAGAGTGCTGTGAGGATTCAGGGAAACTAGTACCTATAAACTGCTAGTACTGATGCTGAGAAAGATCGAAGGCAGGAGGAGAAGGGGACGACAGAGGATGACATGGTTGGATGGCGTCACCAACTCAGTGGACTTGAGTTTGAGGGAAGTCCTGGAGATCGTGAAGGACAGGGAAGCCTGGCGTGCTGCAGTCCATGGGCTTACAAAGAGTCGGACACAACTTAGCAACTGAACAACAGCCAGAAGTACATAGTAAGCACTCAAGAAGCGCTAGGAATAATGACAATAAATTTAGTAATAATCATAATAATGATTTTATGACTACTACTTGTTAATAAATAGTAAAGTAGTTACTGCTAATAAGTAGTGATTCAGTAGTAGTAGTAGTGTTTTATGTACACTAGGGCTTCCTTGGCGGCTCAAGACAGTAAAGAATCTGCCTGCAATGCAGGAAACCCAGAGTCAATCCCTGGGTTGGGAAGATCCCCTGGAGAAGGGCATGGCAACCCACTCCAGTATTCTTGCATGAAGAATTCCATGGACAGAGGAGCCTGGTGGACTGCAGTCCATAGCGTCACAAAAAGTCGGACACGACTGAGCCACCAAGCCCATCTCAGAACCGCAGCCGTTTAGAATGCTGCATTGAGAAAGAGTTCAAAGTCACATTAGAAATCATCGGGAGATAGTGCTGCAATTGATTGGTGATGTCTGCCTTGGCTTGGGATTAAGAAGTGTCAACATGTGAGTCATACATTTGTCATCCCTGAAGTCCTTTGTGGAGCACCTTCTTTGGCACAAGGCACTGACCTGAATGCTTTGGAAAAAGAAATTTCTGCAATGAGTATTTGGGAACCTGACTTTATGAGGATCTCAGAGGTCTTCTGGTCCAGCCTTCTTGAAGCTCAGCAGGACTCCCTTCTGGAGGATTTTGGTCATATGGTCATTAAACTCCAACTTAGAACACCCTGGTGTTGGACGCTCCCTCCCCTGAAAGTCCATCTACTTTCACAGAGCTCTCATTGTGCAGGGTTTTCCTGTGTTTTGAGTTCAACTCATCTCCCTGTCCCTGGGAGAGGCTGTTCAAGATGTAAAGATGGTTGCGTCTGTTCTTCCTAAGGCTGCTTCTTCAGGCTATATGATCCCCGTCCCTAAAGCTTTTCTGCAGGGATGTTTACATATCTTGGCTGTCATTCTTGGCACACAATCCTATTTGTCATTGTTGGCGTCCACTGGGTTGGATCCTGAGAGGGGCGAGAGTATTGCTTGGCCGAACGCACGCGGATTCTAGAGACTGTGCCATTACAGCCCTTGGCCTTCCTGACTCTTTAAAAGCTCTTCCCACCGATGCTCCCCTTTGCTCTCCACAGTAAGGGCTGCCAGATAAAATAGAAGAGGCCCAGTGAAATTTGAATTTCAGATACATTATTTAAAACACATTTACACTCTAATGTCATTCCTTTGTTTGACTGTTTATCTGACATTCACATTTTAACCAGGCATCCTGTATTCACTCAATCTGACAACCCTGTGCTCAGTATGTCTTAGGAAAATCCCATTGGACATATAGGAAAAGTGAAGCCCTAAGTCAAGGTCACACCCAAGGCAGGAGAAGATGGAGGCATGATCAGAGGCCGTGCCTCCTAACTCTTAGCTCAGGGCACTTCTCTTCCCTCCTTTTTCTGAGGGGCCTGAGCTGGGGGTGAGCCCTGGATGTCCCTGCATTTCTCAGGCCCTACGATCCTCCTGTTGCTCCTTTCCGAAGAACTGAGTCCACCCCACCCTCCATCCCCCACACCTTGCCTCATGTCTTTCTTTGGCCACTTTCAATCCTGCTTCCCCTGTTCTTAAACTCCCTCTGGTGCCAGGGTGATCTTCCTTTCCCCGTATGCCTGGCAGGGAGGGTGGGTCGTGGGTCTAGACCTGCACCCACCAAGTCACCATCAGCCTCCAAGCCAGTACCCTGTCCCACCCAAGGCACACACTCCTGACCTGGATTTTTGGGGACAGCAGCTTCTGTGTCTGGGGAAAAAAAAATTGCCTCCCCAAAGAGTTGGAGAGGAAAAGGAATTTTCTAACCAGGAGCTAAAGGGAAGAGGGATTGTGAGTCACCTACAGTTTCCAGAGGATGTGGGTTTCTAGCTGAGCAAATGGGAATTCCATGTACTGACCATCATGTTCGTGGAGATCCACATTTATTCAGTGCCTTTGGACTAGTCAGCTACAGCAGTCTGCATGCAGACCAAAACTGAAACATCCCCTGTGCCCGGGGCCCTTGCAGATGGGAGGAAGGGTGAGAGAGGACAGACAAACATTTGCAGAGCTTCTGTCTCTCTGTGCGTGCTTGACACGCATTAGGCTGGGGGCCTCAAGATGCATGAGGCAGGTGGCAGCAGCCTGGTACCCCGGTGGGAAGGCTGGGGCCCGAGGTCACCAGCAGGGGGATTGCCACTCAGACCTGTGTGACCCTGATCCCAAAAGCCACTGGGTGGACCGCTGCAGTCTCTGAGGTGAGCCAGTCTTGAAGCAGCCCCCTTTGAGTAATTGAATCCCTTTGGCTAGCCCTCAAACAAAGTATGCCTGATTCTAGAGTCTGCTCAACAGAGAAGATTTCTGTCTTTTGTATTCTGAGTGACACAAAGGGAATCTTGCCTCCTCCGTTTAATGAGGCCCAAAGGATATGTGATCTGGCCAAATCCCAGCGTGTGAGATATAGTGGACAAGTGCACCGTGTCCTGTCACCAAATGATCCCCCGACTTTGTTTCTTTGTCTATAAAGCAAGGTCAGGAACCCTGCTAGCTGACATCTACCAAACCCTCATGTGCCGGGCACTATGCTAGATATTTAATTATCACAGAAACCCTCTGAGTAAAGAGTGGGATTACCATTGTACAGTTAAGGAAACTGAGGCTCAGAGAGGCTGACACACCTGCCCAAGGTCACACAGCCCTGAAGCTGTCTGTTTCACAGTTCATGCCCTTTGCCACGGCACCGTCCCTCCAGCTCTGCATGACTTCTGGGGTGAATGGAGACAGTAGGTGTGTGAGACTGTGAACTGGACAGTGCCAGGAGATTTTCTGGGTGAGAGATGGTGCTTATGAAGACCACACAGGAGCCAGGGCTGGTCACCTGGGTCCCCATCCCCAGGCTTCTGACCTCCTGCTGGAGTTTCAAGGAGGCCTTGTTGCCTTCAAAAGGCAGTTCCAGGGAGGGTTTTTCCCTAGAGGGTTTGGAAAAGAGTGAGTGGGCTTCTTTTTCACCCACTGATTTAGCCCCTTTTAGTGAGCGCTTCCTCTAGGGCACCGGGCAGGCAGTGGCCACATACGCACACATGTCAATGGTCATCGTGTAGAATAGGCCATGAGTTAAAGCCTCATCAGGCTCGGACATGATGGCAGGAGCCTGACCTGGCCTGTGGGGTCAGGGAAGTGATGCTCATGCTGAGGACAGTGGACAGCGTGAGCTCAGGGTGGAGCGCTCGGTGTCGGAGGCAGTGGCCAGGGATGCCCAGCACCAGAGGAACAACAGGGAGGAAGGCTCTGCCAGCACCCGTGAGGGTGGGCACTGGGAGCACCCCAGGTGTTCTTTCAGGGGTTCCTAGCAAGCCCCAGCCTGGACACCTGCTGACCTGTTGGGCAAGGGAGTGGGACTCTCACCTGTTTTTGAATCTCAAGCGTGCCTCATGATTGAGAGCAATGAGGAAAGGCATCATTGGGTCCTTCATTGGAGTAAGCTGAGTCAGCCCCAGGCCTGTGAGCATGGACTCCGAGACCCAACGGACACCCAGACCTGTTCTGGTCCTGCCTGTGTCCCCTGCCTGTTGCTTGGTCTTGGGGACGTTGCTTCACCTCACTCTGAGCCTCAGTTTTCTCATCTGTGACGTGGCACCAACGATGGTGCTGACCCCGTGAGACAGCTGTGAGCAGCTGGAGAGCGTCCGAACAGATCTGCTGAGGCTGGAAACCGTCTGGTGTGGCGTCTGGCACTCAGGAGCTCTTTCAGTGGTCGCAGATGTGGCCCGTTGATGTTGCATTCTTGGTGGGAGTCTGTGAGATGAGGGGTGAAGTGTGTTGAGCAGGATCTGGGAGGGCCGGCAGACAGGGAAACAGGTTCCAGATTACGGGCATGACTCACTGTGCTTTCTTGTGGGACCCGACTTCGTGTGTCTCTTGGCCAGTCTGCCCACGACAGTGCTGAGTGCAAAGCAGGCTGGTATCTGCGGGCTACACTGGAGGGGGGCGCGGAATGAGGCCTGGGGTTTTCTCTGTTCTCCCCCAAAAGCTTTTCTGGTCCAACATGGGGGTCCTGCCCACATGAAGAAGACCTGTCCTCAGCAAGCAGCCACCTTTTTCCCACAGGTTCTTGGGTGGGAAGCCCACACTGGCCCTGGCCCCCAACCAGACACAGACCCCTTTGGAGAGGGGCGGTGTATGCATGTGGAGTGCCTCCATCCAGCCTCCATGCAGCAAGCCGCCATCAGGTCTGGATTGGGGAAGAGGGAGTGTGTGTTCCCAGAGCTGCTGGGTGGTCCTCTCTGTTCAAGACCCCGGCCCCCATCGGAGCCTCTAGGCAGGAGGAGAAGGGGATAAGAGAGGATGAGATGGTTGGATGGCATCACCGACTCGATGGACATGAGTTTGAGTAAACTCTGGGAGTTGGTGATGGACTCTGCAGTCCATGGGGTCACAAAGAGTCGGACACGACTGAGTGACTGAACAGAACCTAACTGAGAAGCTGGCTGTCCTTCCCTCCAGCCTCTGTCTGGCCAGCAATCCTGGCTTCTTCTCTCCCAAGATTACTTCAGAATTGCTTAGAAACTCTGGGGACAGACTACCCAATGTGAATCCCAACTCTGCTAAGCTCTGCGACTTGCTCAAGCCCTCACCTCTCTGAGCCTCAGTTTCCTCATCTGTAAAACGGGGAGATCAGGCAGATCGTGAAGGGCTGTCGGGAGCAGTAACAGAGGTGAGGCATGTGAAGTGTGCAGCGTGGTGCCTGCCCGGGGGTCATCTATGTTGCTATGATTACCCATTCTACTGAGCGCTCCCTTTCTTAATAAGATCACCTGATGGGCACTGAAAGCAGAATTCCTTGCAAAGGCTCAGCGAGAAGGTTTGGTTTCACTCAGTCAGGTGGGTTCAAGAGGGTGGTGGGGTGGGGGATGAGAATAAGCATTGCCTCAGCCAGGCCCAGCTGCTGTCTCTGAGCTCAGCGTGTTTCCCTCCATCTCGGCCCTTCCTTCCACAGGAGTCGGCAGGAATGTGATGTTCCATTCTCTGCCAGCCTCCCTCCGAGCCAGCTCCAGGCAGCTCCCACAAGAACCGGTTCTTGAGCCTAGCCACCTGGGTCAGGCTGCGTTCCTCCAGGGCTTCGGAGGGCTTGCCAGGGGCCTCCATGGAGCCTGACTCAGGGAGTGGGGAACTGAGGCCCAGAGAGGTCAGGCACGCTGATGGAGCTCACAAAGCAGCCAGACACGTACATCAGTCACAGAGGATGGAAAAGGGGGCAAAGAGAGTGTTTCGGGGGCTCCCTCTCTCTGGGCGAAGGCTTAATTTGATGGCTGTGGCTGAGGGCAGTAGTGGTAGGGCAGGGCAGACTCACATAGCAGCCAGACACGTACATCAGTCACAGAGGATGGAAAAGGGGGCAAAGAGAGTGTTTCGGGGGCTCCCTCTCTCTGGGCGAAGGCTTAATTTGATGGCTGTGGCTGAGGGCAGTAGTGGTAGGGCAGGGCAGCGCAGGAAGTGAGGAAGGCTTCAGGGAAAGAGGGTGCATTCCTGCACTCTAGACCAGGCTTTCTCACCTCAACACTGTTGACATTTGAGCCAGATAATTATTGTTTTCTAAAAGTCATTTATTTACTTGTCTGTGGTGGGGCTTAGCTGAGGCCTGTGAACTCTTAGTTGAGGTGTATGAGATCTCGTTCCCTGACCAGGGATCAAACCTGGGCCCCTTGTTTTGGGAGCACACAGTCTTAGCCACTGGACCACCAGGGAAGTCCCCCAAGCCAGATAACCCTTTGCTGTGGGGCCTCCGCCCGTGAGATGCCAGTAGCACCTCTTCAGTTGTAACCGCCAAAAATGCCTCCAGGCTGTGCCAAGTACTTTATCCATGTCAATTACTTCTTCAGACTCCAGGAGGTACAGAGTATTAGTCCCTGTTGGAGATGAGGAATCTGAGGCACGGAGATCTCATAACGGGCAATCTCACAATGAGCGAGTGAGCCTCGGAGGAGAGATGGGACCGAGTGGTCTGGCCTTGACCTACGCTGACCGCCTTGCAGCCTTTCCCCAGCCCTCAGTGAATGTGACTCTCCAGGGTGAATGAACTACGTGACCTGCTCCCACCTTGAATGGGCTGATCTGATGGGATGCTGGGTCTCCAACCTGTGGTCCAGGACTTACCCGCTGATCTTAGTGTCCTCCGGGGTCCGTCTGCAACTCTGATGTCTGTGATCGACAGCCCCGCTCCTTCCTTGCTCCTGGGCCCAGCTTCTGGAAGCAGAAATTCCTACCCCTCACTAAACTAGAGTCAAAGCCTGTGTGTGTGCTTATTTTGCCCTTTCAGCAGCTCTCGGAGGGGAGGGTTCCTCATCTGCATTTTATAGATCAGGAGGCTGAGGACCACAGAAGCCCAGTGAAATGCCCTGAATCCCTTAGCTCAGCAGTTCCCAGCCTCTCTGGCACGAGTGGGTTTCCTGGAAGAATTTTTCCATGGACCGGGGAGGCAGGATGGTTTCAGGATGATTCAAGCGCATTACATTTATTGTGCACTTCATCCCTATTATTATTCTATCAGCTCCACCTCGGATCATCAGGCATTAAATCCTGGAGGTTGGGAACCCCTGCCTTAGCTAGTAGGGGTATGAAGAATCCAATATGAGGTGGAAAGAGGTAGTGGGAGGGGCACCAATCAAGAAATGAGCTTGGGAGAGGACCTCTGTGAAATTAACTCCAGTATTTCGGTGGAGGCGAACATGCCTAATTACAAGATCAACCCGGGGATAGGGGGTTTGCATCCTTGGAATTCTTCCCAGGCCAGCCTCCTGTGAGCCTCTCTCATTGCTGCCTTCTTCTCTTTCTCTTCCCAGGGCGACATGGGAACACTGGGTCCGATCGGCTACCCAGGACCCAAGGGCATGAAGGTAAACAAAAACCGTTCTTTAATCTGGGTCTCATCGCAGCCAGGCGCCCCCTGACTCATTTCAGCTTAGAAGGAAGGTTACCCTGACACGGTGTTGGGGGAGTGTACTCAGAGGGCTGCTGGGGTGGAACGTGGCAGATCAGGGGCTCAGTGCTTCTCAGTCCTGAGAGCCAAACATCGTGTGCATGTCACTTATGCCAGACATCCTTACTGGACGGCAGTCCCCCAGCTGAGCATGAGTCAGACGTGGTTCTGGACCTCAGCACTAGTGCAGTGCTGAGCATCACCAGGGGGACAGAAACTATAACAGCAAGCCAGTGAGCTCAGGACATCCCTGAGTGGGACGGGTGTGCAGGCGAAAGGTGGGCTTACGCTGCCAGGGCCACGTTCCAGGGATGATTCCATTTGGCTAACAAGCGTGTGTGACATGGCTCATGAAGGCCGTCTCCCCCCATCAGCGCCCTTCTCCCCTGGATGTGCCCAGAGCTCTGTGATTCACAAGTCAGCCACCCCTTCTTATGGTCCTGCACGCCACACCATCGCCCTTTGGGCCGGGGCTCATTGCCCCCTTTTACAGATGAGAAAACTGAGCCCTGGGCTGGAGAATCCAGCACAGGGTCTTGCAGCAAACCAATGGGTTTATGCCAGGGCTCCTGACTTTTGGGGCTTTCACCCTCCTTCACCACTGAACCCCAGCCTCTGTCTTGCAGGGACTGATGGGAAACGTGGGGGAACCCGGACTGAAAGGTGATAAGGTGATCTGAATACTCCCTTATTGCACTGTGTTTTATCTGCATGCGAATTCCCTCCGCCTCGACGCTGCTGCTGATTTCTCGCCAGGTCCACTCCCCTGCACTCTGCCTGCCTCCCCTCTGACCCTCCCTAAATCTGTGCTCCCCAGCTTCTTCCCTGTAACTCTGGGTGGGATTCAGGCAGACGGTTCTGGAAGCATGCAGATCTTGGCAGACAAGAGTGGGGGGGCTGGGGCTGTTGAAGCTTGGGTTAGGGGTAAGTTAAGGCAGGTCTCCAAATTTTTTTTTTTCTGGGGGGAGCAAAGCTGAGGCTAGCATCTGGGCTTTGAATTCAAAGCCAGAGGATACAGAGGGTGGGGAGATGGAGAGATGGGGAGATGTGGTGCTGAGATGATGGGCCCCAGGGCAGGGGTGATGTGGGGTCCAAAGAACCCTCCCAGGCATAGGAGGAAACAAATGCACATACACTGTCAAGATTGGAGTTGGGAGCCCAATCCCAGAGTCTGAAAATGTAACAGAAAAGCCAGGACAGGCCTGAGCCCCTGACCAGCATTCCTCCCAGCTGTGCGGGGTGGGCAATGGGCTGGGGAGACCCTTGCTACATGTCTTACACCGTTCCACTGCCGAGCCAACCCTGGGCCCAACCAGAGCTGGAGGTGGGTCGGTGGGACCCCGGGGCCCAGAGCGGGGCAGCACCTGGCCTGGGCCCTGCGGCATCCATGTGAAGAAACTCGGGGGGTAGGGGCCGTGCTTCTGTGCTTGGCCCTGTGGCCTTCTTCCTGCCCTCCCCGGCAGCCTCTTGACAAACCAGGCCCCCCAGAGGGAGTGTGGGAGAGCTGTTGGGCAGCATCCAAGTTTCCATAAGCCTGAGCAGATAGGAGCCGCTCACCTGCTCGGGGGGGCCTTGCTCCCTGCACCTGTCTCCCGATGACACTGCTCCTCCTCAGCTCGAGGAACAGGAGCAGGGACCAACACTGGTCCCCCTCTGAGCGTGCTGCAGGGCTTAGCTCGCCCATCCTCCACCCCTCTATGAGGTGGGAAGCTTGCTGGGCACGCACAGCTGGTACGTAGCGTCAGGATTCGAACCCTGGCACCCGTCAGCAGAGACCTCCACCCTGAAGCAGGACTGGGGTCAGAAGGGCAGAGCCGATGAGATCCTTAGAGGTCACCTCCTCCAGTGCCTACCTGTCACAACTGGAGAAGCAGACCCGGAGAGGAGAAGAGATTCTTCAAAGGAAACTCAGGGATCTGTAGGAGCCCGCCCGGAGCCTGGGCTCTTAGAAAAACTAGAGCTGCTGGGCTGAAATGAGCATCCCGGGTTGCCCTACCCACCCCCACCCCTGGTACCCAGCCGCGCGGTGCTCACCGCTCTCCTCTCTGTCTTTCCACCTCTCCCGTCTCCTCCCTCATGCCCAAGCCTCAAGCTGGCCCTCCCCCCACCCCACTCAGCTTTGCCCTCTGGCTCTGCCCTGCTGGTTGCTAAGCCCCCTCTTCCACAGCCCGCCCTCTGGAGATGTAGGGGCTTTCTGTTGGAGGCGGGGGCTTCCCCACAGCTACCTGTTTACCCCGTGGTTTGAGTCATCAGCACTCTGGAAATGTTGAAGTCATGGATGAAGGGAAAGGAAGTGGGGGGGAAATAGGAGTGTAGGCAGGGAGCTTTTTATAGGCCCTTTGCAGAGCTGGCCTCCAGCTCACTGTTTCTTCAGGAACATGGAAATAAACGTGTTACATAGAACTCGGCTGGCTTGCTGACTGGTGCTGCCTGGGACATGTAAAAGCCCCCCCCCAAAAAAAGAGGAGGAAATTATTTTCCTGCTCACAGATCTCAGCACAATCAAATAAGTCTTTAGAGTTGAAAAAAAAAAAAAGAAGAAGAAAAGAAAAAGAAATCACTTTTCTGCTTCTTTGGCTAGGATAGGATCATAATATTTTGAGAAACAGTGTTCTTATCAGCCCCTCCTCACTCCACCCCACCTTCTGGCCCTCCCCTGGGATGACAGAGCCACCCCTTCATGTTCCACGGTCATCCTGCCTAGAATCCCAGATTGTCATGACCCAGCCTGGCCTCGGTCCCGTTTACCACCACCTGGCTCCCTCTCCCCCCATGGAGGTACATTCTGGAACCCAGGCTCCTGCTCCAGGCCCAGCTTTCTCCAGATCCCTTGTCCTGGTTTCTTAGGGGCCTTTGAAACTTTTTTTAAAAAGCCATCTTACTCTTTCTTTGGACATTAAAAAAAAAAAAAAGTTCCTAAGTTCCTAAAACTCTGGGATATTGTATAAGATTTTCCAAATTGGAAAAACCAAAGTAAGTTTTTAAAAAAAAAACAAAAAAAACTTTTTTTTTATTTAAAAAAAAAATTCTGGCTTTTGTTCTACCAAGGAAGTTCTGTTGGATCATGGCCTTAGCTGCACGACATGAGTTCTCTAAGATTCTCCATTCTTCTTGGGTTTTTCTCCCCATCCATCCAACTGCTGCCAGGGCTGTGAATGTTTTCTGAGTCCTGGGGCCAACGTACCAACATGGAAAGCTGGAAAGGATGAGGGCTATGTGAGACGGTTCCAGCTCCAAGGAGAAACCTCCCAATCTGGTTCTGTGACAGCTCATTTACCAGGATGTGGTTGAGTACAGGGAGGGGGCAGAAGAGACCTCTGACAGCCAAAATCAGTGTCACCAAGTCCATGCAATGTGTCATCTTAAAAGGGAAACACCCAGACTTAACTCCAGACCAGTTTACTTGCTGGTTACACGTAGTCTTAATGAGCCAAGCTCTCTGGCTTCTCATGCTATAGCTGATTCAAAGCAGTTAATCAGACGTAGACCGAAGCCGATTGCTGGCACAGAAACTCCCACAGAAGGAAGACATGACAACTCACAGCCTGGCAGTGAAAAATATCAAGCAACATATGCAAATGCTCTGAACCCACGATGGTGTGGGGACGCTGTCCAAGCTGCACGCTCTTCCGTGTGACGTCAGTTGATGATGAAGAGGTTGAAGGATCAAGACACAGTTCCTTTGACCCACAAGTGTCTGATCTCCCGCCAAGGCCAGGCAACATGGCACAGCTTAGCTTCTGTTAGTGGAGTGTTCAGCCACCTGAGCAACCCCAGGCAGACCTGCGGCTAAGCTGGCTCTGTCCCCCAAGGGGGCCCACCTTCCCCACCCAGGCTCCTCTGGGGCTGGGGGCTGCCCTTTTCTCTAACAAGGCTGCTGCTGGGTGGATCGACTTGGGGAACGGCCTCGGCAAAGCTGCACCTCGCCACTGGGTCTGGATGTGGGGGAGGCTTCCAGAACTCACCGTGGTTTCCATCGTAACCTTCTTTGCTGGTGTGTATTTAGGGTGAACAAGGGCTTCCCGGTGTGTCAGGAGATGCCGGATTCCAAGGAGACAAGGTAACTCCTGCACATTCGCCCCCTGCCCCCCCCGCCCCCCCGCNGCAGCACATTTCTCCCCTGGCTGATGGGGACTGGTGCTTCTCCCCCTGCCAGACGGCAGGTTCCCCAGAATAGGGCCCCCGGCTGGCCTGGAGGGGCTCAGGTCAGGGTCCTGCGCAGGACGGTGAACACTTAAAAAGATACGTCTGAGTGAGTGGCTGGCCGGGATGACGGAGGATCCCAGGCCGCCTGCCAGGCCGGCTCCTCTTTGCCTATGTCCGGCACCATGTGGCCACATCTGGAGTTCTCCCAGCCAGTCAACGAGGCCCAGATGTTGGCCCGCTCTCGCTCTTCCTCTCCCCTCCCTCCTGGCTGGCCTGTCCTGACCCAGCCTCGATGTCTCCGGGTTGCGAGCCACGCAGGCCGGGCTGCCTCTGCAGCTGGGCCCCAGTCTCCAGACTTCCCGAGGCATCCGGGCGCAGCAGCAGTGCCTGCTCAGTGGCCCCGGGGTCCCGGATTCCCGGATAACTTGCTGAGGACAGGAGCAGTCATTTCACCTTTGTGTCCCCGGGTCCCAGCCTACAGAGCTGCCAAGCTGGAGCTTGCAAGCAGAGGGCTTATCCTCTCTCTCAAAGCGGGTGTTGTTCAGGCCTCAGGCCGGCAGGGATGACCAAGCAGCTGTCCGTCTGGCCATTTCTGGGCGTTACTAACCCCAGTTTGCTCTGCATCTTTTTCAGGGAAGCCAGGGCTTGCCAGGGTTCCCAGGTGCACGGGGGAAGCCAGGGCCTGTGGTGAGTACCTTCTGCTTCTAGATCCTCAGGCTCATGGTGTCCAAATGGTCATGGAATGTGGCCAGAGATGCCTTCACATCCCAGGACCTCATTTCCTCCTGCAGCAGCTCTGGGAGGCGAGTAAAGCAAAGTAGAAATGGATATTCGCCCCTTTTACAGATGAGGACACTGAGGCCCAAGGGGCAGAAGCACACCCAGGCATCAGGCATTGGCAGAGCTCTGGTGCAAATCAGGGCTTCCAGTGCCTTGTAAATAATAGTAGTGTTATCAACAATGGCAGTGGATGTCGTTTATTTATTGAACGTTCCTGTTGGCACTAACGGTAAAGAACCTGCCTGCCAGTGCAGGAGACTTAAAGAGACACAGGTTCGATCCCTGGGTCGAGAAGATCCCCTGGAGGAGGGCATGGCAACCCACCCCAGTATTCTTGCCTGGAGAATCCCATGGACAGAGGACCCTGGCGGGCTACTGTCATAGTGTCGCAAAGAGTTGGGTGTGACTGAAGCGACTTAGCATGCATGCATACATGCATCAGATCTTTCCTGTGCTGTATCTCTTTGAAAGGCTCAACAACCCCAGGAGTTAGAGAATTGTTACTGTTCCCATTTCACAGATGGGGAAAGTAAGGTTCAAAGGTGAAGTGACTTGCCCAGGATCCAGTGTCAAGGAAGAGCAGGAGCTGGGGCTTGAACAGTAACTCCTTGTAGTTGTCTGGGCAGATTTCACTCATATTCTCTTGAATTTTCCAACCATCCCCAGCCTGGGGCCTAATACAAGGGATCCAGGAAAGGTGGACCCTCACTTACCCCTGCCTCCCCTACAATCTCTTCTCTTCCACAGGGCAAAGTTGGAGACAAAGGATCCATTGGGTTTCCTGGGCCCCCGGGACCTGAGGTATATAATGCCCTATTTCTCTGTGGCTGGCTGTTACTGGGACTGCGTGTCATCCTTGGGAAACCAAAGCTCAGAGACAGGGAGAGACTTGCCTGAGGTCACACAGCAAATAAAAGATGGGATTAGAAATTCCTAGAGCAGTCATCTTTCCTTTTCTTCCTGGCTTCCCGGCTACCCTGGGGGCTCGCAAAGGCAGTGGGGCCGCAGCTGGCTTCAGACTCCCTCCCCAACACCATGGCCGCCTTTACAGTTTCCAGAAAGAAGCATCAGGAAAACCCTCTGAGCGGAGCTGCCTGGACCCTTCAGGGGAGCTCCCTGCATTCTCTACCCTTCTGAGCCCTGGAACTTTTCCAGCTACTTACAGCCACCCTGGAGAGGTGCAGGGCTCAGAGCTCACAGGTACAGAGAGCAAGAAACAAGTGGAAGATTCTGGTATTTGAACAGAGAAGAAGTCACGACAGATAGATTAAGCAATTAACATGGTAACTACAGCTGAGTCAGTAGAACCCGAGAGTTTCCGACATGTGTGATAGTGAGCACAGGTATGTTAAATGTCCATCACTGGCATTTCTGCACAAAGGGGGCGAGGCAGCTGGGCAGCTGATTGAACCCCTCTTCCCGCCCCCCGCCCCATGCCTCGCCCCCAGTACAGAGACCAGCTCTGGAGAACAGGGTGAACGGTGCTGGGGGATGCTGTCTCTCGCAGGGGCTCTAGGTCAGGCCTAGTCCCCCCCACCCCACCCCTATGTCATACGTCCCTGGCCTGGCGCCTTGCACATCCCTGAGGCCTCGGAGACAGAAGTCTGGTCCATCCTTCCAAAGATCACTCCTGGTATCGCCCGGGTGGATGAGGGAGTGTTTCCTAAAAGCCACAAGTTCTACTTTCCACTGTGTTGACTTTGGCCTTGACACAGTCCTATCTTTAGACAAATGGACTTGGCCTCTCTTCCATGGCCCTGATTCCTTCCCCTGGTCACTGTGGAAAAAGACTTCTCTGAGAGGCCGGGTTTCCCAGCAGTCTGGCCAGTGCGGGTGGAAAGCCGGCTCCCTCGTTTTATTAGGCACTGCCCCGTGCCAGGAGGCTGCGTCGTATCTTCGGGATGGGAGCCGGCTGAACGGCATCACAGCCAGCGAGGGAGATACTGTCACCACCACGCTTGGCAGAGGAGGGGGCTGAGTGACAGGAGGGTGGGGGCGACCCCCTCCGGGTCGCCCTGCTACTTGTAGCAAAAGAGATCTTCATTTTGCCCTTTGGCTCCCTCCCGGGTCCCTGGACAGCTCTGGGCTCTGCCTCCCCCATCTTTGGGTTCTGTTTGGATTGGCGGACTCAGCATCCGCTAGATGGTTCTGCTCAGCCTAGGAGAAAAGCCGACGAGCCTCAGCACCTTCCGGGGTCTTTGCCGCCTTTCCGAGGCCGTGGGTGCAGCTTCCACTCCCCAGCCCCTGAGGGAAACAGCTCTTTCATTCGTTAGTGGGTCGGATCTGTGTGACACCAGAATTTGATCAGTGTCCTGGCCTCCTTCAAATTCTCCCTGGAGACAGGCCCACCCCAAGCAGACTTGTTTTCCCAGGACCCAAAACCCTTTGGCTTGTAGATTTTTTATTGAGTGCTTACCAGATGCCAAATTCCAACTCAGCGGTGCACTCACCTTATTCTCTTCAAGCCTCAGAAAAGCCTTGTTAGGTGATTTTTATAGTTACCATTTTAGAGATGAGGAAGCCAGGGCCCAGACAGGCTTAGAAACCTGCTGGGGTCACACAGTGAGTCGGTGGCAGAACGGGACTTTGAGCCTCGCGCTTTGAAGAAAAAGACGTGGGTCTTTGGCTTCCTGTGTTAGCTCCAAATTCAAGACCAGACTTGCCTTCCCTAGTGAGAAGGATGAGAGGATGGTGGAGCTGGAATCTAATGGGAGTTACCAAAACCTCAAAAGAGGAAGAAAATAAAGCCACTTACTAAGGTGAAGTCGGGGAGCATCCTGACTTTAGGGACTCATATTCAAAGGTTTGGTTTCTGGTTGGCAGACAACTGAGGGAGTAATGGGCCTGCCCTGAAAGCAAATGGGGTTCTAGGCTGAATTAATGGAGATATTATACCTAAAACAAGGGAGGAGATGTTCTTACACCAACCTCTGCTGGTCGGTTCACGAGTATCCTAGTGACCACCAACAATGGAAGCTAAGCGGTTGGAGGCAGCCAGACTGAGGGCTCCTGACTAGGGGCAGTTGAAGGGACAGAGAAGTCTGGTCTTTTCTGCTGAGGAAGGAAAGAGATTCTGCTCCATGTCCTAAAGAAGCTTCCACTGCAACCATCCATCAGATGGGAGCAGTGAACTTTCAATGGTGGTGTGGGGCAGAGTCCAAGGATACACTGGGGATTTCTGCTTCCGATAGTTGCTGATACTTATGGATCAGTGCTTTTCTAGCCTTTCAAAGTCACAGCAAACCCAGAATATTCAGAATCCCTACAATAAAGGGTGGCACTTCTCAGAGCAGAAGACTGTGAAGCCCTGGCTGCCCCAGGACTAAGACTTGGGCAGGTCTGGATTAGATGACCTTGTATGTGCTAGTTCCTATGCTAGGACCTTCCTGCACTGTCCTGCCTCATTTTCTCAGCGCCCCTCTGAAGTGTAGGGGCTGATTCTTTGTTTTAGAACCATGATAACTGACCTTCCCAGGGTCATCTCCCCTGCAGGATGAGATGGAGACCTAGGTCGGTTCCCCTCTAAGACCTATGGTCTTCGCATTTCCCTATGTAGTCCCCATGGGTGATCCCAGCTCTCTGCTTCTTTTCAGGGATTCCCTGGAGACATTGGCCCCCCCGGGGACAACGGCCCAGAAGGCGTGAAGGTGAGTCCCTGCCCAGGGGAGCTCCAGCTGATGAGGCTGACCACTGTATGCAAACCACAGGCTTGATTCCAAGCCAGCGGGAGCCTCACCAGCCTGTGATGGAGACGGAGGTGCTGCCTCTGAGCCCGCTCTCTTTCCCTCTCACCAGGGTAAGCCTGGAGCTCGAGGCCTACCAGGACCCCGTGGGCAGCTGGGGCCCGAGGTGAGACTACCTGACCCTGCCTCCTGCCCATCCCCCTGCCACCCCAGCCCCTAGCTTGCTCTCCCCTGGGTCCTGGAGACCTTAGCTGAGTTCCAGGGCCCCTCAGTCAGGAGACACAGGGCCCAGGGCCACCTCAGGCTTGCCCTCCAAGTCATCCTTTATAGCTCTGCCTTGTGACCCTTCCAGGGTTCTCGTCTGCCCTGGTCTGGCTGGCAGGTCATTCCCATCACAGCAACGCCACTGCCCTGGGGTTTCATCTCTAGAAGCCACTGTCACTGCTTCTCCCTGTAGCCAGTTTATTGGGGTGCTGCTATAGGAGGGGGACATCGTCAGCTCAGGGGAGGTCCTGACTCTCAAGGGGATAGACTATATCAGGTTCCTGTGGTTAGTGGCAGGCAGCGTCAGGATTCGAACCCGAGTCCGCTGAGCCCAAAGCTCCTGGCATGGACCCTGTGCTGTTTAACTTCTGGGCTCCTGGGGGCTGCCTGAGGCCTGCTGGGAGAATGACATGACTTGTGCAGCTAGTAAGTGGCAGACTGAAGATTTGTTTACTGACTCATCCGTGATGAAGGGGATTGATGATTTCCCCGGGCCTGTTGGAGCACCAGCTGGAGGGCTGCTGGCTACCCCATGGGCTGGCCCCAGGCTTTTCCCATGCGCAAGGCCCTCCCTTGCACACCTTGGCTCAGGCCCCAGAGCTCCCATGACGCAGCCCTGGGGGAGGGCGCAGGAGGCCCCGACTCACCGCAACCACAGGCAGGCATCTGGCTGACATGGATCCCTTCTCGGGCTGGTTCTGGGTCTGGCGGGGTCCCAGTACTGGCCCTGCGAGCTGCCACGTGGGGCTGCTTTCCTGGAAGCTGGGGTGGGGGGGAGTGGGCTCTGAAGGGGGCCTCTTGGTTAGGGTTGGCATGCCAGAGGGGCCAGTCTGGAAGCTCCCTGAGCCTGCAGGAGGGCCTGAGGCATCTCCATGGGTGGGAAGTGGGCAGGAGGGTGCGAGGGAAAGATGGCACCAGCCTGTACTCCCATTGACGCTCACATTACAACATCACCACTGAAGCAGACCCTCAATATGCCTGCCACTTGCTCACATCCCCAGTGATTCATCTGTCCACGCATCCATTCATTCACTCCTTCATTTGTTACCCTCTCTCAGGCCCTTCTCCCTGCCTTCCTGAACCACACACCCACTAGACCCTGGGCACCCCCATCCTGAGTGATGTTGGGGGTCGTGGTGTCAAAAAAGAATAAGAGATCCTGGCTGTCCTCCAGGAACCCAGATTACTCATCAGTGGGGTTTTTTTTGTTTGTTTTTTTAAATGTAATCACAATAATAAAAGATGTTTATCAGTTTTCACAATCAATAGCCAGACAAAACATAAAAGATAATTACATTTCCAAGTCATAATGGGGCTTCCCTGGTAGCTCAGACAGTTAAGAATCTGCCTGCAATGCAGGAGACATGGGTTCAATCCCTGGGCTGGGAAGGTCCCCTGGAGAAGGAAATGGCAACCCACTCCAGTATTCTTGCCGGGGAAATCCCATGGACAGAGGAGCCTGGCCAGCTACAGTCCATGGGGTTGTGAAGAGTTGGACATGACTGAGCAACTAACTCTAACTCATGGGAACATGATTAACCTAACAATGTAAAATAATTACATACAATTTGGAGGGTCAAGCAGGGTGGTACTCATGTGTTTAAGGTGATCCTCTCTGCCCCGCACCATTTTACAGACGGGGAGACTAAGGCATGGTGAGGCTAACGTCTGCCGCCGGGTAAATGGCAGAGCTCGGAACAGAGCCCGTATCTTTAAGCTGCAGTCTGGGGCTCTGCTCAAACAGCATATGATAGGGTTTGGCTTTCCTGTCCGGCACTTCTGCCAACCCAGACTGACCACATTCACATCACAGGGGAGCCCCGTTCACCCAGAAGCCCACGTGTGGTCTGGCCTCCAGGCCTGTGCCCTGGGTGGGGCCAGGCAGGGGGCCCAGGTCTACCATTGCTCACTCAGGGAGGGCTGTCCTGTGCCCACCCCTTGCCCTCCTGACAGGTCAAGTTCTCCAAGACTCCCACTGAATTGACTTTGTCCTTTTTCTCCTCTCTCATGTCTCCTGACCCTAGGGAGATGAGGGGCCCATGGGGCCACCAGGGGCCCCTGGCTTGGAGGTGAGTGTTGCTGGCCTGGGGGGTGGGGTTTGCTGCCGCAAGCCAGCTGTGTGCAGGCGGGTGTCGTTTGGGTGGTGCTTTGGAGAGCAGCTGTCTGTGAGAGCCTTGGGCCTGCCAAGGTGAGGACAGACCCCAGAGGAGAGAGGCAAGAGGCAAGAAGCTGTTGTGCACCTACTGTGTGCAGGGGCCTTGCATCCACTGTCACTCATTCGATTCTCCCTTGAGAGAGGCACTGCCTTTCTTAGTATTGTTCAAGGCCCTCAGGCTCAAAGAGCACAGCCCAGGGAACTTCCCTGGTAATCCAGCGGTTAAGAATCCACCTCCTTATGGAGGGGATATGGGTTCATTCCCTGGTCAGGGAACTGAGATCCAAGGTGCCAAGGGGCACTCACTTAAGCCTGCAGATCATAACTAAAACCCATCACAGTCATAAAAAAATTTTTTTTTTAAAAAGTAAAAAACTTAGCCCAGAATCTCACAGCCAGGAAGTCAGGATACCCTCCCTGGAACCTGAATCGGACTTCTCTCTACTGCTTCAAGTGGCCTTCCAGAAAGAAGGTGTATGCCCAGCCACCGTCAGTCTCAATTGCATAAATTGGCAATTTGTAGATTTTTTTTGTCTTGGGACCTTTTGACATCCTTGGAAATAATCGAGGACCCTGAATGCTTTTCTTTACATGGGTTACATCTATCGACATGAGTACTTAAAACCAAGAAATTTTAAATGCTTTTAACAATTCGTTCAAGATTAACAACCAACTCATTTCATGTTAACAAAAATAATAGTTACCCCCCCAAAAAGCTATATTTTCCAAAACAAAAATCATCTAATGAAAAGAGTGGCATTGTTTTACCATTTTTTGCAAATCTCTTTAATGTCTGGCTTAATAGGAGTCAGCTGGATTCTCCAGCCTGCCTCTGCATTCCATCTGTGGATAAAACCACGCGCCATGTAGTCTCTGGAAAACTCCACTTGCATTCATGAAAATGAGTGACACGGGCAAATGACATCTTACTATTCTTATGAAGATAGTTTTGACCTTGTGAATTTCCTGTGAAAGGGTCTTGGGGTCCCCCAGAGGGCCCCGGGACCACAGTTTGAGAACTACTGGCATAAAACCACGCCCCTTGTCCTTTATCTTCTGTTCCAGTCCCTTCCTTTTCCTCACTCCTTGAAAGCAGTTTTCATCATTCCCGTTAACAAACAAACCAGCCTGGGAGGGGAGGCTTCCCAAGGTCACACAGCTGAAGACTCTCCCTGACTCCCCGAGGGCAGCTGGCAGCCTGGCAGCTGGCAGTGACCTCGGGGCTCTGTGTCCCTGCCCCTCCTGGCCTCTCTCACTCACTTCTTCCTGTCGCAGGGTCAGCCCGGCAGGAAGGGGTTTCCTGGAAGACCTGGCCCAGATGGCTTGAAGGTGAGGGGACCTGGAAGTGATGTGGCCAGAATGGGGAGGAGGGAACACCTGGGGAGGAGAAGCGGGGGGGGGGNGGGGGGGGGGGGGGGGGGGGGAGCCAACCGATGAGGCCCTGGGATGACCCCTGAATCCCTGACCTGTTGTGAAAAGGGGACCAGATGGTCCCCATTTATCACAAAGTGTGTGTGAGTAACAGGAAAGCGTGGACAGAATCCCAGTGTCCACCAGGGGACTAGTGTTTTAAGTCACGGGGCACAGTGCAGCCACAAAAGATGGTGTGCTGGGGGCATTGACAGGATGGGAAGACGCCCGTGTGTTGCGGGGTGATGGTGGGCGCATGGGAAGCAGGTCATGTAGTGGAATGGTCCAGGAGGAGCCCGTGGCTGGGGCTGGCTGTACCACGTTCCTGAAGGCTCAGAGCAAAGGCTGGAGCGTGGACGGGGGTTAGCTCTGGGTAGTGGGATTATCGGAGATTTCCATTTTCCTCTCTGGACTTCTATATTTTCCCCATCATCAACCATAAATATGCATTTCACTTATTAACAGGTTTTTTGAAGTTATCAAAATGAAAAAGAATTGGCCCCAGTAGGAGATTATGTTCCTCAACACATGGGCAGCTTAATGCCTTTCCCGGGACTCTGTCTGAAGGCTGGATTTCCCTGGCCGTCCCAGGCAGGGATCGCTGGGCTGGGTTGACAGCTGGACAGACACACAGAGGGTTAGGGTGGACCTGGGGGCCCCAGGCTGTCCAAGTGCCCTCCTCTCAGGAGAAATGGCCCCCAAGTCTGTGTCTGTCTGCCTCCTCTGGGGGTCTCGAGCCTGAGGTCTCGGGGCAGACCTGCAGGGGAGGCTGAGTCTCGAGCTGGGATCGCTGTGAACCCCAACTATGAGCCCAGCTCCCGGCCGGTCCGAGCCCATGTCCTGCCCTCTGAGGCCTGGGCCTTTCTCCCTCAGATACCAGCTGGGTTTCTGTGGTGGGAGCGGTGACAGGGCCCCGGGCAGATTGATCCCACGGTTCTGCTTGCCAGGGCGGCTGTGGCTGCAGAAGGAGCAGGCGTCACCCCGGCGTGGGATAAAGCCGCCAGACAAGGCCTCGAATGGCCACCTAGCATGAGGGCTCGGGGATTTCCCAGGGGGCGCTGGTGGTAAAGAGCCCGCCTGTCAGTGCAGGAGCCATGAGACAAGGGCTTGATCCCTGCAGGAGGAAACGGCAACCCGTTTCAGTACTCTTGCCTGGAGAATCCCATGGACAGAGGAGCCTGGTGGGCTACCGTCCGTAGGGTCACAGTCGGACATAATGGAGGTGACGCAGGACACAGCGCCTGTGAGAGCTTGGAGGCAAATGAGTTTGATTTTCCTTATTTGTGAGTGGGCCGAGCCCAGAGCAGAGATCCCCTTCCGTGTCACTTGTGAGCTGGTGGCAGAGCTCTGGGAGTCCAGTGCCCTGATCCCCCGGCTCCCTGCTCATCCTGGTGCAGCAGGGGATCTCCATCAGTCAGACCCAAGTTCCAGTTCTAGCCCTGCTTTCAGTTCGCTGTGTGACCTCGGCAGGTCACGTCACCTCTGTGAGCTTCAGTTTCCATCTCCCGCGGAATGCCATGGGTTGATGGGGGTCCCAGATGAGATAAAGACCCCGTGCCAGGTAACCTGCCCAGGGCCCCTCCAAGGGAATGACGACTAGCATCATCCCTGGGGCCAGAGGAGGTTTTGTCCCAGTGTCCCTTATCCTTACCATTTGTTTGGAGTTTCCAAGGCCAGACTGCAGTGGAGTTTCTTGGTTCATCCCCACCAGAGGGGACTGAGGCCAGTCGACCCGAGTGTCTCCCGGGAGGCCTAGCCTCCTGCCACCCATCCCAAGTGACCCTCCTCTGTTTCTCTGCAGGGCGAGCCAGGCGATCCTGGAAGGCCGGGGCCTGTGGGCGAGCAGGTGAGTCACCGCCGTCTCGGACCCTACTGGCTCCCTGAGCTGTGGGAAGCGCGTGTATGGAGCTCATTCATCCCCAACCCCAGCTGGAGTGGTTGGGTGAGGGTTATCTAACCCTAAACGGCTCATCTCCCCGCTTCACTGACATGGACAAACTCTGGCTCTCGGGGAGGTGAGGTCACTGCATGAAAAAGTCACGAATCTCAGTCCCCATGGTTGCTCCCCACAGCCTGACTCTGCAGATGTTCTGGGGCATTCGCCCAAAAGACATTACGTGACTTTGCTCCCAGAACGTGCAAAGTGGAAGAGCCCTTTCACAGTCACCCCCCGTGCTCGATATAACGGGAGGGCCGGAAGAGCCGAGAACCAGAGCCACGTGCCAGGGGCTCTTAGTTCAGGCATCCCTAGTTTATAAAGAAAACGAAATTCACCTCAGTGGCTCTGGCTATGCGGGAAGTCAGGCCAGGGTCTGAAGAGGAGAGGAGGTTGCGCGTGATCACTGAAAAGGAGGTTGGAGAAACATAACCTTCAGTGTTGAGGTCCAGGGCCCTTGGCTCTGGACGCTGATGGGTGGATGACTGGCCTTAGTCCCTCCCCTGCAGCGCGGCGCCTCCTGAAAGCGTAAGCTCTGGGCTTGTAGGTCAGGTCGGAACGTAGCAGTCTCGTCCACTCCTTTAAAGAAGGACCCCATCCTCTGAACCCAGCGAGGGGCTGCCTCGGGCTGGAAGGGGAATGATGCTGGGGACCCAGAAGAATTTGTCTCTGCCGAGAAACGCCATCAATGCCGTGAGAGTCACGCACACGAGGAGCTTCCTCACCAGGCCTGCAACATCTGTTGGGGGGAAGAAAGGAATTAAAGCAGGGGGAGGATTGGATTTTTGAAACCTTTCCAGTGTCATTCGAGCACATTCTGTGGGAAGCCCGGGAGTTTGGAAGGGCTGCCGCGGCCTGGATGTATTTCCTGATTGGAAAAAAAAGGCAATACGTTCAGCAAATTTAATTTCATAGTTATGCTCATGGTAGGGCCCTTGGGAAATAGATACTTGGAATCCTAGGATGGCAGTGCACAAAGCCTCCTTTGAAATCCCTCTATCCTGGAGTCCTAACCTTTTATTTTGTGCCTTAGACCCCTTTGGCAGGCTGGAGAAGATCACAGACCCCTTCTCAGAATTTGTTGTTAAGTCACTGAGTTGTGTTCGACTCTGCAACTGTGTGGACTGCAGCACGCCAGGCTCCCCTATCCTTCACTCTCTACCGGAGTTTGCTCAAATTCATGTCCATTGAGCCGGTGATGCTATCTAACCATCTCAGAATAGAGAGCTTCTTTAAATGCACAAAATTCAAAACAAAAGACTACAAAGGAAATGGATAATGTTGAAATACAGATGTGAGACTATGCTAAATTGTGATCTCCTCAAAGATATGGTTCTTTATTCTTGCCTTGAATAATGAGATCTAATGGCAGGTTCAATAATGACCTCAATTTTGAAGTGGTGACCCGCCTTACTGATTGATACCTTTTGAACTCTCTGCCGCAGTGACTGTAGTGTGACATGTAAAGATCTGTGACCATTACCGGTGCTGTAGATTTGTTGCCTGCATGCCTCAAACTCATGTTTGAGAGAAGTGCTCAATTTCAGCTAGAGGCTGGTGAAGATGACAGTTGTAGTTTTTCCCATTCAAGTTCATGGACCCCGGAAATGCATCCATGGAGCTTTACAGGGACCCCAGATTGAGAACTCCTGGATCCTCAACCACATTGACAAGTCTGGGATTTAGGGAGGGGAATGGCTCAGTGGGTAAAGAATCCACCTGCAATACAGGAGATACAGGAGAAGAGGGCTGTCTCCCTGGGTGGCAAAGATCCCCTGGAGGAGGAAATGGCAGCCCACTCCAGTATTCTTGGAGAATCCCATGGACAGAGGAGCCTGGAGGGCTACGGTCCAAAGGATCACAAAGAGTCGGACTTGACTGAGTGACTAAGCAAGAACACACACACACACACACACAGGTTTAACTTAGACCAAGTAAGCAAAGGAATGGGCAGGAGGAGTGGGAACCTGGCCTGGGGCGACCGCAGGCACACTTGTTCGGTAGAGACCTCAGCTAGCTGCCCCGTCAGCTGAGCAGGGAAGACAGAGACCTTTCTGAGTTGTGAGGCAGGGCTGGAGCCGTGCCTGCTGTTCCCTCAGCCCCTTCCCGGTGTGGGAAGGAGCAGGCCTTTCCCATTCAAGGCAGAATCAGAGGATTCCTGGGAAGAGTGGAAGGACCCCCTTATAGTCACAGTATCTGCTCCGTTTATCAGGCGCCTGTTAGGGACCAGGCTGTGTGCCAAACACTTTCCATACCATCCCCAGAGTTCTCTAGCAGTCCTATGACAGTACGTACTACTATCCCCATTTTCCAAACGAGGAAACCAAGACTCTGAGAAGTACTTAGACCATGATCTTCCAGGCAGTGCTGTCACTGTCAGAGCCCAGGCTGATGCTCAGGCCTGCTGGATTCCCATGACCTGCCCCGAAGACACTAAAAAACCCTTGACCTTCTGAGTCCTTGCGGTTTCTTTAACAGAGTGCAGCCAGCCTGCAGGGCCCTGTCCTAGGTGCTGGGCACACAAAGATACTTACAAACCATGGGCCTTGCCTTTAAGAAGCTCTGTCCAGGGTGAAGCCGGGCATCTCAACACCTAAGCCTGAGAAGTCTAGCCCAGCAGAGCATCCATGACTGTCTGGTTCCCAGTTGCATCTCCAGCACCCAGCAGAAGGTCATGAGAGCAGGGAGGGAGGGAGAAAAACTCCCATAGTCGACAGCAGGGAGTTGTAGGCTGTGTGAGGACAGGCCAGCTTGCTCTCCAGCTCAGGGGACTCGGATCCCACCCAGGCAGTGTGGTTGCTGTAGGTGACAATACCGCCCCCTTCCCCACGCCAGCCAAGAGGCGCCAGCTGTGCCCACAGCTGGCGAGACTGCTGCTCCACCAGCCCCGCCAGGTGGAAGCCCTGGGCCTCGGGGGCAGGCTTCCCTGGACCAGCCTCCGCTCCATCCGTGGGACAGGGTGCCAGGATGTTCTGGAACAGTGCTCCCTGTGGGGAGGGGGGACTGTTCTGGGGTGGAGGCAGGGAATGGGGCACTTGCTGTATGGCCCTTATTCATTAGGATTTTTTTTTTTTTTTGCTTCTTATTTGAAGTTTATGACCTGCCTGCCTTTCAGAACCCAACAACTCATAAATTTAAAGTAGCTATGAAATTTCTGTTTCTCTGGGCCGGTAGGACCAGGGCTTTTTAACAGAGTGGTTTTTATTCCCTTTCCTCAGTGTCCTCTAAATGTCTGACTGCTCCCTTGTGGGGAGCTCAGGCCTCTGTCTTAACCCCGTGGCCTTTTAAAATAAATTAGAATAGGATGGGAGGGAAGTACCTTTTATAGAGTGCCTACATGTGCCATGCATTATCACCAATACTCAGAACAACCCCAGGAGGAAGGGTAAATCCTTTCTCGTAAGTTCTCTCACTCTGCACATGAGGTTTAGAGGCTCTGCACTTTGCCCCAGGTCCACAAGCCTAAAGACTGAATGGTGATGACAGATAAAGTGTCAGTTACAGGGCTTGGCCCATCATAAGTGACAGCTGTTGTCATTAATATTGCTATCACCTTGAAAGTAGGTGAGAGTGTTGGTTGCTCAGTCGTGTCTGACTCTTTGCGGCCCCATGGACTGTAGCCCACCAGTCTCCTCTGTCCATGGAATTCTCCAGGCGAGAATACTGGAGTGGGTTGCCATTCCCTTCTCCAGGGGATCGTCTTGACCCAGGGATCAAACCCATGTCTCCTGCATTGCAGGCTGATTCTTTACAGTCTGAGTCACTAGGGGACCCCCTATCACCTTGAACATGATCTAATTAATTTTTAAAGTAGGTTGTTGCAAAAGACAAACACTTGGTCATTTTCTCTGACTTATTAGCTATGATCTCATACCTTGAACCTCATCCCTCTGATCTCATACTTCAACCCTAAAGGGCCTCTGAACCCAGGGAACCAGGCCCTCCCACCATATGGGGATGGGGTTGGAGTACCAGGGAGACCTGTGACCTGATCATGGCTACATGCGTTGGGGTGACAGGTGCATGGGCTTCGGGGCCACACAGACCAGCGTTGCATTCTAGGCTGCAGTTGCAGGACACACATAGTCCTGGTCTGACCTGACACTTTAAGACTGTTTCTGAGCCCTGCAGAAAAGACCCTTTGGAATCCAGTGCATTTTCTTCCCTCTAGTTGCTGGGCCAGCTTCACTGCCCTAGTGAACAACTTCCGATCTGCTTCTGATCAGGTTCAAGGTCTCATTTTTTTCTGGATATGGTTTGGGGACAGGGAGCAGATCTTATGGGACCAATCCACTCATCCATGAGTTTTCACTGTTTCTCCCAGAAACTCTTGGCTGCAAACCTGGGATCTTCCAAAACAACTTTTGCGACCCTTGTACCACACTAGACCTCCATCTGCTGGAATTTTCCTGAAGAGAGTGGGGTCTGGACTGAGAATTGTCTGACTCCCTCCTCTAACTAAGCCCTTCATCCTTGCTAAGCGTGAACGAGTTGCCTGCTCAGGGCAGTGAGCGAAGCGTACAGCCACCTTGGAGCACATGGGCCAGTTATCACCCAGTGAAGTTAAAAAGAGCAACAGGAACTAAAGTGTGTGTGTGCCCTTTCAGAAATGAGAGGAAGCCTTTCACAAGACAGTAAAAGGGCCTCCACTTCCCAGATTCCAATCAAGTCTTTTGGCAGAGACTGGCAGGGTGTTTCTCTTCCAGCCAGCAGGTTTGTTTCTCTCTGAAACAACCCTAGAACCCCGAAAGATGGGGACAGATTTCTCACAAGCACCACTCTTCCCAGCACCACTTAAGGACCTGCTCCCCCGCTGCCGACTCCCCCATCCCACCCCCTCCCCAAACGTGGCCGCCTCCCAGCTTCTGGCGAGGAAAGAATGTGTGGTGCTCCCAGGGTTGCTGGCAGCAGCCCCACCGCTTGGCTCCGAAATCAGAACCATCTGGTGGAGTGAAGGAAGTCAGGACGGTGCCCACAGAGACAGCTCTCTTCTTGGTGGCAGCCCCACGCCAGCTGGATCACCGGGCATGGGGCAGGAGACACGGGCAGACGGCTCCAGTGCAATAGAGACTTGGGCCAGTTGCCTTTGAAACTCAGCGCATCCCTGAATTCACGTTGCTTCCTTCTTTCTCTTGCTTTTGTCCATGTTTCTTCTAGGGACTTCTGGGATTCATTGGTCTGGTCGGGGAGCCAGGAATCATGGGAGAAAAGGTAAGTCACGTTGGCGGGAATATTTAAGCAAATAGAGCTTGTGTTTTGAAATGTTAAAAAGCTGAAGGGGCCAGCTGCCCTGCGGATTTCAGACCTCTCTCCCTGGCCTTTCATCCTTTCCCTGGCCTTCCAGACCCTCAGAGAACCATTGTCACCTGTCCCAGCATTTCCTGGGGCTTCTACCCTGCCCTCTGCCCAGCACCCCCAAGTGCAGCCAGATGTCTGTGAGAGTCATCCCCGTGGTCTGGGCTGCTCACGGCTGCAAGCTGACACTGCGTGGGGCAGGCAACAGGGGGAGGCAGAGATTTACCTTTTAAAAAAGCATCCCAATTCTTTAAGTTGCCTTATGAATGCCAGCAGGTGTGTTTTACAGACCAGACAACCAAGGCTCCAGTGGGGGAGGTGACTTGCTCAAGGTCACCTGGATGGAAAGTGGCAGAGCTGGGATTCGAACCACATTAAGTGCCCATGGCCACACTTTGCTGGGCATCTTGGCTTCTGATGACTGGAATCCCCCTTCCCCCATCGCCACTCCGGGTGATGTGGCCGTAGATCTTGGACAAGTCTTTGTCCCTCTCTAGTCCCCGGAGGGCATAGCTGCACCTGTCCCCACAGAGCCGCCCCACTGCCGTGACCTCCCTGAATTGCTGTCTCCATCACAGGGTGACCGGGGCATGATGGGACCCCCAGGCGCGCCCGGACCCAAGGGGTCGATGGTAAGGAGCAGTCTGCATCCCCTTGCCCTCTTCTGTCCCAGCCACGGTGACAACTCTGCTGTCATCTGCCTGCCTTTGGGTACCCCAGGCCTTCAGAATGACCAGCCCTTCCTCCTGGGGGCCTGGCTGCTGCCTGCATAGACCTGGGCTGGAGCTGAGCCGGCCGAGGCAGGACTGCAAATGGAAGAGAAACCTTCCAGAACTGATTCCTCCTTGTTCATCTGTTTCTTGGCAGGGCCATCCTGGAACCCCAGGTGTGGTGGGAAGCCCTGGAGAGCCTGGACCTCTGGTAAGCAAAGCCTTCGCATTCGCTGAGCTCAGACTTCACTGTTGAGTCACGGTGGAGTCTAGGTCTCAACGCCAGGCAGACCTGGGTCAGATCCCAGCTTCCCGCTATATTGCCAGAGCAGATCGTTGAACTTTTGTGTGCCTGAACTGTGCTTATCTGAAAAGATAGATAAAATAATCTTGGTTGTGATAGTGCGAGCAAGTAGGTGAAATGAAACCAGGCGGCTAATGTTCATTACGTGGGGATAGTCATTGCAAGGGAGTATCATGGCCATTAGCATTGCTGTTGCTCTCTTCATTCACTCGGGAAATACCGTGTCACATGTCCATTCCAGGAAGTGCCGTCAACAGGGCAGAAAGCTGTCGCTGCCCTTGAGGAGCTCATCTTCTGGCATGGGGGACGAGACGGCGGTAGATAAGTGACCACTGCTTTGGAGAAGGCAGGGGAAGAGATGGGAAATGCTGGGGCAAATGGGCGGAGGGCCCAAGGGTGCAGGGGTTCTGGGCTTCTCATGATGACTGAAGTGTCAGGGATGTTCTTGAGGCTCCCGAGGCAGCGAGGGGCGGGAGAGGCAGTGCTGGCTGCTGAGGAGGAATACCGCGCACTAGCCCAGGTGCAGGAAACCTGGATACATAAGCATCATCTAGAGATGGAGGTTCCAGCCTGCAGGTGGCCCCCTCAGTCCTCTATAACTTTTTTGTTTTTTAATTTGGCCCTGCCAAGTCTTAGTTGTAGGCTGTGGGATCTTTAGTTGCAGCATGCACACTCTTGGTTGCAGCATGTGGGATCTAGTTTCCTGACCAGGGATTGAACCCGGGCTCCCTGCACTGGCAGCCACCAGACCACCAGGAAAGTCCCCCACAATCCTTTTGATGAGGGGGAAAGCTCACGGTGCAGAGCTAGGATCAAAAGCCAGTGCTCTGGGCTCTTGATGGCATGGTTTCCCCCTGTTTGTGAGAAGGAGGGAAAAAGTTACATCTGGCCTGGGCCTGGAGAGACTGGTCAGCAGACTGAGGCATTCACCTGAGGGTCCTAGCCCATCCAGCCTGAAAGCTGCTGAACCACCTTCCTTCCCAGTGCTCAGAGGGCCTGAGGACCAGGCCCAGCAGATGCTCCTGGAGAGGGTGTGCTTGGAGTTCGGGAGTGTGGGAGGTGCTCAGGGCAGGGCCAAAGTCAGAGAGCAAGGATGCTGGGGCTGTATCATCAAGTCCCAGCTGTGTTGCTGGGCCTGGACCTCCCTGAGCCTCAGTCTGCCCATCTGTCCAATGGGAGGAGGAAAGTCTGAAAAGAATTGATGGGACAAAAAGGAAGGCCAGGAGGAGATGAGAAAACAGCAGGGCCTTCAGGCCAGTACATAGAAGGAAGCAGCAGGCCTCCAGGGCTCTCTGACCCCGCCCCATCCCATTTCCTCAGTGCTTCCATCTGTTCAGTGGGTTGCCTCTGACTTAGCAAGGTCAGACAGTGAGTTGCTGCCTTCACATCCCAAGGTTGCCACTGGCCTTCCAGTGGGGATGGACACTTGGGTCTCTTTGGACAGCCAGCTGCCCCCAGTGCCCCTGGGGAAGCAGGATGGCATGGAGGTCCAGAAAGCTTTAGAATCAGACACTTTGAGTCAAATCCTGGCTCCCTCTTTGTTAGCTGTGTGATTGTTGGCAACATTTATAGCATCTCTGAGCCTCAGTTTCCCCATCTGTGAGTCGGCATAATACCACCTTCATGATGAGACTGTTGTGAGACATAAATACCATGCATGATGTAATGTTTAGCAAACTACCTGCATATAGCAAGTGCTTAATGAATGGGAACAATAATAATTACTATCCCTATTTGTTAGATATGATAATTTCTACTATTATTAGTAAGGCTATTACTATGAAACTGACATTTCTGATAACACTGTTCATATCTGATTGACATTTTTCACTTTTCCAATCTCTGTAACATCCATGTTCTCCTACAGTCCACTGAAGTCAGCCAGGGTTACTGTCTTCATTATTTGGAGGGGGAGCAGTCAGGCCCTGGGTCCCTCCGTTTCTGACCTTTTCCCCCTTTGAGAGAGCTGACAGCGACCCTTTACTGAGGACCTCCAAGTCATTTCATCTTCCTAGCAACTCTAGGAGGCAAAGACTCTCCTTATCCCCATTTTATAGATGATGAAACTGAGGCCCAGAGAGGGTAAGCCACTTGCGAAAGGCCACACAATTAGTAAGTGGCAGAGTCAGGATTTGAACCTAGTTCTCTGGTAGATCAGTCTGCTCTTTTAAGCACCCTACGACCTCTGAGTTAAGACTTGGCTCCTGCAGTTTCCCAGTGATGCAATTGCATGCCTTTTGCAGTCTGCGATCCCTCTATAAAATGGTCTGTGGTTCTCACCCAGTCTTCATGTTCTTCATCATCCAGAAGTCCAGTCTCTCTTTTTATGGGGCCAAGCCTGGGTCCACACCCTGCTTGCTGTGCTGACAAGGGGTCAGGTTGGAATCCAGCCCCTCACCTTGGCTCTTGAGCAGTTGGAGGGTCTGCACCCCTTGAGGCCTGGGAAAGAGAGAGCAGAAAGAAGAGTTTTTCCTGAGGCCCCAAACTGAGCTGGGCCTCTCCCTGGTATTCAGAGGGGGGATGAGGCCACCTCTTCTTGGAAAGGGAGCACGCCCAGCCTGAGAATTGCCGCTTGAGCTGGGAGGCTCTTTCAGCTGTTGGAGGGGTCCTCGGCCTGCATGGGGTGAAGAGGCAGCCTGACAGCCTGACATGTGCAGCTGGGCCTGGAACCTCGGAGGGGCTGGGGGCGGGGAGGAACCAGGCAGCGAGGCGGCCTGCTTCCTCTCTTCACCTTCCATCCCTCCCTTCCTGTCCTGTCCTCTCCCATCCTTCCCAAAATCCTTGTCATCGGCCTGCTCTGGGCCAGGTGCTGGGAATTCCAGGAACAAGGCCAGCTATGTGTTTTCTTTTCCTCCCTCCCTGTCTCTTCTTGTCATCCCTTCATCAAGCCGCGATAACCCGGGCCTCCTCCCTGGGCCAGACCCTGCTCCCTCCTTTATGCCTCCCCAACCCCCTCTTCTCTGCTCAGCCTCTCCCCTCCCCACCCCATGCCTGCATCCCGTTCACCCGCCCTCACCGCAGGGCCCTGGTCTGGCTCTGCCCCCTCTTGCCCCTTGCCCTCTGGCTCTTTCTGTCCTCTTCAGAGCCTTCTGGATGCTTTCAGGTAGTATTCGAGGTCAGGGTCGGAAACAGGACGTGGGGCCCCCCATATTCTTCTGACTGATGGAGAGAGAAAGAGTGAAGTGGGCGTTGGAGGAGGCTTTGGTCAGGAATGTCTTCCTAGCTTCTGGTTGTTGATTTTGAGATAAAGAAGGAAGTGGCTCATCCATCCAGGATGCCTTCTCCGGCTACCGGATTCCCAGGCACTGACTCCTGCTCAAGGTGGCAGCTCCTTGGCTGATTCTCTGGGGGTGGAGGCGGGGAAGGTGGGCGCGACAGACCTTCCTTCCCACCGGGCTAAGTGCGCAGTGTTTCTTTCTGGAATTGCTGGGCTCAGGAGGGGCCGCTCCCGAGCAGCGCCTGTCTGAGGTTGCAAGCCCAGCCTTCCGTGTTGCCCCTCAGTGTTACTCACTCAGTTGTGTCCGACTCTTTGTGACCCCGTGGACTGTAGCCCACCCAGGCTCCTCTGTCCATGGGATTCTCCAGGCAAGAACGCTAGAGTAGGTTGCCATTCCCTTCTCCAGGGGAATCTTCCCGACCCAGGGATTGAACCCAAGTCTCCTGCATTGCAGGCAGATTCTTCGGTATTGCACTTGCTTCTGAAAAGGGGGCTTCTCCAGACTCTTTCTCTTCCCACAGGGTCCTCCAGGATCTCGAGGCCCACCGGGCATGCGGGGAGCAAAGGGACGCCGGGTAAGTGGGGCCCAGCCCCCTGGGGCAGATGCTGGCAGGGGCCACCTGCTTGGAGAGACCCCTCCTGATCCTTCCCCCGCCACCCCAGACCTGAGATCTGTGACTTGCAGAGCACCAGCCAGGGTTCCGGGCTCCTGCTGGCTGTGGGAACCCCACTCATCTTTCGCAGCCCACTTCTGAGCACCAGGCCTTGCCAGCCAGTGGGCACAGAGGGGCTCTGTGGCCAGTGCTTTGCCTGTTCTTGTGTTTGTTCATGCATTCGTTTGCCTGCAACTAGGCACCTCCTAGGGGCCAGCCATTGTTAGCGGTTCTGAAGATATCCAGAGAATAGCACCCGCAGGACACCTGCTTGGCTTTGTGGCTCCCTCCAGGCCAAACAGACAGTACAGGGTCGTTACCACATTGATGGCAGCCTGGGAGCCCGGAGGAGGCATCTCACCTGGCCAGGGTACCAGGGAACCCTTCAAGCAGAGGCAGATGCTTGAACGGATGCCAGGTTCCAGACAGAGAGGAAGCCCTAGGGTGAGCTGGAGGGGCGTGTTTAGGAATCCCCGTTCAACAGAGGAGCCAGGGAGAGAAGTGAAACCAAGAATCAGTAGGTATCAAACCAAGTGGGCCTCAAACACCGCAGCTAGACCTATGGGCAGTGCTTCAAGGGTAGTGGGGAGCCACAGAATGTTTTACACAGGGCTGGCCTGAGCATGGGAGCCAGAGGTGATCACTAATACTTACTCTGTGCCGAACACTATCGATCACATGCCTTGACTCAGCTAATCATCAACACTACCCTATAAGTAAGAATAGGTGCTATTCTTAAGTATCATCGTACAGAAAAGGAAAGTAAGGCACAGAGAGGATGAGTCACTTGCCTTAGGTTGCACAGCTAAAAAGTGGCAGAACTGTGTTTTGAACCCAGGGAATCTGAGTCTTCTGGAGGCAGGGAGGGCTGATAGAGCGGTTTCCTGCCCCCAGTGGACATTCAGGTGCCAGGACAGCAGCTTTGTGAAAAGGAAACAGGATGGCACGGGTGGAGCAGGCAGCCCAGGCCTGCGTTCAGGCTCATATAGGGGATCTGAGACAGTTCTTCTCTCCTTGGCTGAATTTCAAGTAGTTGAACAATTTCCCCTGAACCAGATGGTCTGAGCAGTCGGCCCGCGAGAGGTGAGATTTAGAGGCATTCCTCGGACCCGGCGGGGCCTCTCCCTCTCCCATATCCTGGTCTCTGCCAGTGGCTGAGGCCTGTTGGCAGCCAGGTTCCACCTTGGCCCTCTGCACATCCTCTCCTGCCCCAGGATGCCAGGTTAGCAGGAGGGGGAGCTGCCCTGCCCCCCACAACCTGCCAGATGCATAGGCTAAGGCCCCCATCAGCTCACTGAGCTCCCCGCAGCCGTCTGACCGTCTTTCCCAGTGGTGGCTTGAAGAAGGTATCTCCTCCTTGAGAAAATCCACGTTCCCGAACAGAGAATCTCCAGGGCTGGAAGGGGAACTTCAGGAACATGAGCCCCTCCCCCGGCTGGGTTTGGTGGAAATGCAAAACCTGTGGGACCCCGTGCCCTGGGTCCCCTACCTGACAGGCCACGTTTGGCCACTTTGTAGATAACGTGGTTCCTGAGGGCGGGCGGGGACTGGAGAGGTGCCCGCTGAGCCAGTTAAAGAGCTCAAGTCTGGACCAGCTCCCTGTGTAGTTCCTGGCTTGCCCTGTGACCCTGGCAAGCCCTTTCTGTCCTCTGGGCCTCAGTTTCCCCAAATATACTCTGGGAAATGAGCTTGGGCGTCTGCAAGGCCCTGCCTGCTTCTCTGCCCGTGTGTAGGATGGGCCCCGCTACCCACCCCCTGTCTCCCCCACCCTCTGACTCTCCTACCCCCCTGCCTGGGGAAGAATGAGCACTAAGAGGATTGTAGATAACGTGGTTCCTGAGGGCGGGCGGGGACTGGAGAGGTGCCCGCTGAGCCAGTTAAAGAGCTCAAGTCTGGACCAGCTCCCTGTGTAGCTCCTGGCTTGCCCTGTGACCCTGGCAAGCCCTTTCTGTCCTCTGGGCCTCAGTTTCCCCAAATACACTCTGGGAAATGAGCTTGGACGTCTGCAAGGCCCTGCCTGCTTCTCTACCCGTGTGTAGGATGGGCCCCGCTACCCACCCCCTGTCTCCCCCACCCTCTGACTCTCCTACCCCCCTGCCTGGGGAAGAATGAGCACTAAGAGGTCAAGTCCAGGGCCAGGATGGGGCCTCAGACCCTCAGATCTTGGTAGAGCTGCTGATCAGGGTCTGGGTCCATGGGCCACAAAGAGTGGGGGCTCTGGGGTCACATAGGGGCACATCTCAGGCTTTCCAGTGACCAGCTCTGAGATCTCACGCCAGCTTCTTTCCCCCCTTGCTGCCCCCCCACCCCCATTTATTTGGCTGCGCTGGGTTTTAGTGTGGCATTCTTTGCCAGATGCAGGTCTTTTTTTTTTGAGGCATGCAGGATCTTTAGCTGTGGCTTGTAGGATCTAGTTCCCCAACCAGGGATCAAACCTGGGCCCCCTGCGTTGGGACCTCGGGGTCTTAGCCACTGGACCACCAGGGAAGTCCCTCACACCAGTTTGTCTATAAGGCTCAGTGGTTGACATTAGGTGGAAGTTGTAAGGAGCCAGAATTTGAACTCAGGTCAGCCAAATGCCCAATTTTTTCCCACTACTAACCGGTCACTGTTCATCAGTGTGAGGATGAACTTCCTGTCTCAGGGAGTATGCAGCGAGAGCCTGGGGCAGGATACTGCAGGAGACAATGTCCAAACGTCCTGCACCAAGCTCTGCTTGAGTGAGTGGGGCTGAGAGCTCAGCAGATCTGGCCTCGAATCCCAGCTCCTCCTCGCCTCTGACCGTGGACAACTGACTTACTCTCCCTGAAGCCCCAGTTTTTTCTCTATAAAAAGGGGTCAGCAGCAGAACCGACCTCTTTGGATGGCCGTGGGGATAGACTTACTTTGCCAGCACCTCCCATGGTAAGCACCTGGAAGGGCAGCGGTGCGTAGCGAGTGCTGGGAGCGAGTGCTGGGCACATGTTCACTCCCTTTTCATCCCTTATTCACAAGAACTGTGATTGGCTGGATTTTCTGTCCCCTGGGGCTCCTTCCCGCCAAGCTAGAAACCCAGTCTGGCTGAGAGGCAGCCCCAGCTGTGACTGCGAACCTCTTCCTGGGAAGTGGCTACACGGGAACCAATTTGTGGCTCTGAAACCCGGACCTGCCTCCTGTGTTTAGTGTTCCCCTGGGGAAGGAAGGGGCAGGTTTGGGGCAGCCGCAGGACATAGGACGAGCTGCAGAGAGGCCCAGAGCAGGGTTAGGCTCGCCTCTCTCTGCACAGGGGAACTGGGGAGGGGGGTGGCTGGGGCCCCTCTGCTTTCTCCTCTCCCCAGACAAGAAAGGTTGGTCCTGTTTCCCCCAGCCAACCCCAGGTGCTCCCAGAGGACAGCAGTGCCCCCCAGGTAAGAGGGATTTTAGATATTATCTCCTGGGACACTGTGCCCTGGCCCTGACTCGCATACCCCCTGTGATGGGGAACTTACTCCCTCACTGATAAGTAGAGACCGGTAATGGTGGGAAAAAATGGGCATCTAGCTGACTTAAGAGTCACATGCTGATTCCTCCATCTACTATCAGGGCCACCACAGGCTATTTGCTTATATGTCAAATGAGAAAAATAGCTTTCACTATGATTGCTGCTGCTGCTGTTGATGCTATTATTGTTATAGATCTCACGACTTTTCTCACAGAGAGACTTTGATTCCCAGAGTAAAGAGGGTGCTGTGTGATTCAGGCCAAGCCATCAACACCTCTGGGCCTCCGCTCTGTTCCTAGAGCTGTCCCTTTCCAGGAAGATTTATGCTCAGGTAGAGACAGAGGCCGGGGCTCAGCAGCCATCTCTCAGGAGGACCCAGAGACCTGCCATCAGCTCAGCCTCTGACCCGACTCCCATGACCTGGGATGCCCCGCATCTCCATCTATCTCCATCTCTACCAGGCCCCTGTCTATGAATCAGGGGTATTAAGTCCAACAGGTGGTCTGACAATATCCACCTGAGACCGAGGCCCAGAGAAAGGAAGGGGCTTCCTGGGGTCACGCAGCAACCCAGCAGAAACCCCAGGACTTGCACCCACACCCTCTAATCAAACGTCATCTTGAACCCATGAACATTCTCAGTCTGATATAAGCTGCCTATACTAAGGAGGGACCTGAATCCAGATTCCCCAGGACAGCCAGTGCTCTGTGCCCCTGCACCTAGGGAGCCTGCAGCCTCCCTTTGGCAAAATCAGATCTTCTGAGAACTTAACTATATGCCAGGTGCTGAGCTGCCCGTGTGTATTACTTCCTGTGTTGAGGGAGCGATTTCTTATTCCCATTTCAGAGATGGTATAACTGAGGCTCAATCAGGAGCTGTCACTTTCCCCCAGACACAGCATTTCCTAAGCAGCACGGTGCCCACTGCCGGACCCCTAGTAGTTCTGGGCAGAGACCTGAGACCCCAGGAGCAAAGACTCCTAGCCCCGTGTTCTCCTGGCCCAGGTTGATTGCATCAGTGAGCACTATTTAAGGCTGCAATGTGGGGTTGAAACATGGGGAGCCCCAGGTGGCTGATAAGAGGAATCATAACTTTTTCTGGTTCCATTATTAATTGAAAATATCCTTGTCCAATATTTAAATGATTTCTCGGTTTTCTGTTTTCTCATCCCTCATATCCCCTCCCCTGAGATGCTTCCCTGGCCCCTTATGTGGCTGGTCCCCACACTCCCAAGCTAGGGTGGGTCAGCCTCCTGCACAGCCTCCTCCTCCTTGTCTTCCCAACACCCAGCACAGCCTTTCTGGCCCTCTATAGAACAAACACTACACTGTTCTCAATGGGGGACCCCAGGGCACCCTCATCTGTGTTCCTATGGGGCCCACAGGACCCTGCAGGGAATACCAGCTGCTTATATGCTGCTGCTGCTAAGTCGCTTCAGTCGTGTCCGACTCTGTGTGACCCCATAGACGGCAGCCCACCAGGCTCCCCCGTCCCTGGGATTCTCCAGGCAAGAACACTGGAGTGGGTTGCCATTTCCTTCTCCAGTGCATGAAAGTGGAAAGTGAAAGTGAAGTCTTTCAGTCGTGTCCGACTCTTCGCGACCCCATGGACTGCAGCCCACTAGGCTCCTCCGTCCATGGGGTTTTCCAGGCGAGAGTCCTGGAGTGGGGTGCCATTGCCTTCTCCAGGGACCATAAACAAATTTCCTCCCTTGCAGGGCCTCAGTGTTCCCATCTGTGCAGTGAGGGGGAAGGAGAGAGTCTGCCTGCCCCAGGGGCCTCCCAGTTCTCAAAGGGCCAGACATCTGGTCTCAAGGGTCAGACTTGAGCCCAAGTCTCCCGCCACAGCTGCCCTGTGCCTGCCCCTCCTCATGTGAGCTGGACCAGAGTAGCTGCTCATCTGGCTGGAGAGGGGGCAGCTCCACACATCAGACCATGTGGAGACCCTCCCCAGGGCGTCCTCTGTCAGGTTCCCCCAAGGACTGTGGTCCACAAGCTGCTTCAAGCCCACATGTGCTCTGCGAAGAGCAGGTGATGGAGTCTGAAGACCTGGCTGCCGGGACGTGGCCACATGTCTCTTGGCTCTGCCCTCAGTTTCTGAATCTGTGAAATGGGTTGGCTGGCTGACCTCCACCCTCCTCCCCCTCCAAGGTTTCTTTAAACAGGTTTTAAATATACCACCACCAGGCTCACTCCAGAACAGTAGGGCCTCTGACTGCGTCCACCTTTGCCAAGCCCTCCGCAGAGCCGTGTTAGCAGGCACATTGCCGTGGCTGACCCACCTGAGGGTGGGGAGTGTGTGGGAGGCAGGGAGGTGGAGCTTGTGCAGGGCAAAACTCAAGGCTCTGGGCAGCCCCGCCCCCCTGGTTCCCAGCCCAAGGGAGACCCCTGCTGTCCACTGTGCTAGTCCCTTTTTCTTATTCCAGGGACCCCGAGGACCGGACGGACCAGCTGGGGAGCAGGGGTCCAAGGGCCTGAAGGTACTGACCCCCGTGGCCGACCCTTCCTCTCGTCTCCTGACCCAGGGTGCTGGGTCAGGAATCCAGGCTCGCAGCCTCCTCTGTAACAGGCCCCTTGGGGACAGCAGGGCGTCCCCGAGAGGCTGCAGGACATGCTCCTGAGAGCTCATCTGGCCACCCTCCCTGGGGCTGGCATGCCCCCTGCGTGGGGGCAGAGAAGGGAGAATGAGCCATCAGACTCAGAGCGACAGAGGAGGCAAGGATGAGAGAGAGCGAGGCGGAATCGGGCCTGGCCCCTGACTCCCCAAGCCCTTCCAGGGTCCCTGATTTCTGAGACAGCTTCCAGCCCCATAGGGATGCAGGGGTCCTTTGTTTTCGGCGCAGAGCTCCTGGCCACTGGCCAGCCTCCCCCAAGTTTGCACCCCTGCACACCGGGGAGGGGCGTGTATGCGGTGACCCCCTGGGGCTCCTTCTATCTCCCATGGAAGCAAGGGTCCCTTCTCGGGGAAGGGTCCTCCGCAGCACCCACTCCCCCGTTCATGCTTGGCTTCCTGCAGGGCCCGCCAGGACCACAGGGCAGACTGGGCCAGCCCGGGCAGCAGGTATGTGAGGCCAGAGCTGCCAGCCCCTCTCCCCGCTCCCTGTTCCGTGATATGCGCTTCTAACAGCCCGCGTGTGTTTCCAGGGCGTGGCTGGCGAGCGGGGCCACTTGGGCACACGAGGCTTTCCTGTAAGTAGCACCGCCGGCTCGTGCACGTCTCTCTGTGGGACTGGGCAGGGAGGGAACTGCCCCGTTGGCCACCTTTGTCATCCTCCTCTGGAAATCCCGGAAGTTCTAGCTGCCCACTCCTGCCCTGAAGACCCTCCAGCCTGTCTGTTCCCCTCTGGGACTCGGGCTCCCGTCTGTCACATGGCAGGACCCTCATTCGATACGACAGCTTGACTGAGACCCAGGGGCCAGGCAGGGCGCAGGAGGCCAGGGAGGGACTGAGCTCAGCTTGCTTTGTCCCTGCAGGGCCTCCCGGGTCCCTCCGGTCCCCCAGGCGCCAAGGGCCTCCCAGGAGAACCGGTAAGTGCCCGTTCCCTCGCTCTTTGCATCTTTGGCCCTGGCCAGCTGGTCTCAGCGGCGTCCTCACCTGCCGGGTGGGGGCAGGGGTGTTCTGTGATGAGACCAGGAGAGAGGTTAGAGAGGGGCAGTGCGGGATTCTACCACCCCCAAGGATAGGCCTCGGGTCAGGGAGAGAACACTGGCTGGGGAGGTTCGGGGCTCTAGATTGGGTCTAGCTCCCTTGCCTTCCAGCCTCGGTTTTCTTGCCAGTAAGATGGGAATAATGGTTCCTGTCTTGCCGTCCTATGGTGAGGATGAAATAAGGAAGTGTGTAGAGACTGCTCAGCACAGTGCAAAGTGGAGGGAACAGAGTCCTTCAGGTCTGTGAAGGAGGGAAAGGGATGCAGATAAACTGACGCGCTCTCGGGGCCCTGCGGAGTCCAGCATGGCTGGTGCGGTCAGAGCCGAACCTCAAGAAAGGCAGGACGAGGTCACAGGGGCCAGTCACCCAGAGCCACGGATGCAGTTAGTTCTTTGTCCCAGAGGCAACAGGAAGCTGTTGAGGGGATGGAAACAGAGGGGACCTTTCAGGAGATCTCCCTGGAAGGGTGGGTTCTGGGGGAAGGTATACCCTGTGTTGGGGAGCCCCATGAAGAGGCTGTGGCTGTACTGATGGTGATGCAGAGAGCACCGTCTTGGAGCTTGGGAGGAGGGATCTAGGGGACAGGGGGAGGACTGGAGGCTGAGGAGCCCACATCTAGAAGCTCGGGCAGATGCCCTTTGGAACAACGGGTGGGCGAAACGGTGTTCCAGGCCGAGGGCACAGAGTGAGCAAGGCTCAGGAGCCAGCCGGGGGTTCTGAGCAGGGGAGGCTGCGCTGAGTCTTCGGAGATGCCTAGCAGAGGGTGCCGGTGGACGGGCGGGGGGTGACGCTGGATGCAGGTGAGGAGGGAGCTCAGGACCAGGGTCGTCAGTGAGGCAGCAGTGGGGGTGAGACCCGCAGAGTCCCGGGTTCCATGGTCCTCTCCCTCACCCGTCCCTCCAGACTTCACTACCAAATCTCGGACCCCAAAGAGGGCCCAGGCTGGCTTCTCCCGACTGTCTGTGTGTCTGTCTATCTTCCAGGGCCCTCAGGGACCCCAGGGGCCAATTGGCCCTCCAGGAGAGATGGGACCCAAGGTGAGTGCCGAAGGCCCATGTTCGCCCGTGGTCTTGCTGGGGAGGAATCAGCCCTTCCCGGCCCTTCTCCTCGGGGCTGCCTGTCCTGTCCTATAGGCACTGGTGGGGAGACGTCTTGGCAGAGAGGGTAGATCCACTATGATGCCAGAGGGGGTGGAGGTGGGCTCCCCAGCTCAGGGGCAGCGGGTGGGATGCAGGCATGCCAGGACCCTCATGGGGGGTTGGCAGTGCCTCTTTTTCGGCACCCTGGAGAGCAACAATACCCCCACCCTGACCCTACTGGGACTTCACCCTGACGTGGAGGTTTGACTACGGACGCAGTCCTCCTAAGGTCTTGCAGCAAGGAGCTTGGAAGGGGTCTCAGGCACCCCTGCCTTCTCCAGGGGAGAAAACTGAGCCCTTGGGTTTATGCAGGGGCTGTAGCCATGCTAATGATGATAACTTGGGGATCTCTCCCACCCTTGTCTTCCTGGCCCGGCTGCAGAGAGAAGGAAAGGCTGGAATCCCTCAGCCCTGAATGCAGCATCTGTTGGCTCCCTCCCCTGTTGTTATGTGAATCATGAAATTTTCCTCTCCACGCTTGCCAAGGGCTCCTACTGTGGTCAACCACACTAGTAGGGGGGGCGAGGGCTCCGGCAGCCTCTGGGTAGCCCCAAGGCTCCGCAGTGTGGGCCCAACCACCCCACCCCTTGCCTGCTCCCAGTTCTAAGCTCCCAAAGGCTGCAGCCTGCTCCCAGCTCTGGGTATCTCAGGGTGTGCGACCTTGGGCTCATCCCTTGCCTTCTCTGAGCCTGCCTCAGTTATCTCTTCGCTTGGCAACCAGGGACCAGCCCTTACTTGAGAATAGACCGATGCCATTTTCTTTTTTTGCAGGGACCACCAGGTGCAGTGGGAGAACCAGGCCTTCCTGGGGAAGCTGGCATGAAGGTAAGGGGGGATGAAAGAAGAGAAAAATAACTTGCTGAAACCAACTCCCAGCTGGCGGCCACGTCCTCTCCATGGAAGAGAAATGAGCCTTTCTTGTGCCCGGGATAATGGGTTCTCTGTGCTCCTGGCTGGGGAGTAGGGCCTGGCCATGGCCACAGCAGATGGCCCAGCCGGCCTGGAGCCCCCGTTGCTGCCCGCCCCCCCGGGTCTGGCAATGTTTTCTCTGGCACTTGCCCCATGCCGGGGCGGCCGGACCTCCTGGCCTCCCGTGATAGCATCTGCATTTCAACACCGGTGCCCCTCATTACCTGCGGGGAAACAGGAGCCCATTGATCCCTGGGCTCTCCGGAGACCCCGTCCCCGCCCTGCTGTTGGAAGAGGACCCACTCCCTGTGCAGGACTCGGAGGCCTGGAACCTTCAGTCTTGACTTAGTTTCAGAATCTTTTGCTTGAATAATGCAAGAAACTACCCCATGTATAAAACAGATAGAAATGGGACGGTTCTGGTTGGAGCGGGGCTGGGGAACTCAGAGCTCCGCCTCCTCCTTGTGCCCGCAGACACCAGCAGGGAGAGAGTGTAGCTTGGAAACCTCCAGATGAGAGAGACCCTTCTGAGATCTTTCGGAGGAGGTGGGGGATGTGTAGGGCTTCCCAGGTGACTCACTGGTGAAGACTCCGCCTGCCAGTAGACACAGGAGAAGCGGGTTTGATCCCTGGGTCAGGAAGATTCCCTGGAGGAGGAAATGGCAGCCCACTCCAGTATCCCTGCCTGGAGAATCCCACGGACAGAGGAGCCTGGCAGATTGTAAAGAGGCAGATAGGACTGAGTGACTAAGCCCACACGCATGCACAAGGGACATGCACTCTGGTTCATTTAGGGCCTCTTCCTCGTTTGGGTTTCTCTCCAGGGCTCTCGGGGTGGATAAAGAAGGTGATCAGCCTCAGAGCTGCCGTCTCTGCATCTGATTCTCCCTGGAGCCAAACCAACTGCTTGGGTTTGGATCCTAAAGCTGTCAGTAGCTTCATGAGCTCGGTCTGGTTACTTAACCAGTAGTCACTCAGTCTGCCACCCCTTGCCTGCTCCCAGTTCTAAGCTCCCAAAGGCTGCAGCCTGCTCCCAGCTCTGGGTATCTCAGGGTGTGCGACCTTGGGCTCATCCCTTGCCTTCTCTGAGCCTGCCTCAGTTATCTCTTCGCTTGGCAACCAGGGACCAGCCCTTACTTGAGAATAGACCGATGCCATTTTCTTTTTTTGCAGGGACCACCAGGTGCAGTGGGAGAACCAGGCCTTCCTGGGGAAGCTGGCATGAAGGTAAGGGGGGATGAAAGAAGAGAAAAATAACTTGCTGAAACCAACTCCCAGCTGGCGGCCACGTCCTCTCCATGGAAGAGAAATGAGCCTTTCTTGTGCCCGGGATAATGGGTTCTCTGTGCTCCTGGCTGGGGAGTAGGGCCTGGCCATGGCCACAGCAGATGGCCCAGCCGGCCTGGAGCCCCCGTTGCTGCCCGCCCCCCCGGGTCTGGCAATGTTTTCTCTGGCACTTGCCCCATGCCGGGGCGGCCGGACCTCCTGGCCTCCCGTGATAGCATCTGCATTTCAACACCGGTGCCCCTCATTACCTGCGGGGAAACAGGAGCCCATTGATCCCTGGGCTCTCCGGAGACCCCGTCCCCGCCCTGCTGTTGGAAGAGGACCCACTCCCTGTGCAGGACTCGGAGGCCTGGAACCTTCAGTCTTGACTTAGTTTCAGAATCTTTTGCTTGAATAATGCAAGAAACTACCCCATGTATAAAACAGATAGAAATGGGACGGTTCTGGTTGGAGCGGGGCTGGGGAACTCAGAGCTCCGCCTCCTCCTTGTGCCCGCAGACACCAGCAGGGAGAGAGTGTAGCTTGGAAACCTCCAGATGAGAGAGACCCTTCTGAGATCTTTCGGAGGAGGTGGGGGATGTGTAGGGCTTCCCAGGTGACTCACTGGTGAAGACTCCGCCTGCCAGTAGACACAGGAGAAGCGGGTTTGATCCCTGGGTCAGGAAGATTCCCTGGAGGAGGAAATGACAGCCCACTCCAGTATCCCTGCCTGGAGAATCCCACGGACAGAGGAGCCTGGCAGATTGTAAAGAGGCAGATAGGACTGAGTGACTAAGCCCACACGCATGCACAAGGGACATGCACTCTGGTTCATTTAGGGCCTCTTCCTCGTTTGGGTTTCTCTCCAGGGCTCTCGGGGTGGATAAAGAAGGTGATCAGCCTCAGAGCTGCCGTCTCTGCATCTGATTCTCCCTGGAGCCAAACCAACTGCTTGGGTTTGGATCCTAAAGCTGTCAGTAGCTTCATGAGCTCGGTCTGGTTACTTAACCAGTAGTCACTCAGTCTGCCCATTTGTAAAAGCAGACTTCTTCCCCGGCAGGGCTGTTCTGACAATTGGCTGTGTGAAATAAAAAAGCACCGAAGCAGGGCTACGTACGTGTGAGCTAAGCTGTGATGGTGGTGTGGTGGTGGTGGTCCTGAGCATGCCCAGGGTTTACTGGGAACAGGCGCTCTGGTTGGCATTTCACCATTTCTCTCTGGTCCTGGAGAAGAAAGAACTTCCTTGGTCCCACCCCTGCTTCCCCACATCAGAACCAATGAGAATAAGAAGGTGGGGTAAAGCTGGGGCTGGTCCTACCTTCCTACCCATGAACTTGTGTTTGGCTTCTAGGGTGACCTTGGGCCTCTTGGCATCCCTGGGGAGCAGGGCCTCATTGGGCAGCGGGTAAGTCAAAGCAAATTGATTCTCCCTGGAAAGTCCCCCTCCCCATCCCCCCTGGTATTTAGTTGGCGGAGTGGGGGGCCTTTACTCAGCTTCCATGAGCCTCAGTTTCCTCAACTGTACAAACAGACCACGAATTTCTACAGCCGCATCCAGCCTGCCTCTTGGCAGGCCAGCATTTCTGCAATTCAGAGGTGCTCTGCAGAGAAAAACATTCTGTGGTCAAAATATTTGAGACTGCATGCCCGGTGTTCCATCTTACACATTAGTGATAGCATTTTCAAGGCTCTGAGAAGGCCTGCAACCAAGAAATTGGGGGTTCTTTGGGGGGGATCCAGAATCTCCAAACTTATTTGACCTCCAAGTGTTTTTATTGATAAACACCTATTATCACCCTGTCCCATGGAAAGTTATGTGGAAGGTTATCTTTCCTTTTACCAAAAGAAACCCACAGAGCTTGGCTTCCTTTGAGAAGCTTTGGGACATCTCTGCACCCATCTGTCTATGCCCTGCGCTTGAATTATAAGGTCTCTGCCTAAATGTGGACTCTGGGGTGCTGTGAGGGATACAGAGCAAGCATCTTCTAGCGCCTTATGGATGGGGAAGGTGGGGCCCAGGAGTGAGGGAGAGTTAGTGTGGAGGGCTTGGTTAATGTGGGCACCGAGCACCCAATCCAGTTTCTCATTTGTCCCTTTCCCCATGCCTCCTGTTACTTGCTGCCTAAAGTTAAGAGGCTCCACGAGCCGAGCTAAGACATGAGAGGAGAAGGCCACAGGGCACTAGAGGATGAGTGTGGAGCTTGAAGCCTTCAGATGGCAGTCTTGTCTATCAATGAAATTTGAGCAGTGTAGTTTCTTGGAGTGCTATGTTAAGCAGGATCCTGAGGCTCCATCTGGGCTCACTAGGAAAGAGCATGACATTCACTCACTTGATGCCCACTGTGTGCCAGGCACTTCACAGCAATGAGTAACAGAAGGCCCTGTCCTCATGGAGCCTCATTCTAGTAGATGGATTAGTGATATCTGCTAGGGACACAGGAGGAATGGCTAGTAGGTGGATTAGTGATGCCTGCCATGGACGCATCAAGGATGGAATCTACACACCTGTCCCGTCTGTGCCATTCCTGCATTTGATGACTTCTGAGGCCCCTTCCAGCTCAGATGCTGAACAGTCACGAACAAGCAGAGGGAGACACAAACTTTGTCTGACAGCCCGTTAGAGACCTCAGGCATCCAGAGGCATCTCTGGAGCTAGAAAGGCAAGCAGGGAACCTGGCTGAAGGTCAGATGTAGATTCAGGGACTTCGTATCATTCCCAAACTTGCTGACAATAAAGTCTGAGAAATGACCTCATTTTCCTCATCTGAGAAATGGGATTCCACCAAGGTGTTTTATGAGGGCTCACTCCAAATTCCCAGAAGAATATATCTAACAGCTATCATCTTATACACCCAAACTTGCTGGCAATAAAGTCTGAGAAATGACCTCATTTTCCTCATCTGAGAAATGGGATTCCACCAAGGTGTTTTATGAGGGCTCACTCCAAATTCCCAGAAGAATATATCTAACAGCTATCATCTTATACTAGCTCTCAGAGGAACCCTTAAAGGAAGTATATCAGTCCATTTTCAGATGAGGAAACAGACACCCATGGGGGCTACGGAGGTTGCTTGTGGCCAGACCACCATGCATGGGAAGCCCAGTGGGGGCATCGAGGTCTGACATCAAAGCCTGTTCAACCAGTAGGCTTCACCTCCCCAGTCCAACCAGCCCCCCTGAACACAGGACCAGTCCTTTATATCTTGGGTAGCCCCTTCCTCACCCCGCCCTGCACACAGAACAGGTTGTGGCTTGGGGGTCTCTTCCACCGCTTCCTTGTTGTGCCAGGCATTCCAGGGCACTGCTAGAGGAGATCAGGGGTTGGGGTCTTGCCCTAGTGCGGGGGAGGAAATAAAACCACACTGGAACCCCCTCCCCAATAATGTCTCCTCATCTTTCCCACTGCCCTTTCCAGGGAGAGCCAGGCCTCGAGGGCGACAGTGGCCCTGCAGGGCCTGACGGGCTGAAGGTAAGTGTCCTTCTGGTGCAGAGTCTGGGGGAGAGGGAATATTCTGAAGCCACCTTCTGCCTCTGGCCCCACTACCCTCCCATCTAATACCCAGGTATTCCCCCAGAAGCACTGTGTTCTCATAAACTCTGAGATCAGTCCTCCAGCTTCTAGGGCATGCAGGCTGTGTAGGGGTGAGCCCTGCCTAGCGCCCATTCCCTTCCCTGCTCAGGTGGGACTAGGAACCAACCCCACCTTCTGCTCCTCACTGCCGCCTTTCTCCTTAAAACTGCAGCTTCTCTTGGCTCAAGGTGGTACCGGGCCAGCAGCTTTGACGTGCGTAATCACCACCCATGACTCATAGCCACTATTTCTGGAGGACTAGTCACAGGCTATCAGGGACTACACTAAGCCCTTTGTGTGTATCACTTAGATCAGTGCTATGGGGTAAGTCCTGTCTTTGGATGAGAAACTGAGACTCAGGTTAAACAACATGTCCAAGGATACATGCTAGTAACTGGCACAGGCAAGACCCAAGACCTGGCTACCTCTCTGCACCATGCGCCCATTCTAAAGGTGAAGAGACTGAGGCTCAGGCTGAGGTGTATTCATCCAGAGTCTATGGCTGTGAGTGAAAATCCAAAATTCAAACCCAGGGTTCATTGGCACCAAAGCATGTGGGCCCATTTCAGCCCTGCTGCTGAGATTCATCTGTCAGCCACAGATGCTGGGGCCTTAAGGCGGGGCTAGGGCTCCCCCAAACCCCAGGGCAGGTGGGCATCGCTCTCTGACCTTCCAGTCCCCACCTCCAGCCCTGGCTTGTCCCTGGCCCTCACCCCTGACCTAGCCCTGAACTATTGTTAGGTGGGTTTCCCCAGGGCTGACCTGTCAGCTGCCCAGCCCAGGCTTCAAAGTGTCACATCCCAGGATTCCCTCAGTCACCGCTGATTCTCCTATGACCTCAGATAAGCACCCCCTTCTCTGGGCCTGCATTGCCCTGTGCCCAGGATGCCTAGGTGACAGGCCCCTGGCTGGCACCTCATCTGCCTGCCTTTTGCCTGAAAGGTTGAGAGCACTCCCTGTCTGCCATCTGTCTGCCTTCTCTCACCTCCAGCCCTGCTGCATCCTAGGGTCTGGCTCCAGAGACCCAGAGCAGCTGATGGCCTCTCCACACTCTTTGACAAGTGCCTGCATGAATTGCGATGATGCTGACGAACATTCTGGCTAAAATGCTTTGCACACTCAGTACGCTTGCGTCACCTGCCTTCAGAGCTTTAGATGAATTAACCCATTTAATTCTCCCAGCAACCCTCCGAGCTGGATTCATTACCGCCTCCATTTGATGGATGAGGAAACCAAGGGATGGTGTGTGGGGGCCTCCTTCACTTCTGGGCAGTCACCTGTCATCTCCTTGGAATCTCTGCTGAGGTGGGGTGGGAGGGGACCTTCCAGGCTTGGGTGCCTCGCACAGTCATTGCCGCTCACTTGTGATGGCTCCTGGGCCCTACTGCTTCCTCTTCCACTCCCTCCAAAGCCAATTCTACCTAGGGCTGGAGTAGTCGTGCAGATGTGTGGTGTCTGGGCTTCCCTGGTGGCTCAGATGGGAAAGAATCTGCCTGCAAAGCATGAGAACCTAGTTCAACCTCTGGGTCGGGAAGATCCCCTGAAGAAGGAAATGGCTACACACCAGTATTCTTGCCTGGAGGATCCCATGGACAGTGGAGCCTGATGGGCTACAGTCCATGGGGTTGCAAAGAGTCAGACACAACTGAAGCAACTTAGCACGCATGCACAGCATCTTCCTGGGTCCTTGAGTGACTCCAGGAGAGAATCTATTTCCCTTTACGGCATTTGTCCAAGCATCACCTTCATGGTGAAAACAGCCTCTCAGACATGCACAGCACTTTATCGTTTATGCTGATTATTTTAAGTTTGCTGACGACCAGCTGATGGTGGCAACCATGATGGGGATTCCTGCTAATAGCTCACGTTTATCCAGCGCTTGGGCACTAGATGCTATTCTAAGCTATTTACATGGATTATCTCCTTCACTCCCCACAGTAACCCTTTGATGCTTATTTTGCAAATGAGGAAACTTGCCCAAGTCAACAGCTGTTGAGATCTGAATCCAATAGCGGGGAAGGAGATATTGTCCCCTGAGCAGAGAACCTTGGAGTGAAAAGAACCAGAACCCAGGGTCTTACCTGTGCTCTGCCGTGAACTCACATGTGGCATTAGGAAGTCTCTACCTCTCTCTGGGCCTCAGTTTCCCCATCTGTAAATATCGAGGGTTGAGCTGGGCAACTTGTAAATGCTCTTCTGAGCAGTGACAGATGTCCTGGACTCTGGGACCCTGGTCCTTTACCCCCGGAGCCCTTTCTGCATGGGATCCACCACTGGGTGTGTGGGAACCCAGGCTCTGGGGGTCTGGGCAGTTCTTGGAGCCAGTGTCCCTGCAAGGCCCAGGCTAGGGCCCCTCGCAGAAAGCCAGCCCAGCCACCTGGAACAGGCTGCCCGCCTCTGAGGGCAAGGAGAGCAGGTGGCCAGGATAACAGGCCAGAACGGGAATTCTGGAGCCAAGAGCATCCACAGGAGGATCGTCAGGGCCAGCCCTGTCTCCGTGCCAGGCTGGGCTTGGAATCTGAGCATCTCAGTGGGAAGGGACCTCAGAGACCCACCTGCTCGACCCTCTCCTGGTGCCCAGATCTGTTCTGCACCGGCCCACACCCCAGCTTGGCTCTTGCCTCCCTCAGCTGTGTCATCTCTGGATCGCTCCCCACACCTACTCATTGGGGCATCCTCTCGGACCAGAGATAGAAACTGCTCCAGCCATCCTGGGCCCCAGCTGCCTACCCCCAGAGCCTGGGGCCCTGGCGCGACCGGCCTGCAGACTGCTCTCAGCGTTCTGGCTCCCAGGCTCCCACTGCTTGCCCTGTGCACCCTGCTCTTTCTGCTGGACCCACACCAGTCTGTCAGCGTCCCTCGTAAAGTGTGGCGCCAGAAAACAAAACTGGCAAAGATGCTCTCTGCCTTTCCAAGCCTGCTCCTCCGCCCATCCCTTCCTCCCACCCGTGGCTTCATACGCTTTCCCCGGGGGCTTCTGTCTCCAGTCACAGCTCAGCCACCTGCAGACGGGCCACAGGCCCCTGCTGCCCTGCTCCTCCCCGCACCCACTGCCCATCCTGCAGCCCTTGCACCTGCTTTGCTCACGGGGGCCGAGGGCAAGAGCCCCATCCTGGCACAGCCCGGCCTGCTAGAACACGGCCTGAAATGACAAGTGCTGTGTAAGCATTCACTGCCACCCACCCAACAGAGGGAATGTATTGCAGCCAGTGAAAATGAGAGCTGTGTGGAGCAGACAGCAAAGGGAGCGCATACCCGCAGTAAATGGAGTAAGACATTTAAAAAAAACAATAGATGGAGACGTGTAGTCCAATTGGACTAAGCCTTTAAAGCTAAATTTACTAACTAATTTCATTGCTTTGGAACAGTTGTTCTAGCGCTCTGAGCCTGGTACGAAGCCATTGAAGCTATTACTTTTTACTTGTTGTAAGTGGTTTTGTGTAAACAAGGGTTGAAAATGCAACTCAGAAACATGGAAAGAGTTTGTTCCAAGAGGCTGAATCGGTTGAATTTTTTCCTTTATAAAAATTTCCTTAAGTTTTTTAAGGCTCTTCTCCCAATGTGTCTACAGGGCTGGAGAGAAAGCATCTCGGCCTTCCAGCCTGTCCCTCCTCTCCACGGGGTGGGCGTGGTTGAGATCCTCTCTTCCCTCTGATTGGCCCGCTCCTTGGCCTAAGGCAGGGCCCAGGACGACGTCATGTGCCGCATGCTGTCTGTGCCAGGCTGACCCTTTTGGCTGAGCCATCAGGGGAATCCAGGGTCTGGTCGGCTCTGGACATCCCAACGGAGCCCTGAGGTTTGGCACCTCTGATGGACTTAGTGACTAATTTATTCTCTCTCTGTCTTCCTTCCTCATGTCTTTCCACCCCAGGGGGACAGGGGTGACCCCGGGCCTGACGGTGAACGTGGCGAGAAGGGCCACGAGGGACTGAAGGGCGAGGACGGGCCCCCCGGCCCTCCCGGCATCACTGGCGTCCGGGTGAGCGCGCACAGCTGTGTGCCAGCATTTGTGGCTCCTGGGTTAGAATAATACTGTCGTGCCTTCCGGCAGTTGGGTGGGAGGTCGTTGGACAGCAGCCACCAAAGGATCTTGTGCTTCTATCCTTCCTTCACTGGAGCATTTTGCAGAGCACAAACCTGTGTCCCTCCAGTACCTTCCTAGTGCCCACAGGAATGATGTCACTCTCCTTGGTCTGTCTGCTGTGCCCTACACAAACCTGGACCCTGCTGACCTCATCCTGCTCACCCCCCACATTCGGCCACGCTGAAATTAGCAGGAGAGGCATTGGTCCAGTTCTCCATCAGCAACTTACTGCGTGACCTTTCACTTGTTCTTGCCCTCTCTGGGTCACCCCTTTGGTATGATGAAGGCTTTGGAAGAACACATGCTGAGACTGTTTTTGAGTTCCAGTGTTCCAGGAGCTCTTTCTTAGTGAACTTTTGAGCATCATGACTGTGGAATGGGCAGAAACATGTGGCAGAAATAATCCTGACCCAGAGCCCAAAGGCTGAGTTCTGGCTCAAACACCCACTATCACTGTGACTTTAGGCACATCACTGCCTCTCTCTGAGCCTTGGATTTTTCATCTAAAGAACTGATGAAACTTTGGATAGGAAAGCACTTTATAAAATGAACTAGAAATATAGCACATTATGAGTATGGAGGAGGACGTGGCTGAAGCTGGTGGTGGTGATGATGTAGTGATGATGGTGGGGATGGTGATGATAGTGATGAAGATAGTGGTGATGGCAATAGTGAGGATGATGGTGGTGGTCATGGCGGTGGTGATGATGATGGGCATGGTGGTGATGATGGTGTTAGTGTGGTGGTGGTGGTGAGAATGGTGATGATGATGATGATGTGGTGATGATGGTGTAGTGATGACGATGGTGTTTGTTAGTGTGATGGTGGTGGTGGTGAGAATGATGATGATGATGATGATGTGGTGATGATGATGTAGTGATGACGATGGTGTTTGTTAGTGTGATGGTGGTGGTGGTGAGAATGGTGATGATGATGATGATGTGGTGATGATGATGTAGTGATGACGATGGTGTTTGTTAGTGTGATGGTGGTGGTGGTGGGAATGGTGATGATGATGATGATGTGGTGATGACGATGGTGTTTGTTAGTGTGATGGTGGTGGTGGTGGGAATGGTGATGATGGGGATGATGATGGTATTGATGATGGGATGATGATGGTGGTGGTACTGATGTTGGTGTGTCAGTGGCTATGGTGATGGGAATGATGATGATGCTGGTGGTAGTGGTGATGATGGTGTTAGTGTGTGATGGAGGGGATGGTATTGATGTTAGTGAAGAGGACAGTGGTTATGATGATGGTGACAGTAGGGTTGATAATGGCAGTTGTGGTCGTGATAATGACGATGGTGGCGGTGATGATGGTATGGTGATGGTGATGATGGCGGGGTTGATGATGGCGGTGGGACTGATGCACTGGTGATGGTGGTGGCCGAGGCAGGGGTATGACAGTGGATCTGGGGATGGGGATGGTGTCCGTGGTGGTGTTGCAGTGTTTCTGTCCATATTTCACTGTCACTGCCAACTCTCCTACGCTGGGACTGGAAAGAGGTTCGCTGGGGCCAGACTGAGTGTGTGTCGGGTGGCAGAGGTGATGAGAGGCCTGTATTTGAGTGTCTTTGGCATTGAGGCTGCAGAACAGGAATCTCCCACTCTGTGGCCTGGAAACAGTGGAGGATTTAAAAATAGAATTTTATGAGCCATCAGGGCCTTTCCAGAAAGACATCTATATGGATGGGGGCCCAGCAAATGTCTTCATTCTGGCCCCACAGTCTCACCCCACTGGATGCTCTCACCCTTACTCAGGGTTTCCCACACCATCGGGGATGCTCCCAGCTGGAGATGGGCCTGTCAGAACAAGTGGCCAGCAGGCTGCCCTGTCCTGGGGGAGACTCCCGTCTCCCTGGCCCTGGACTGCATTCTTTGTCCCTGACTCACTCCTCCTGCTGATGAGGAATCAGCCATTGCAGTCACCTCAGCCCGCTGGCAGATGCCACCAGCTCCTGTAATCATGACTCACAATTGCCCAGACAGGACCAGCTTAGGAAAAGGGGTGTCCCAGAAAGTAAGAATCCACATTTCATTCTACCTAGCTGGGTGATAAGTGTCCACAGGGTCTCCGTCTCCCCGAGACTGTTTCTTTAGCTCTAACATGGGATAAACAATCCCTTCCTCCCAGCCCTGTGGCCAGAATTGCACAAAGCGTGATACAGAGTTCAGATACAGTACCTGGCCCGTGACTGAGGCCATGCTGTATTTAATCACTGGAGAAGCAAAAGACCTTGAGACTGTCAGGCCCAGAGCTGTCAGCTCCGTGAGGCCAATACCGCCACTGCCCCTACTTGGCAAAGATGTAGATCGCAGGAAGTATGCTGATGCTCAAGGTCACATGGGGTTGAGCGCAGAATCAGTTTGAACCCACGCAGTCTGCCTCGAGACCTAGTGCTCTGCAAATCTGTGGATCTGCCTCAGTTTCCTCTCATTGTTCATCTTTTCCTCTCTTCCCCTCTTTTCCTTTCAGGGTCCTGAAGGAAAACCAGGGAAGCAAGGCGAGAAGGGCCGGACGGGAGCCAAGGTAGGGACCCCCTCCTCCTCCCACCTGAATCGGCCATGTCCCTGCCCCCTAGCTCCCGCCCTCCCCTCCCCTCTGCGGACACCTGGCAACACCTTGTCTCTCCTCCACTGCAGGGTGCCAAGGGCTACCAAGGACAGCTGGGTGAGATGGGCGTCCCTGGAGATCCTGGACCCCTTGGCACCCCAGGCCCTAAAGGGTCCCGGGGCAGCCTGGGACCAACGGTGAGAACTCTCTGGGTGGCTGGGGTGAGGGTCATGGAGCCAAGTGCAGAGAGGAAAGCATTGCCCTCCTCACTTTGTGTCTGCCCTCCCAGCCATATCTTTGGAATCGTGCATCCCTTTGGGTACCTACAGAAGCTCCCTCCCCCTGTAAAGTACATACAGCCCAGAATTTCTTGCCATTTGGAGGGGGTCTGTGGATCTTCTGAAGCCCTTTATAACCCCTGATTATCAAGTCCTGCTGTCAGGGTGTAGGGAGGGGACAAGACCCTTGGGGGTATTTTTATTGGACAAGGATTTTTCCCCTTGGAAATAGATTCGTGGGGGAGCAGGATGAAGCTATTGCAGATCGCCGGGTGACCCTGGGGGTGGCCCAGCCCGTTGCTGGCCTGCCCTGAAGGGAGGGTCCCTTAAGGGTTTGGTCACTGCCGCAGGAGGGAGACCCCAGGAGGAAGCGAGGGAAGGGGGCAGACAAGGCTGACGCGGCATCTCTGAGCTGCGCGCCGATGTGCGCCGATAAACAGCTGTGCTGGTTTGTGTAATTTGCAAGATTCTGTGGTGTAAATGCTCCCACAGTAGCCGATTTCCAGCTACCAGCATGATGTCACTGAAGGCAGACTTGGAGGGGATGTGTGAGAAAGCTCCATTAGCTGGTAGAGTCGGTCTGTGTCCCCAGGGTTCCACATCCACGGGGGGTCCTGGAACTGTTCCCCTGCACATACCGACTACCCAGGGATAACAGCGTTTCCGCCACACAGATTCAATCAACAGAAATATCCTCATGAGCCTAGATAACAACAAAATGTCATAAAATAATTAGGAAGGGATGAGTGTGGGATATTTATCATCTGTGTTTTTAATATAATTGATTTATCTGTAAGTTCATATAATTTAAGTTTTCATCATGGTTTTATTTAATAATTGGCTCACAAAATTGGGGAAAATTTAGCAACTGGCTCTCTAAACCTCTGGAGCTGGAAGAGGGAAGGGCTGGGGGAGGAGGAGTGCTCCGGAGAGCCGCTTGCTTTCCACCTCGGTCTCCGGACCGGCTTCTGAGCAGAGCGGACGTGCCAGGCTGCTGGGCTGAAGTGGGCGGGAGCCTGTGGGAGAGACAGTGTCCACGTTCCTTCTGTGAGAGACATACTGGGCACCAACGGGGGTCTTCTCCCCTCACAGGGTGCTCCAGGACGGATGGGGGCCCAAGGAGAGCCGGGACTGGCTGGTTACGACGTAAGGAGCTCTCACCTCCCCACTTTCTGGAACTCTGCCCTGCAGGCCTGGACTCAGGCCGCCTCGGCCGCTGCCCCCACCTCCTCCCAGCTGAGGGCCACACAGATTCATGGTCTCCCTGGCCCCCAGGAACACCTGGGTCCACCGACCACCAGTGGGCCAGACAGGGCTGGGGTGAACAGCGACCTCCCCTGAACCCCTGGCCTCGCTAAGTCTTTGTTTCCTATGGTGGGTGCCGCACACACCTCGTGTCTGAACTTCACAACTGCTCTCTGTGGAAGTGGAGGGTCGGAGCCTGTTTTTGCATCCGATGTGGCAACCCCCCCACCCCACACCCCTTAGAGGCGGCTGAGCCAAACCCATGTTAGACATCTGGGAGGTGAGGCCTCAGAGAGGCATGCGGCTTGCTCAGAAAGGGAAACTGAGGCTCGGGGAGCCAAAACAATGTGTGTGCAAGGCCCGACAGCTTCTGAAGCTTGATGGTGGGATGCAGTGTCTGAAAGAGAAGGAGGAGGGGGAGAGGCAGAGGGCAAAGGAGAGGGGAGCCGGAGAGTGGGTGCTGGGAGCCCAAGCTGGGGGTCTGCATCTTCAGGCCTCACCCCGGCCTGGGAAAGCCTGCTGAGGCGAGCGTTCGCCCCCTGCCTCTGCCCAGGAGGACACAGCTAGGGGCTCGGCCAAGATCTGGACCCAGGTCTGCTCCAAGATGCGTGAGCAGAGGCTTCAGCCACTCAAGCAAACACCCCTTAGAGGAGTGTCTGGGACCAACATGGCGTGTCCAGGAGGCCATTGCTCAGAGAGCCTGCTCAGAGTCACACAGCGCGTTGGGACAGAGCCAGGACCTGATCGCACAGCCCAGATTATCTCCACCTCTGAGTTCTTATCCTTCCTCCTCTGCTCCTCCCGACTCCTCCCTCCCCCGTGCTCTCACCTCCTGCCGTCTTATTTCTTGCAGGGACACAAAGGCATCATGGGACCCCTCGGACCTCCTGGACCCAAGGGTGAAAAGGTGGGTGTCTGGTCCTGGGTGGCAACTGCTTTCCATATCTGGGGCCGCTGGGAGCGAGTCCTGGGGCCACTGTGGCTGGGCTAGCGTGGGTTCATGGCTCACCCCTGTCCACACCCTGGCCAGCCCAGAGCCCAGTGTCATCCTGGCTGTGGCCTTCAGGAGTCTGACCTACGTTGAGCACAGGTATCTCGGGTGTCATCTCTGCCTGGCACCAGAACAAAAATGGACACAGTTGCTGCCTTCCTGGGGCTTCCAGTTGAGCAGGGGAAATGGACATCAGTGATGTAAGGATGCCATCTAGCATCTGTGTGAAGTTGGGGGAGCAAAGCCTCACTTGTGAATGAGATCACCCGGTGAGAGCTGGGGGAGGGCTTGGGATCCTGAGTGAGAAGCACCAGCATTTCAAGGCCAGGAACCGCCCAGGCAGAAGGAAGGTGTGTCCAGGCCTCACCCCTTGGCTCCAGATTCAACGGAAGACAGGAAGTGGTGGAAGGAACCTCACTGATGGCCACACCCCTCCCCACTGTGTAGGTGGGGATGTGGATCCCACAGGTCTGAGGGTCACATTCCAAGGCAGCACCGGGCTAGCCCAGGACCCAAGTCTCTGGGTCTTACATTAACGGAGTCCCTCCTTCCTCTCTCCCTCTTCCCCTGATGGAGCAGGAACAGGCTTCTATCAGGCGCCCCCGACCCCACCCCACCGCCCACCGCGGAATCCTTGTTCCCAGCTCCCCAAGCCTCCTTTCTTTTGCCGAGTCAGCTCCCCACTAACTACATCCCGCTGTTGAGTGAATCACCCTGGCCTGGCTTGCCATCCAGCTGGCCCCTTCCTCCTGCTTGGAGAAGAATAGCTCTGCAATCGCAGCGGGCCGCAGGCTCTGACACATCCCGCAGGAAGCCGCACAAGCCGCACACAGGATCCCGAGTGCCTCCTCGGCCCTCACGGTCTGCCAGGGCTGGCGCAGAAAGGGTTAACACGAAGCCTGAAACAAGAGGGTGCCTTCACTTTGGGCCATCCACACCCCAGAAGTAGTCCCTGTGCCTGCCGAGAACTAGATCTTAACCCCAAATCTGCCCTGGGTCTTCTGNGGATGGCACTAGGGAGGGAGGAAGAGCAGGTTCCTGGGGGAGACCCCCAGGGCAGACCTCCGCCCCAGGATTTCTTCACACTCATCACCATGACCCTGGCACAGAGGTGTCCGGGTCCCATTCGACAGGTGGAGAAACAGAGTCTCCTTGACATTCCAGGACTAGCTCAGGATCAGTGTGGGGTATGGTAGGACCAGGATTCAGACTGTCTGATGCCAAGCCTCGCATTTCCAGTCAGAAACAAGACATTTAGATGAACCAATATATTGTTCAACTTGGGGCTTCCCTCTGGGGCATGTGTCTATCTTCAAAGGCAGTGGCCCAAGGGACTGGGAGATGGGATAGGACTCTGGGAACAAGGAGAAAGGGGGAATGGGAGGCTTCGTTTTGGGGTGCTAAAAATGCATCCCCAAAATTCAGCTACAATGTGTGGTGGGTAGGAGAGGGAGATATCTGTATAGCTAGCTTTTGGCCCAGTCATTGCTTTGATTCTTGTGTGACCTTGGCTAAGACCCTTCCTCCCCTGGGTATCAGTTTCTTCATCTGTAAAATGGGACCAACGGTCACAGCAGAATAAGCGTGTTATATGGATTCTATGCAACATGCCTCACAAAGGGCCTGGCACACAGAACCCACTAGGTAAACAGTAGGTAAAGCCCCCCAGTCCAGCTCTCTCCCTTCACAGGAAGATGGAGCCTTGGGACAAGGAGCATAGAGAGTGGTCAGGGCAGAGAGGGAATCCCTGCTTCTTGGGCCAGCCACCTCCCCCTGTTCCTGCCTACAGCTGGTTCTAGGCCTCAGGCCTACTCTCCTGCCTTCCGTCTCTGCCCACAGGAGCCACAGAGGCCCCAGGCCAAGGCTTACGGCCGTCAGCCCTCAGGACTGATGCAGGCCCGGGACAGGCTCCAGCCCCCAGGACTGTCCCCTTTCTCCTGCCTCTCAGACCTCCCCTTCAGTCCCTGCCAGCAGCCAAGGGGCTTGGAGGTGCCCTGGCTTGAGCCGCCTGCCCAGCATGTCCCCCCATGGGAGGTGACACTAACTGTCTGGGGTTAGATCATGCTGAGCCCTCAGACTCTGCCTGCACCTTCCCTGTAGCTGGCACATGGCTTGCAGCCACCTGTCCGGCGGGTGGACCGGGGCCCGGGGCGGCCTGCCATGGCCCAAGGACCTTGGCTCTAAACTCTGCTCTTCCCTCCCGTCTCTGACCACCTCCCTGCCACCCATCCTCCCAGCTATTATCATTAGCAACAACAGCAATTTCTACAGAGCCTCTTCTCTCTGTGCTGAGAGCTTACCACGCCTCTGCTTCCTGCGTCATCAGAGCAGCGCTATGAGACATAACAATCTCATTTTGCAGACGGGAAACTGTCTTATGAGCAAGACCTGCGAGTGGGCGGCTGCTGAGTGCCTCCGGGGGAGGCTCAGGGCCTTCCCTGGGGCTCCCATCAAAAGTTGGAGGCTCATCCTAAAGCAGGTTCTCGGCCCGCCTTCTTCCAGCAAGGGTCGGAGAAAGGGGCTCTTTCATTGAGGGCTGAATGGCTAAGCAGCTCACACTGCCTCTTTGGGCCTCCGTGTCCTCATCTGTAAACTAAGGAGAAAAATATCACCTACTTTGTGGGGCTGTCGGCAGAATTCAGCCTTCCCAGGTGGTGCTAGAGGTAAAGCACCCTCCTGCCAGTACAGGAGACACAAGAAGCATGGATTTGATCCCTGGGTTGGGAAGCTCCCCTGGAGGAGGGCCTGGCAACCCACTCCAGTATTCTTCCCTGGAGAATCCCGCGCACAGAGGAGGCTGGTGGGCTGCAGTTCATAGTGTTCAAAGTCTTCTACACAACTGAAGGGATTTAGCGCGCCCAGCGCCGGGAGGACTCACTAAGTGTCTGCGTTCAGCTGTGGTCGTCGGTGCTCACGCTTGCCAGCTGTGGGAATTATTGTCACTGCCTGCTGAGCACCGTGCGGGGGCTTCTGCATCACTTCATGGAAGCCCCACCACCTTCCATGGGTATCAGCATTGTCCCCTTCACTGCCCCACCAACCCCCATTTTGCAGCTGAGAAAAAGCTCTGAAACCAGAAGGGCCCTGTTGAAGGCCTGGGCAGCTGGTCCCCTACAAAGCCGACTGACCAAGTCTCTGCTCAGCTACCCTGGCTGACAGCCTGAGAGTGTCAGCCTCAGGGTATCCAGCCTGAAAATGAAAGTGATAGTCACTTAGTTGTGCCTGACTCTGAGACTGCATGGACCATAGCCCACCAGGCTCCTCTGTGGATGGAATTCTCCAGGCAAGAATACTGGAGTGGGTAGCCATTCCCTTCTCCAGGGGATCTTCCCGAGCCAGGGATCGAACCCGGGTCTCCTGCATTGCAGGCAGATTCTTTACTGCCTGAGCCACTAGGAAACCCCACAACTTCTTTAGTTAGAAGAACGACATGGCTAAGAAAAGAGGAGATTGGAGTGGGGTATAGTTGACCTGCAGTGCTGCCTGGGGAAGAAGGAGCCCCACGGAAGCTAAGGGAACAGGAGGAGGGTTCAGCCCAGAACAAAACCAAAACACTTCGGCTGTCACAGGGCTGGGATTATGAGCAAGAGGTGGTCATTGACTCCTCTGAAGGGGCCACTCAATCCTCTGAGCCCTCAACATAACCAAGGCCAACCCAAACACTGAGTCAGAGACCAGATTTCTACAGAGCTACAGTGAACCACNGTCCCTGATGGCAGGAGTCCTTTCCTTGGTTCCTGCTCGGCTGTGTCCTGCTCTTTGTAACCCCATGGACTGTAGCCCTCCAGGCTCTTCTGTCCATGGAATTCTCCAGGCAAGGATACTGGAGTGGGTTGCCATTTCCTCCTCCAGGGGATCTTCCCCACCCAGGGATTGAACCCGAGTCTCTTCTGTCTCTTACACTGGCAGGTGGATTCTTTCCCACCCATTTCACAGATGAAGAAGCTGAGACTTAGGGGAACAATGCCACATGGCTAGGAAGAACAAGGGCTTCCTTGGGGTCCTCCAGGCTAGAAGTTGCCCTGGCCCCCACTCCCTCCAAGATGAGCCCCTTCACCTGTCTCTCCTTGACTTCCAGGGGCAGGAGGGTGTACAAGGCCTCCGTGGAAATCCAGGCCAGCAGGGGCAACCCGTGAGTGGTGCTTCCTGTCCCATCCCCCTCCTGCCCTGAGTGGGGGGGCTGGTGGAGGAGCAGTGGGGGAATTAAAGATCTGGTCTCTTTAAAACTTAAAGGGACCCGCCCTGAGGGAGGGCCTGGGACAGCCCATTCTGGTTTCTCCTACCCTGACCCTGGGGGCACCCCCAGAGCCTGCACCCCCAAACCCCTCCCCACCCTCCCCCTCCAGGCGGAGACTGGCCACCCTCCCCGGGAAAGAATCCTGGGGCTGCCTTGCGTCATCTCACCTTGGTTTGCAGGGGCATCCGGGACCCCGGGGACGGCCGGGCCCCAAAGGATCGAAAGGGGAAGAGGTAAGCGGCCCGGGTGCTCACGGGGAAGGTAGACCCTGGGACGGGCCTAAGCACATAGCATGTGGGAGGCAGCACTGGGGTGTGATGAGAGACAGGGACCACGGGGCCCTGCAGGCTGTGGTCCAGCCAGGATTCCTTTAGCCGGCCTGGGGGATGGGAGATGACCAGTCCCAGTTACAGAGGCTCTGGGAGGAGGACCGTCTGTTCGGTCAGCCAGGGGGATTTGAACCCCGGGCAGTCAAGATCCGAAGCTAGGCTCCCTTTCCACCACAGTGCACTGCAGAAAGAAAACTGGGGGCAGTGAAGTGAGAGCATGTGGAGGAAGACGGGGAGGACGCCACTCATGGAGGCCTTCGGAGGTGGTGGAGAGGGAGTTGCCTGCCTTCAGCCAGGCCTCCTGCGCCGGCCTCCACTGAGGCTGGGCCAGGGCTGTCTCCATGCCCTCCACTTCCTCCAGGGGTGCACACACACGCCCCTGACGATCAGACGGACCTGCCAGCCGTGGGGCTCAGCTCCCACCAGGAAGTTGCCAATGCCTGGAGCCTCTGCCACCGGGCTCCCCGTGAGGGCCCAGCGCCCAGAGCAGGGTCAGGGGCCACATCTGGCAGGTCCCAAGGCCAGCCTTGACCCTGGGCTTCCGGGTGGGGGTGCTTGGGCCCATTGGCAGATTCAGATGCCAAGGTAGAGGGGCAGGGCCCACCCACAGAAGGATCTCCCTTCCGGAGCCCCTCGGGTTCTGCGCCTCCTCCAGGAAGCCTCCATCGTGTACCCCTTGATTTTTCAGGGACCAAAGGGAAAGCAAGGCAAGGCTGGGGCGCCAGGACGGAGGGGGATCCAGGTGAGTGGCCCGCAGCTTTTCGCTTGCCCACCCCACCTCCTGCCCTCCCCAGAAGCCCTCACCAGCTTCCTGTTTACCCCCAGGGCCTGCAGGGGCTCCCGGGGCCTCGGGGCGTGGTGGGGAGACAGGGCCCCGAGGGTGTTGCTGGACCAGATGGGCTTCCTGGCCGTGATGGTCAAGCTGGACAGCAGGTGAGCCATACTGGGGGTTAACAGAGGGTGCCTCCGTTCGAGATGAGGTGTGCGCGTGGTGGTATGTGGGGTGCCTAGGCCATGGGCCAGGAGGAGCAGGTTTGGGAACTTGGATGGGCAGACCAGTATATCTAGAAGCTTCCTGCATGGGCAGTGGCTTCTGGATGATGGCCTGTCTCACTGTCTCTCCTCCATGCCAGCACCCAGAGGGACAACCCCTGTCCAGGGCAGAGAGCTTCTGGTTTTTAAGATCCTTCTCCTCCCCATCCACGAATCCTCAAATCCTCTTGTCCCGCTGGTCCAGCCATTCTCACACACAGGCAGTACGGCCTCCATCCCCGAGTCTGACCTCCACCTCCACCAGGGTTCTCCCACACTGGTGGGTTTTGAAGTCACCCTGCCTCCTTTGGCTGCCTATTTCCTGAAACATGAAAAATCTTCCTTTGCCCTCTTTCTTCACAGGGGGAGCAAGGAGATGACGGGGACCCTGGGCCCATGGGCCCCACTGGGAAGAGAGGAGATCCAGGTGTGGCTGGCTTGCCTGGGGCACAGGGGCCCCCAGGATTCAAGGTCAGACCCTTGTTAATCCTCTTATCCGCGCCCCCCACCATTTCTGCCTTGGTACCGACTACAGTGACCCTGATTACAGTGCTGACATAGGCACCCATGTCCCAGGGACCGTGTGAAAAATGGAGTCTACTTTCTCAGGGGTCCGTCCCCAGGCCTGAACCTGGCTTAAAGGATAGGAATCCCCAGAGCTGTAATACTGCCCCCTACCAGGCCTTTGAGGCTGTCAACTCTTTGTTGAGTTGTCCGTGGGCGCCCTCTTGTGGGCCTTTGTGGAGCAATGGCTGTTGCTAGCTGCGGGGACCCTCCAAGGCATCTTTATAGAAGTTTCCTTGATAAGCAGGGGAGGCTGTCTGAACCCAGGGTTAGACACTTGAAGGGAAGATTGAGATGAATGAATGAGGCAGGGCTCTCACCCTCTAAGCTTGAAGTTCAGTTGGAGAGCGGTTGTAAGCCTCTTTAAAGACAGAGGGCAGAGGGGAGAGGAGGCCTTGGCCCGTGGAAGATTTAAATGAGGCAAGAAGGGGAGGCGACATTCTAGGCAAGAGGAACAGCGTGATTGGAGGTAGGGACTGCCTGGCCTGTTGGGAAGAAACAATGAAGAGGAAAGGTGTTTGAGAGAAGGGACAGGAAGTGGGCCCTTCAATGCCAGAACAAGAAAAGAGACTTTCTTCTTAAGGAGGCTGAAGTTTTGAGCACCCTCCCCCATCCCCAGGCCTACACCTGTTGCCCCAGCAACCAGAGATGTTAACTGACCCAGTGGAATCACTGTTCTCTCTCTCCAACTGCCCTCCTCATCTTCTAGAGCCGTTTTCTCCCTTTGACTGGTCATCTTGGTGTATTTCTTTAAGGGTGAAAGTGGGTTACCTGGGCAGATGGGACCCCCTGGCAAACGAGGGACAGAAGGTGGAATGGGGCTTCCTGGGAACCAGGGGGAGCCTGGATCCAAAGGCCAGCCGGTGAGTGAGCCCCAGGGGACACACATGTGCACACACGTGAGCACACACGCACACAGACCCACCAGCCACTTTCCTGCTCTGTAAAAAGCACAGAGCAACACTCTCCATGGGCATGAGATACCACTCTGCCTCCCCTGAGTCAGGGATGAGGGGATGGAAGAAAGCTGAGAAATGAGATATGAGTGGTCCCTTAAGAATGAGGAGAGGCCATCCCAACCAGAACCTTAAGTAGCCTGAAATAACCTTGAATCTGGCTTTCCCAGGTGGCGCTAGTGGTAAAGAACCCACCTATCCATGCGGGAGACCGTAAGAGACATGGGTTTAATCCCTGGATTGGGAAGATCCCCGACTTCAGTATTGTTGCCTGGAGAATCCCGTGGACAGAGGAGCCTGGAGGGCTACATCCATAGGGTCACAAAGAGTCAGGCACGACTGAAGCGACTTAGCACACATACAGCCTTGTATCTGTTGGAGAAATTGCATCTGTAGTTTAAAAACTTCCCACAAAGGTTCAGATGACTTCACTGGTAAATTCTAGTCATTGTTTATGGAAGAAAAATACCAATTCTGCATACATTCTTCCAGAAAATTGAAGGGGAGGGATACTTCCAAACACATGCTATGAGGTTAGCATTACCCTGATGTCTATGCTAGACAAAGAAAAGAAAAGAAAACTACAGACCAATATACCTCAGAAGTATAGATACAAAAGTTCTCAATACTGTTTTAGGAAAATCAATCAAAGAATACATTAAAAGAATAGCAGGTCAAGATCAAGTGAGATTTGAAACTTCCCTGGTGGTCCAGTGGCTAAGACACCGTGCTGCTAATGCAGGGGGCCCGGGTTTGATCCCTGGTCAGGGGACTAGATCCCACATGCACCACCAAGAGTTCACATGCCACAACTACAGATCCTGCATGGTACAACTAAAAACAAAATAAAAATCCCACATGCTGCAGGTAAGAACCAACACAGTCAAATAAAGAAATGTATTTTTTCAAAAAAGAATATCAAGTGAATCAGGAAAAAAAGATCAGGAATGCAAGGATAGTATAACATTTGAAAATAAATCAATATAATTCACCATATTAACAAGCTAAAATTTGTTGTTCAGTCGCTCAGTCTTGTCTAATTCTTTGCAACCCCATGGACTGCAGCACACCAGGCTTCCCTGTCCATCACCATCTCCCAGAATTTGATCATACTCATGTCCATTAAGTCGGTGATGCCATCCAATCATCTCATCGTCTGTTGCCCCTGTCTCCTCCTGCCTGCAATCTTCCCCAGACTAAAATAGAAGATCTAATTAATCATTTCAGTAGATGCAAGAAAAGCAATTGATAGAATCCGACTCCATTTCTGATGAAAATTCTCAGCAAACTTGGTATAGAAAAAACTTCCTCAACTTGATAAAGGACAGTCATGAAAAATCTGTAGTTAATATTGTAGCTCCTAGTGAATGATTAAATTCTTTCTCCCAAAGAGCAGAAATAAGTTGGATACCTGTTCACACCACTTCTGTTCAACATTGTATTGGCATTTCTAGCCACTGCTATAAGGCATCATATTTGTGAGCTAGTCACACTCGTTTGATCACCTCAAGGTGGAGTGACTGATATCCCTTCAAGGAGGCAGGCCCGGGGTCCTGCCGGACTGGCCGGGCACCTTGTCTTGGCCTCACTTGCCCTGTCTCATCCTGTTCTCCCCGTAGGGTGACTCTGGCGAGATGGGATTCCCAGGAGTGGCTGGCCTCTTCGGACCCAAGGTACAGATTCTCTATTCTTCTTGGGGTCCTGTCCATCCACCTACTTGTTCACTATTCATTCAACAAATATTTCTTGGGCCTGTGCAATGGGGGCTGGACCACAGCCAGAATCTAGCACGAACACCCTTGTCTCCCAGCCTCACGTTCCAGCAGGCCTGGGTTCTAAGCCCAACTCCACAGTGTATCTGCTCTGTGCCTGAGCAGATTACTTGGTCTCTCCAAGCCTCACTTTTCTCATCTATAAAATGGGCACAGTAGCAGCAAAAGGTTGTTACAATGAAGATTAGGCCTACACCATTTAGCGCCGAGCCAGCACCCTGCCTGCTGCTTTGTGGACATTTGCTGCTCTTTCTGGAGCCTCTCAGGGAAGGCATCTCTTGACCGGGAGGGCAGAGGCTGGGCAGACCCCAGGGGTGGTGGAGCTGCTGGAGCCCTCGCCCAGCGGCCGCCCAGACACAGCAGCCCTTCTCCGCCTCCCGCAGGGCCCCCCAGGAGACCTCGGCTTCAAAGGCATCCAGGGCCCTCGGGGGCCCCCTGGATTGATGGTGAGTCCTCTCCCAGTCTGCCCCGCATGGTCAGTCATCCGAGGCCGGCCAGCCATCAGCTGGGTGACGTCACCCTTCCTGATCCTTCGGTCTTGAGCCCTCTCTGCCCACTGTCTCCACTCCTGTTTCTTAACATTTATTTTTACTCCTGCCTGCAATCTTCCCCAGACTAAAATAGAAGATCTAATTAATCATTTCAGTAGATGCAAGAAAAGCAATTGATAGAATCCGACTCCATTTCTGATGAAAATTCTCAGCAAACTTGGTATAGAAAAAACTTCCTCAACTTGATAAAGGACAGTCATGAAAAATCTGTAGTTAATATTGTAGCTCCTAGTGAATGATTAAATTCTTTCTCCCAAAGAGCAGAAATAAGTTGGATACCTGTTCACACCACTTCTGTTCAACATTGTATTGGCATTTCTAGCCACTGCTATAAGGCATCATATTTGTGAGCTAGTCACACTCGTTTGATCACCTCAAGGTGGAGTGACTGATATCCCTTCAAGGAGGCAGGCCCGGGGTCCTGCCGGACTGGCCGGGCACCTTGTCTTGGCCTCACTTGCCCTGTCTCATCCTGTTCTCCCCGTAGGGTGACTCTGGTGAGATGGGATTCCCAGGAGTGGCTGGCCTCTTCGGACCCAAGGTACAGATTCTCTATTCTTCTTGGGGTCCTGTCCATCCACCTACTTGTTCACTATTCATTCAACAAATATTTCTTGGGCCTGTGCAATGGGGGCTGGACCACAGCCAGAATCTAGCACGAACACCCTTGTCTCCCAGCCTCACGTTCCAGCAGGCCTGGGTTCTAAGCCCAACTCCACAGTGTATCTGCTCTGTGCCTGAGCAGATTACTTGGTCTCTCCAAGCCTCACTTTTCTCATCTATAAAATGGGCACAGTAGCAGCAAAAGGTTGTTACAATGAAGATTAGGCCTACACCATTTAGCGCCGAGCCAGCACCCTGCCTGCTGCTTTGTGGACATTTGCTGCTCTTTCTGGAGCCTCTCAGGGAAGGCATCTCTTGACCGGGAGGGCAGAGGCTGGGCAGACCCCAGGGGTGGTGGAGCTGCTGGAGCCCTCGCCCAGCGGCCGCCCAGACACAGCAGCCCTTCTCCGCCTCCCGCAGGGCCCCCCAGGAGACCTCGGCTTCAAAGGCATCCAGGGCCCTCGGGGGCCCCCTGGATTGATGGTGAGTCCTCTCCCGGTCTGCCCCGCATGGTCAGTCATCCGAGGCCGGCCAGCCATCAGCTGGGTGACGTCACCCTTCCTGATCCTTCGGTCTTGAGCCCTCTCTGCCCACTGTCTCCACTCCTGTTTCTTAACATTTATTTTTTAATTGGAGGATAATTGCTGTACAATGTTGTGTTCGTTTCTCACACGACGTGAATCGGCCATAAGCACACATATGTCCCCTCCCTCTCCTACCTCCCTCCCACCCCCCACCGGCTTTCCACACCTTTGCTCGTGACGTTCCTGCCAGCTGGGCTGCCATCTTTCCTGCTTTCACCTGTTCCCGTCCCCCACCAATGGCCCACCCCAACGCACATCGCATGGGCTCGGCAGACACGTGGACTGGCCCCACCCGGGGAGGTCTCCCTTCCACCTCCTGGGGGCCTTCAGGCTGCCCCCTACCCTCCTGTCCCAGTGATTCTGTTTCCCAGGCGCTGGGACAAGGACACACAAGCCTTTCTCTCCCCTTTAGGGAAAGGAAGGTATCATCGGGCCCCTAGGAATCCTGGGGCCTTCGGGACACCAGGTATGTGCAGGGGGCTGGCCAGAAAGACCGCTGGGGCAAGACTGTCTGTGTGACCTGGAGCCAGTCCGAGCCTCAGTTTCCCCATCCGGGCGGTGGGGCTCCTCCTCCGAGCCCCCTCTCACTGGGCCGTGGTTTCTTGCAGGGTCCAAAGGGCGACAAAGGCAGCCGAGGGGACTTGGTGAGTGGACGGGCTGGTGGGCAGCGTGGCGGGGTCGGGGGGGGGGCAGGGGGGCGGCACAGCTCAGCCTGCTCCTGTAACTCTGTCTCCCCGCTTCTGTCCCCTTCCAGGGATTGCAAGGTCCGAGGGTGAGTGGGCTGGGGTGTGAGGGCTGGGGGGATGGTGGAGTCGGGGGGCGGCAGGCACTCTGGGCTCTCCTGCCGTGACCAGTCACGTCCTGGGACCTCAGTCTGTACGCGGGCGGCCACGGCGCTGGATCTCAGGAGGAGGCCTGGGCTGGGATGGGGGATGAGAGGCCTTTGAACAGGGCCTCACTGTTCTCCTCTTCCTCCAGGGTCCTCCCGGTCCCAGAGGGCAGCCCGGCCCACCGGTAGGTAGTGTCTGCGCCCCTTGAACTGCAGGGCAGCTGGTGGGACCCCAGGCTGTGTTGGCGGCCTTCACAGGACTGGCCCTGACGTCACAGGCCAGGCCTCCAGGAGGGTACAGCTCAGCCCGGGTGGCGCCAGGCAGAGACCAGGGCGGTGGGTCCTCTCTTGCCCTGAGAGCCCCTCCCGGCTCCCGACAGCCCCCAGGACTGCAGCGCGCAGTCCCCGTCAGACACAGACCCAGCCTCTTCTTTTGCAGGGTCCTCCAGGGAGCCCTGTCCACTTTGTAAGTTGGAGAACTTTCTCTTCGGTCTACTTGGAGTAAGGCCTGGGGTGTGGTGGGGGAGGGATGACAACAGACTGCCTCCCTGGCCCGGGGCAGCCCACCCCGCATCCTACGTCACTCCATACTGAACCCTGGACCCTACACCGAGAGGCAGGGAACCCAGGTATTAGCCAGAATGCACCCCGGACAGTGGATCCAGGAAGACCTCTCACCTCTGGCCCCGGGGTCCTGTTGGTCCACTCTGTGCTGTTCCACTGACAGATCTTTAAGCCTCTGGTACTGATTCCGACCCCTGTGTTTTGGGAAGGGAGCCTCCCCACACCAGTGACCAATCTGGGGGACACCAGCTAGGTGTCCTAGGATTTAAGTCAGCCCTGACACTACTTGGAGCAGCATCAGATTCCACGGGTTGAGGGCTCAGTCCTACAAGATTGCTGCTGGCTACCCCCCAGGACCCCACACCTCCTTCCCTCACCCCCCCTTCCCTGCCTCGCTTCCGATGCCAGTGGCAAACCCAGGTGTCATTTGTGCTTCTGACCGACTAGCTATACACCAAAAGTTCCCACCAGGCCCTCCTCGGCATCTGTTAATTTGTTAGGGCAGCTCACAGAACTCAGAGACACATTCTATGTACCAGATTAGTGGCTTATTATAAAAGGCTGTAACTCACATGTGTCATTTTGGACTTCCCTCGTGGCTCAGCGGTTAAAGAATCCACCTGCGACGCAGGAGACACAAGAGATGCGGGTTTGTTCCCTGGGTTGGGAAAATCCCCTGGAGGAGGAAATGGCAGCCCACCCCAGTATTTTGCCTGGAGAATCCCATGGACAGAGGAGCCTGGCGGGCTGCCTCCCACAGAGTTGCAGAGAGTCGGACACGACTGAGCACACACACAGAGGAGCAGCCAGATGGAGGTTCTGCATCATCAAGCAAGGCATGGGGTCGGGGCATGAGCTTCTGTGTCCTTTCCGAATCTCCACCTGTTCACCAACCTGGGAGCCCTCCGAGCCCAGTCCTTTTAGGATTTTAGGGAGGCTTCATTACACAGACACGATTGATTAAGTCATCGGCGATGGGCGATTGACTCAACCTCCAGCCCCTCTCCCCTCCTTGGAGGCTGTGGGACTGAAAGTTGCCACCCTCTGATCACGTGGTTGGTTCCAGAGACCACCAGCTCCCATCCTTAGGTTACTTAGGAGCTTTCCAAAAGTCATCTCATGAACACAGCAAAAGATACCCTATTTCAGAAAATTCCAAGGGTTTTCAGAGCTCTCTGCCAGGAACTGGGTTGAAGACCAAGAATAGATTTCTTATTATGCATCACCACAAGACAGAGTCCATCCAGTTCAGATTCTGAGTCCAAAGAGGGTCCGGCAAGGTTGCAGGTTGGGCCCCGCTGTTCCTCACTGGCTTGAATGAAAACATATCCCCCTCTCACAAGCCCTCTGGCAGTCTGTTCACATTTGACCATGGTCCTGGTTAACTGTTAGAAGCAGGCCCTGACTGTGTCCCAGGGAATGGCCAGGGGGAAGGACTGCATGGAGAAGGAGCCCCTGGCCACAAGCAGCTTGAATCCCTGCTCTTCTGCCCTCACTGTCCGTCCCTCTGTCTCACCCACGAAACTGGAACGACAGCCCTGGCCTCTTCCTATACATCCTTCCTTCTTCAGTAAGGAAGCAAGCTAGGAGAAAATTGAGAGATCTAGGAAAAGACTTTTCCCTCTAAAAAAATAAAGAAAAATGAGAGGACTTTGATTTTTTGAATAATAACTAATAGATTCAGTGCTTGTTATATGCTACTTAGCATTGGTAGCACTTTTCTGGAATTCCCTTGTGGTCTGGTGGTTAGGACCCCACACTTTCACTGCTAAGGGCTCAGGCTCAGTCCCTGAGCCCTGATCAGGGAATTAGGATCCCTCAGGCTGTGTGGGGAGGCCAAAAAAAAAAAAAGTGCTTTTCATGTATTTTGCTGTTTAGTCACTAAGTTTGGTCCGACTCTTTGCAACGCCGTGGACTGTAGCTTGCCAGGCTTCTCTGTCCATGGGATTTTCCAGGCGAGAATACTGGAGTGGGTCACCATTTCCTTCTCCAGGGGATCTTCCCGACCCAGGGATCAAACCCAAGTCTCCTGTGTCTTCCTGCCTTGTAGGCGGATTCTTTACCTTGAAATCATTTATTCCTCTCAACAGTTCTGAGTTTTATCATCAAGATGAGAGAACTGAGTTTAAGCAACTTGCCCAGATTGTAGTTAGTAAGTTGCAAGGCTTGGGATCTGAACTTGAGAAGGACTGCCAGAGTCCTGGCTCTAGACCCCACTGTCGGATCTTCCCCGCTCTTGATTTTCATGGGGAGCTCGTGGAGCTATGCTTCCAGGAAGCCCAGGGCCAGGGTTGCAGGTGCAAGTGGAAGTGAGACAGTTACAGTGCAAACCAAAGGGGAGACCCTGGGGCTGTGGGAATGTGGAAAGAGGGGTCCACACCCAGCCTGGGGGCGGAGGCATCAGGAGAGAGTTCCCATCGCAGGGTGGCATCTATAGGAGGCGTGCAGGGCAGGGTTTCTCACCCACAGCACTGTGGACATTTGGAGCCAGATGATTCTTTGCTGTGAGCGATTGTCCTGTGCATTGGAGGATGTTTAGCTGCAGCCTGGCTTCCACCCACTGCATCCCAGTAGAACCGCCTCCTCCATTTGTGACAGCCCCTGAAGTCTAGCGATATTGCCAGATGTCCTCTAGGGGGCAGCATCACCCCTGGCTGAGAACCACCGGAGTAGTAGCTGGAATGATGGAGGAGGGAATAGGCAAAGGGAGCAGTCCGTGCAAAGGCCCGGTGGCTGAATAGAGCCTGGTACTTAGGAGCTGAGAAGTGCAATAGTGTGTCTGGTGAGAGGCAGCACCCGTGGGAGACAGAAGAGAGGCAGGACCAGAGAACACAGCACGCAGGCCACTTCGAGGAGTTTGGACTTAATCTTGGGGGTGACAGAGCGCAATGGAAGTGCCTGGAAGAAACGAGCGGAAGCATCTGTTTGCAAGGGGAGGGAGAACAGAGTTCCCCAGAAGGCATGCTATGGGCCAGGATCCCACTGGGGAAGGTGGGGTGGGAGGGCCCTTGCTCAGACCCTGGGGCTCCTGCTCGGTGGGGGCCAGGAGGCACTGCCTGTCTTCTCTCTGCACAGCAACAAGACGACCTTGGGGCAGCTTTCCAGACGTGGATGGACACAAGCAGCGCACTGAGAGCGGAGGTAGCGCCCGGGGCCCTGCCCACAGGGGGTCCCTTCCTTGGGGAGGGGGGTGCAGAGATGATGACCCACGTGTGGTCAGTGGCCTCCACGTGACCCACGCTGAGCAGTTCATGGCCAGCAAGTGACCCAGGAGCAGGGCCGAGTCCTTTAGCTCTCCTCCTGAGTCAGGTAGAGCTGTCAGAAGCAGCTTCTTGGTTCCGTCCCAGAATCTGCCACAGGGAGGAAACTTGTCCACGGGCTCTGCTAAGACCCTGGCCAGGGTCTCAGCACCAGGATACCAGGCTGAACAGGGTCAAACCCTGTCAAGAGTGTCCTTTGCTGCTTTGCTTTCCTCCCATTATGGGGAACTCACTACCTCCCAGCTCAGAATGTCAGACTTTTCCATTTGTGCCCTGAGCGCTCTCTCCAGGTTCACAAGCCAAGGGAAGAGCAGATGAAAAAGCTTGTTATCTTCCTTCCATTCTGGGGAGTGGGGGAAAGGGTAGTGGGTGGAAAGTCCTTCACCAACCCCTTCCTGAGGGGTTTGGGACCCCTCCCTTGACTCCTTGCTCACGGGACCCTCCTGTTCTGCAGTAGAAGCCAGGCTGACTGTCCACATCTCTCAAGCCCCCAGGCCCTCTGGGTAGATCTGCCCCTGGCCACCGCTGGTCCCCAGTTTCTTTATTTGTTAAGTGGAGGGAGACCCAAGCATAGCCCCTGCAGGGAGCTCAGATGTCTCCTCAGTGGCGAGAACTTGGGGCTGTGGAGGCTCAGAGCTCCAGCCGGACAAGGACCTCAAGGGGCCGACGGCCACCCTCTTTTCTCACGACAGAGTTACAGCCATCCGGACCGGCTGGTGCTGGACCAGGGAGGGGAGATCTTTAAAACCTTACACTACCTCAGCAACCTCATCCAGAGCATTAAGACGCCCCTGGGCACCAAAGAGAACCCCGCCCGAGTCTGCCGGGACCTCATGGACTGTGAGCAGAAGATGGTGGATGGTATGAGGGCCGGCGGGGTCTGTCTCAAGTGAGGGCTTCCCGGCCCCAGGGGCGGGGCAGGGCGGGGCAGGGGATTCCAGAAGGAGCTGAAGGAGATGGTTAACTGCTCTAAGACAGAGCACGTAGCCATTACATTCTCTGCTCAACTGGACCGACTGTCTGTCCTTGGAGAGGCAGTCATTTATTCACTCAACAAACAGTCACAGAGCCCCACAGTGTGCCAGGCATCGCACCTCCTGGGGCGTGGGGATATGGTGGGAAACACAGAGGATGGGTCCCACCCTTCCAGAGTTGAACCCGCAGGTCCACAAGCTGGGGATGACCACTTCACTGCAATGGGCCAAGAGCTTTGGCAGAAAAAGCCCCCAGGGCCAGGAGGGCCCCCATCATAGCTCCCCTGGAGAGCCAGGATTCCCGTTTCTGTCCTCCGCACCTCATCCAACTCCTCTCTCTCCGTGAGCTGTGTGGTGCCTTGGAAGGACCACAGTTTTAGAGGCGGACAGACCTGAGTTCAAATGTCCATCCTGCCTCCAACCGGCTCTGTGAGCTGGGTGACCCTTCTCTCTGCTGCATGAGAAAGCTGTCCTACGCTATCAGCTGTGGGGCCTTTGGCTCCTTGGAAACCCAAAAGGGGAAACCGGGTGCCGGCAGAACTGCCTGGTTGATGGGATAGAAGCCCTGACTCCCACCAAGCTCGGGAGGATCAGAGCCTTGGCAGCAAAACCTTTCAATTGAATAATCCCTAAATCCCTCGGACAAGTGGCTCAGCCTCTCTCAACCTCAGTTTTCCTTTCTGGAAGATGATACTTCCCAGTGGCGACAAGGGGATGCTTCCCATGTGGCCCTGCTGAAGACTCTGCCAGCTCTGAGCTCTGCCAGAACGTTTCCTTCCATCACTACGGCTCACAGAATCCCTTTTCTGCTCCATCTCCCTGACTTCATGTCCCAATAGGACCCAGCAGGTGACCAGGTGTCAGATTCACCTGTAGAACCAAGCCTGGGGTTCCTCCCCGCATACGTACACCGCCCCCCATCCCATGTTGCCTATAGGTACCTACTGGGTGGATCCAAACCTTGGCTGCTCATCCGACACCATCGAAGTTTCCTGCAACTTCACACATGGTGGACAGACGTGTCTCAAGCCCATCACGGCCTCCAAGGTACCCATCTGCTCCCCAGCGCTCACTGGCTTGCCCTCTCTACGCCCCTCGTCCCCTGCCCTGGACCACAGTCCATCCAGGCTTGTGACTGAGCCTTAGCTATCTTGCTACATGACCTTGGGAATGTCATCTCCTCTTTCTGAACCCCAGTTCCACATCTCTACATTTGGTTTCCAAATCCTTTTGTGTTGGGCGATGCTTATGGCTCTTTTTTCAAATAGAACTTTCTGCCTAATGTCTAAGAGCAGTTAGCCAAGCTGGCTTGGCTTGGACAACTATGACCATAAGCACAAAACAAGTCAGCGTGATGGTCACCTGGGACACGTGTTCCAGGGTTGTGTATGCAAATATGTAGCTCATGTTTGGTGCCCGCTTACCACGCGATAGTCTCTGGGCTAAGAATTTTGGGTGGCCCAGGGCAACTCCAACAAACCACAGTGTGCAGCAGTGGGTGGAACATAACCACGCCCCTGGCTAGGAAGCCCCTCGCTGGATGGTGGGTCTGTAGTTGCAGCAAGTCCTCCAAATGAGACAATTCATGCTACAGAGAAAAGGGTTTCTCTGGCTGCAGGAGAGGTGGGACTCCAGAGCCCCCCAGGGGAAGCTCCGGAAAGTACTTTGTGCTGACCATGTCAGACCCAGAGTCTGAACGTCCGTAGCCCAGCCAGCTGGGTAACAAGTCTTGGCTGGGTCCCCACCATGTGCCAGGCACTGAGCCAGGTGCTGGGTTCAACAGGAAGCATGGCAGCCTCCACAAGCAGAGCTCACCGTCCAACAGATCCTTTCCCCTCTAACACAGAGGGTCAGCGGCTTTGTGGCAAACCAGCCCGGCAGACGGGTGAGGCTGGCACCTGGGTTGGCAATGTGACTGCCCATCTGAGTCGCCATCCCCATCAGGAACAATGAACCACTGTTCTGTGCTGGTCTCAGCCTAATGATAACCAGTGTTGTGGCTGGACCAGCCTCTCTGATTTTTATTAAGGTTGCAAAATGCCCTCCAGCAATAACCACCCGGAAACAGGAAAAAAAAAAAAACATAGAAAGGTTTATTACTTACAGGACCTGGAAATTACAGCACATCTGGGACCACAGAGTGAGGTCTCTGGTAGAGAGAGAAAGGGACAGTGCATCTCCTTGTATTGGAGGAGGAGGCTAGGATTTCATAAGTTCACTCTGTGCTGGTGAATTTAAAACCTAAGGGTGGGAATTTAAAGCAGGAGAAGAGAAAAAAATAAGTGGTCCAAATAGTTGTTGAAATCAACCAGAGCTCTAACACGAAAGAGCCGCAGTGTTGGGAGGTGGCCCAACCCTTCCAGCATTAGTCTGTGGGGCTGGCAGTGTGTTTATTGGAGATAACCTTCTTTGAAGTGTATGCCTCAACGATCAGAGCTTAACTCAGGCACTTGCATCCCACAGAAGAGGAGAAAACCCAACTGTCTGGGCTTATACTACCCTCTGCCCTGTGATGCCCTGTGATGCCCTGTGATGCCCTGTGATTGTGATGCCCTGTGATGCCCTGTGATGCCCTGTGATTGTGATGCCCTGTGATGCCCTGTGATGTGAGGCATCAAAGTCAACAGTGAGGACAGTAACCTCATGGGTAGCTGATATGTTAACAGTCAAGGGTCAGGCACCTTGAAACCCAGGAAATACACATCTGAACAGGATCACAGTAGAAAATCCTGTGATTATTATAGAGGCAATAGTCTGAAATTCAGTCGGGAGCTGTTGTCCCAAACTTGAAGGATCCCATAATGAAACTCAGTGATCTGAGGTACCCTAGAATCTGTTCCAAGATTTGTGTGATACTGTGAAGCATTTATACATCTTGGGCACCGTGTGTAAGTAGGTCAATCTGAATCTATCCTGAATAGGTAGATTGTTTCATATCTCATCCAACCAGTCTCTTGGCCCTGCTGCTGCTGCTGCTAAGTCACTTCAGTCGTGTCCAACTCTGTGCGACCCCATCCCTGGGATTCTCCAGGCAAGAACACTGGACTGGGTTGCCATTTCCTTCTCCAATGCATAAAAGTGAAAAGTGAAAGTGAAGTAGCTCAGTCATGTCTGACTCTTCGCGACCCCATGGACTGCAGCCTGCCAGGCTCTGCCGTCCATGGGATTTTCCAGGCAAGAGTACTGGAGTGGGGTGCCATTGCCTTCTCCCTCTTGGCCCTGGGAATAGGTCAATTCAGTAAAAGAGCAGTATCTTGTTTCAGGAGGCAGTGATATCCAAATAAGGTACAGTACAAGTAATCGGGTATTTAATTTAAAGAGGCATCTGTATGGAAACAAAAAATGTCAAGAATTCCCTGGCAGTCCAGTGGTTAGGACTTGGCGTTTTCATCTCCATGGTCCTGGGTTCAACCCCTGGTTGAGAAACTAAGATCCCACAAGAGGCATAATGTGGCCAAAAAACAGAAAAAAACGAAAAGTCAATGATTGGAGAAGATTATAATCCCAGTTTTTGAGTTCTAAAGGTACTAGTCAAGATTTCTAGATGTTGGGCTCCAAACATCTTCAGATGGAGTGAGGGCAGACAGAGGCAGTTTGATAGGTTTCCTTGGGTTGCAATTTGAATGTGTCTGGTGATCTTGCTGAGTGACCCACATGGCAACGGGCATGAAGATTGTCCATACATGAACAGCTGTGATGATCTCTCTGTAGTTTATACCTCGTTAGCCCAGTGTAGCTTGCATGGCTTTGGGAAACATGCAGTCTTCATTTTCAATAGAAAATGAAATCAGAAGGGTGGGAGAAAAACTGGAAACAATAGTTTGGAGAGTTGTACCTAGATATTGGAGGAGCCAAGAAGAATTCAGCATCCTATCCAATTTACAGGTAGAAAACAAAGTCTCAGATGATTAACAGACTAGAATCCAATGTCCACAACCATTGTCATCTGTACAGTCACCCCCATTTCTATTAAAGAGAGCCATAGAAAGACTAATTTATTTGCAAATTAAGTCTAATTTCAACAAATGTGGTTATTTACACAAGTGCAGCTAGAAAAGTGATTGACAACATGAAACTCTTTGCTGCTTTGCTGAAACCTTTCATAAGGAGTCTCAGATTGAATTTTAGAAGCTTCTTCAGGGCAAGAAACCAAGAACTAACCATCAGACTTTGCCTGGAATATCTGTAAATTTGGATAAATTCCTCTCTTCTCAAAGTGCTCAAAATATCTTCTGATACCTGTACCTGCCAGGAAGTGGCCTTCCTTACTCACCTGATAAGACTGCTGGGAACCCTGTAGTCAAGCTAACAGACCAATTTTTCCAAGGGTCTTTATTGGCTCCATGAAGTCAGCCTTAGTTCCTTAAGCGATCTGGTCGTATCAGAGTCTCTCTCTCTCTCTCTCTCTCTCTCAAATATGACAATCCAGTCAAAGCCTTGCTGATAACTAGTATTTCCAATTGTGTCCTGTTACAAGAATAGATTCTTACTGAGTTTAGGCAAATAACTATACTGCCATGAGAATAAGAAAACTCATAGAGTGAATTCTAGAAGGATCAGGTAGGGAGAAATAGCAATTATTTCATCTTTGTTCACAAAGGTATACTTCCCCAAATTGCTGTAAGTCATTGCTAACTTTAGAGAACAGTTTTCCTTAAAGGTGGAAACAAAGATTAGTAACTGCCAAACAAAAGTCATAAAAAATTATAATCATCCTCATCAGTTCATTCAGTCCTATGCAATTGATCACTGATCTTGATCTTTTGTTAGCAGTTTCATAAATCCAGTTTTTCCTTAGAGTTCTGTAAATTCATGCCCATTCAGTGGTATGATTTAAAAGTTATCAAAAATCTGTACTTGTGAGAGTCCTGTTCATGAATCTGAAGATGGAGCACTTTTGCAAAGGCATCAGAGTAAAGCAATAATTATAAATAACAAAAGAAATGACATTTTTCACGCCCACAGTTAAAGATCTGATGAGAGTTCATTATGATGAAGTTGACAAGGAAAATTTTGTTATTTCTGTAACACACAAAATTTTAGGATAACTGGAGTTATGATGGATAATATTACATATCAGAATTTCAGGAATTTCATATGATTTCTTAAATATTGTATTAGTAAAATATATCCATTTGAGGATATCCATAAAGAAGATGTAGCATTATTTCCTACTTGACAATATTTCCCATGTGATTTAACATATCAAATAAGCCTAATTAGTTTAGTGTCTCTCTTTTTATTAGGAAAGAGAAGGATATTTTGAGATGTTCCAAGGATCCTCTGGAAAACCCCAAAGTTACTTTCAGATTAAAAAAACCTCATTTAGAATTTGACTTGCAGAAGTTTGTCAAAAATATCAAAGATTTTCAACACTTGATTACAAAGAATCACAGATCATTATTTTTAAAAATGCTTAATTATCTACTTAGCTGAAGTGACAAAGGATTTTAAAAGCAAAATACAGAAGGTTCCATAGTTGTGAGCAAAAGTTAGCTCTTTTGGTATTAAGAAGACTGTTTTCTAGGTAACTAAAGATCCAATTAAGACAACATGAAGCTCAGGAGATTATTCTGATAAAACACAAAATCTTTGCTTTCTAGCCAGATTACTTAAAAACTAAAGAATAACTTTTCATACTTTTAACAGGAGCAGATCAATACTCCAAGAAAATGTGTCCTTTTAGCAAATGAAAGAAAATTATATAAGAACATTATTGATATTAGCTTATGTTTTAAAAGCCTCTTATAATAACAATCCAATTTTAGCCAACTTGACCACACAAAAAAATTCTTTTTCTCTCTTCTGACAATATGATTAAACTATCTATAAAATCTTCATTAGACAGTAGACAAAGTCAGCTATCATCCCAAGCTAATTTTTTTTGTAATAAAAATAACATGGATTTATTTGGCTAGTAAACACTGGAAAAGTTGTCTGTCTGCAGTATATTTAATGTTGTTAACTCTGAAGACATACCTATTTTAATTAAAACAAATTTAGGCTAGCTTTTATTTACCAAAGGTTATCCCAGATCACATGAACTTGAAAAAATTTAGATTAGTTTCTGTATTTCTGAATGTTAGGAGTAACTAATACATAAGTGCTTATTTTTAAGCCAATTGAACAGAGCTCTTTTACACATTAACTTTGGCTATACTATTCAGAGATAGAGAGAAAAAAAAAACACATACTCATCCAGAGATTACAAAAACACACAGACCCTGAGACCCTATAGCTTCCTTTCCAAAATTTTAGCCATGAATCAGATACAATATAAAACTCACTTTTTTATAAATAACATTTGGCTCCAAATTGTGTCTGGCAGACAGAACAAGTTAAAGTTACCTGCTTCAGCAGCTAATACTTTCTACCAATATTTGTGGAGGTGACTTAGGATCTGTATTGGTTCCTGACAAGTAATCTTAAGGAGGATGTGGACTAGATATTGCTTTTATAGCAGTTTGTATTTTGAAAGGTCCCTTTCTCTGCTGTTATTTTATTTTTTTTTTTCTTCATACTCAGGCAATTGTAGGTAGAGTTTTAGTTATCTCCTGGGGTGTTTCCATTTCAAAGATTTAATCTTCAAGGGACAGAGAAAGAATATAAATTTTCTTCTAGGAGTTTTAGTCCCTTTTGTATGGTTTTGGCAGTTCCAATAAAATGTTGTAGTACTGCCCTGTAATTAGGGTAGTGCTCTATTAAAATAATTCCCTGGGTCAAATGGGGCCTCTTTGGAGTTGAAAATGAAGAGGGGGTCATCTGGATAACCACAACTGTGGAAACGGTAAACCCACTAGATCAGGCCAATTTTGTGCAGCAGGAGATGGGCCTCATCTTAATGTTTTCCGTTCACTGTGAGCCTTAGCAGTGATCACCAGGATGGGAGGATGCAACCACGCCAAGAATAAACATCCAGGAGAGGAGGGGCCCTGGTGGAGCATCAGTGGTCTCGGGTCCTTTCCTCCCCAGCTCCCTCTTTCTTATCCAAGACGGCGAGATTACCCTTTTCAGCTTTTCCCTTGAGGGATGCATTATAGCGTGTGTTTCTTAGTTCTGCCTTGTTCAGGGGAAAGCCCAGGGAGCTGAAGATCTTGGAGGAAATGAGCGTATAGCCTAGATGGATCTTTAAGAAAGATTATGGATTTTAGGGTCTTTAGAAATATTGGCCAGTTGATGCATTTTGGCAGCCTTGAATAACAACAATTGAGGGCCTATAACAAACAAATCAACCCTCCCAAATAGCCAGTTAGCGCCTTTCTTTCCATCCTGCTGCATAAAATATTTAAGAAAAATTTGGATTTCATATAAGGTATAGTTTTTCATCTCAGTTTCTACTTCTTGATTTTCTCCTATTATCTTAATACAAAGTGGGTTACAGGAAAAGTTTGGATGGCACTGTGAACCGTCTTCCCAGCTGGCCGCTTTCCTTCCCAGGGTGTTCCAAGAGACCTCTTCGGGACTGAGGTCTGCGGCCACTCACATGATGTGTGTGGGGTCTTTGGGAAAAGCCGTCAGGCTCCTGGAGTGAGATATCAGAGACTTGGCATGTTGGTATGCCCCCCGGGATGCTTCCATGGGGCTTTGCCTTTATCAAGAAACCCCCTCAGTATTCTTAGGAGATGCTGACATCAGATGTTTAGGACATTTATATTTGCCCATTAATTCTTTGAGTAACATCACATCAGGGATAGGAGCCATAATACCCCATTGGGTCAGGGATGAAGAATGACAGTGATGAGTGAAGCTTGGACCGTGGAGACCATAGACCTCTGTTATGTTTTCCGTCTGCTGGTCCCCTGGTTTCCAGTTGCAAGGCTATTGCACTTTTCTGGCACAACCACCAACTCTGTGGTCGTAGGTGGAGGTCTCCTATCCTCCCTATGTACAGGAATATTTCTCTTATGCCTTTATCCCAGAACCTTGCCTTGGGCAGTGACATAGCCTTGTGATCCAATTCACTGTCCTTAACTCTGCCCAAGGCATGGAGCAGCTTTTATTGTTGTTGTTGTTTAGTCGCTAACTTGTGGCCGACTCTTTCTCCACCCCACGGACTGTAGCCCGCCAGGTTCCTCTGTCCATGGGATTTCCCAGGCAAGAGTACAGGAGTGGGTTGCCATTTCCTTCTCCAGGGGATCTTCCCAGCCCAGGGATCTAACCCACCCAGAGGACCTTTATACACATTAATTGTCAATTAAGGCCTTTATTGGACCATAAGGAAAGCTGAGTGTTGAAGAATTGATGCTTTTGTCTCGTGGTGCTGGAGAAGACTCTCGAGAGTCGCTTGGACTGTGAGGAGATCAAACCAGTCAATCCTGAAGGAAATCAACCCTGAATATTTATTGGAAGGACTGATGCTGAAGCTGAAGCACTAATACTTTGACTACCTGATGCAAACAGCTGACGTTAGAAAAGACCCTGATTCTGGGAAAGATTGAAGGCAGGTGTAGAAGGGGATGACAGAGGATGAAACGGTTGGATGGCATCACTGACTTAATGGACATGAGTTTGAGCAGGCTTCAGGAGATGGTGAAGGACAGGGAAGCCTGGCATGCTGCAGTCCATGGGATCGCAAAGAGTCAGACACAACTCTTTATAAAAAGTCAGACACTTTATAGTCAGTGGTCTCAGTGGCTAGTAAGAGCCTGTGGCCTTGATCACACTGCTCTGGGAAGACTGTTGGATTATCAAGGCAGGTGTGACCTTTTGGGTTGGATCTTCTCCGGTGGCTCAGCAGTAAAGAATCCGCCTGCAATGCCGAAGATGGAGCAGGAGCTGCAGGTTCGAGTCCTGGGTTGGAAAGAGCCACTGAAGAAGGACATGGCCATCCATTCCAGTATTCTTCCCTGGAAAATCCCATGGCCAGAGGAGCCTGGTGGGCTATAGTCCATGGGGTTGCAAAAGAGTCAGACACGGATTGGTGACTAAACAACAGCAATAACAATCACAGAAATGTGCAGAAGCACACAGCAGTGAGACAGATTCCTTTCCCAGATGCTAACACCCACCTGAATTAGGTGGTTAGTAAGCAAGCTGCGGGTCAGGGGCATCCTTTCCATGGATTGCAAGGGAGATTGTGCAGTCCTGCCTACTATGCCAATTGTTATATACCTCTCAATCTATCAATCAACAACCATGTCATGGTTGGACCAGCCTTCGTGGTTCTTATTAGGATTTCAAGATGACCTTCAGCAGTTACTATCAGGAAACTTTGAGAAAAATAAAGGTTTACTATGTATAGGGCCTGGGATTTACAGAGCCCCCCTGGAGCCACACACTGGGGTCATGGGTAGAGAGAGAGAGAGAGTGCATGGGCCTGGGGTTCTGCTTTTATTGGGGTGGGGGTGCACTAAGGTTTCACAGGCTCAGTCTTCATTGGTGAATTTAAAATATAAGGGCCAGAATTTAAAGCATGGAGAAAGAAAAAAGAAGTAGCCCAAGTGGTTGGTTATTGAAATCAATCCAGAGCTCAAAAACAAAGGAGCCTCAGTTCTGGAGGTGGCCTGGCTGTTTATCTAGTCCTGTGACTGGCAGGGTATTATTTATAGGAAGTAGTCTGTCTTTGAAGTGGATGCGTCTTTTAAGTGGATGTCTCAGCAATCAAAGCTTAAGTCAGGCACTCGAATCACCAAAAAGAAAGAAAACCCAACTGTCAGGACTTAGAGTACAGCCATTTAAGCCCTAAATCCTGCCCTTTTGTTTGCTGTCCGCTCTGCCTTTTCCAGCAGCACCACCCCGCCCCACCTGGAGCTTAGGACTTAGAAACGTGGTGAATCCACTTCTCCTTTCCTTTGCCCTCTAAGAGCCTCTCGATCCCGGGCAAGATCCTCTCCCTCTCTGAGCCTCTGTATCCCAGCTCAGCCCCGGAGACAGTACATCAGGACGCTCCTGGCTCTGGCTGGAGTCAGGCAGACTTGGTTCTTTCCCTTCCTTACTCCTTGGCTGTGGGACTAACTCACACCCACCTCAGTATTTCTGTCTTTCGAGTGAGCAACACCTCTGGGGACCATGACTGGGAACTGCTTCCCAGGAAAGGGCTTGTGCCTGGACCTTCCAGGGGAAGGTGAGGAAATCGGAGCGTTGGTGGGCAGCCAAGTCCAACCCTGCCTGACCGCTGTGTCTCCTCCACAGGTGGAGTTTGCCATCAGCCGGGTCCAGATGAATTTTCTGCACCTGCTAAGCTCTGAGGTGACGCAGCAGATCACCATCCACTGCCTTAACATGACCGTGTGGCAGGAGGGCACCGGGCAGACCCCAGCTAAGCAGGCTGTGCGCTTCCGGGCCTGGAACGGGCAGATCTTTGAGGCCGGGGGTCAGTTCAGTCCAGAAGTGTCCATGGATGGCTGCAAGGTAACTCTTGGGGCCCCTCATAGGCCCCTCATGCACAGACAGGTATAAAAACGTGTTCTTACATATAACAATTTTATACTATACTGTATTAGTATACCATATACTATACTATATTAGTATACTATGCCATAATTTATACTATACTATAATATATATTAGTATAATTTTATACTATAATATAATATAAATATTAGTATGCATATAATTCTTATCTTTGTGTAATAATTTTTTATAGCAGTTTTATAAAATTGCTTTCATCCTCTTTCCTCCCTGGGAAACTTTCAAGGGAAGGTCTGGGCTGGTAGATTGGTACTTATTTGCGAGGCTTACTTATAGAAGGAAATATTTCTACTCTTCTCTCTGCTCCCTGCCCTCCGGTTAATTTCTTCTCTTAACCTGGTTGTTTTCTGAGGCTTAAAACAGGCTGAGTTATAATTGAAGAGGGAGACAGAAAGTCGTCCAAAAAACCAGTCTCATAATATTAAACAAAACCAGTAATGCGCAGTGTTACTGAGGATGTGGGGAAACCCAACACTCTCACACAAAGCTATTTGGAAAAATTAAAAATAAATTGGTAGAGGTTTTCAGGGCAGCAGCTACATATATATCTCCAGTATATATCCAGAGCCTTACAAATGTACCTATCCTTTGATCCAGCAAATCTATTGATACTTCTGGAATTTGTTCTAAGGTAACAATGTGCACAAGTTTAGCTACAATGATATTCATGACAGCTTTACCTGTAGGAATCAAAATAGTGGAAGCAATCTAAATGGACACATACAGGTCATTGTGACAGTGAAACGCCATGTGGACATTAAAAATTGTGAAGAAAGATGATGAAAGGGAGAGCTTTCCTGGTGGTCCAGTGGTTAAGAATCCACCTGCCAATGCGGGGGCCACAGGTTCGTTTCCTGGTCCGGGAAGGTCCCACATGTCTCAGAGCAGTTAAGCCCGTGAACCACAGCTGCTGAGGCCTGGGCATCCTAGAGCCCATGCTCTGCAACAAGAGAAGCTGTGGCAATGAGAAGCCTGTGTAATGTAACTAGAGAGTAGCCCATGCTTGTTGCAACTAGAGAAAGCCCTCGCACAGCGAAAAAAAAAACCCGGTGCGGCCAAAATGAAAATAAGTATTTTAAAAAGAAGAAGAAAGATATGGGGAAAGGCATGTGATACATGATGAGGACCATGATGGGTGTGTGTGTACTCCTTTCTCTCTACCCTCAGATCCAGGATGGCCGCTGGCATCAGACGCTCTTCACCTTCCGGACCCAGGACCCCCAGCAGCTGCCCATTGTCGGCGTGGACAACCTCCCTCCTGCCTCATCAGGGAAGCAGTACCGCCTCGAAGTTGGACCTGCGTGCTTCCTCTGACCTCTGACCTCCTGGCTCCTCTAGGCCTCGAGGAGGAGGGAAGAGGAGAAAGAGGCAAAGGGAGGGTACCTAGGGGTAGGTGGGCCCAGGAAAGGCAGCTCACCTGCCCAGGGATCCTTGAGCAGACCCCAGCTGTTGTCTGCCCAGTGGAAGAGGCTGATGGGTAGCAGGACACATGGGGTGTCCTTGGGAACAGCTGATCCCAACTCAGCCCCAAACACCAACCAAAGAGCCGGCCAGAGCAAGCTGGGCCTGCAACCCGTCTGAGCCCCATGGCCTGTCTCCCAGCAATGCGGCCACCCCTTCCCTGCCCAGCTTCCTGCCCAAAGAGCCCCACCTTCCAGCCAGCTTGAGAGAAGGGGGCATCTTGTCAGCTGGTCCCTGCCGGGGAGCTTTGATGTGCAATATTAGAGAGGAGACATGAAAAAAGGAGAAAAGGAAAGAAGTATATATATATTATTTAAACAAACACAAAGAAGGTGCGTTACTATTTTTTTTTTTTCATCTGAGAAAGATGTGAGAAGGTGAGAGAGCAGCCAGGGGGTGGGAAGTGATGGATGCAGAGAGGGAGAGGTGAGATCCTCGGGGCCGGGGGTGTCCACATCTGCTACCTCCCACTGTGAAATCGCTGGTGCTCACAATTGTCTTGTAGTGTATGTGATTTTTTAAGGAAAAAAAAAACTCTATTTAAGATTCTGAAGGTGCTACCATTTTTGCCACAGACTTTGAAGAAACATTTAGATGTGGGGTATCATCCACGTTTTTCTCTCTCCTCCAAATAACAAAGTTCGGGGAATTTTAAAAATTTTCCTAATGTCACCCTTGTGCTCATCAGGTAATCTGTTAAGGAGGTGGGGAAAGAAGGTAAAAGTGAAAAAAAAAAAAAAAAGCAAAGCAAAAAAACAAAAACAAAAAATAACCAGAAACAGAAGTAGGAAAGATTTACCTTTTAACTTATGGACTTTGAAATGTTTGTCCTCTGAAGGCAGGGGGAGGCCTGAGCATGAAGGATCTTATTTTGGCCTTTCTTGGTCTTGGAGGGAAGTTAGCTTATCTTGGATGGCGTGATCTAGACTGAGGAGTCCTGACCTTGAGCTTCGACCTTGAAGAAACCAATGAGGAGAATGGCGCTGGGTCAGGACTGGCCTTGGAGGTGGAATGTAAATACGGACCCATCTCATGAAGGCACAGACCATCTCCTAAGGTCTTCCATTCTGGAGCTTGTCCTTCCAAGATAACAGTCATCACTCTTGCTTTTTTACTGTCATTCAATTCTGTAGAAACCCAGTGTTGCTAACTCCAAGTGTAAATGTGGGCGCAGGAGAAAGGCTTGTTATGGGAATCTCAGAGTTCAGCATGGCAGGGCTCACCAGGGTCATCTGAATTGTCCTGTATCAGTGAACCAGTCAGCATCCAGGTTGGATTTTTGAGGTCATTTTAACTATGGAATTATTTTTATAGAAGGGGAAATTTTATGTGAAAGTCTATTTGTGTCTCTCTCTCTTTTTTTTTTTCTTTCTAAAGTTGTGTCTCTTTGGGAATTGGATTTGATTTTCATTATTCAATACCTCACTCCGGCCCGCCCCCATGCCCCGCCCACCGCCCCCTTGCTCCCGGAAGTGCGTTTTTTGTAGCAGCTCGGGCCTCATCTCAGCCCTCGGTCTCCCAAGCCGCCAGTCTCCACCTGGCCTCTGTCTCGGCGTCTGTCTTGTCCTTGGGTTTCTCTGCTGTCCTCGTTCACGTCTCTGTCCACATGTCAGTGTGTTAAAACCCAAGTGGGTTCTGTTTCTCCTTTTCCCTTCTGGATTTTAAATAAATATTTAAAACTGAGGCAATGGAATGACGCACCTGTGGCCGCGTGCTTCTTTGAAGAGACCGGAGGGATGTTTCTGGCAGGGCTGAGGGTTGGAGGAGGTGTGGAGGGGTGGTGGGGTGCCCTGTTTATGCTGCTTCCCCCAAAGGAGAGGGGACAGGGAGAGATGTGGTGCCTCGGAGTGAGAGGGCCTAAAAACGAGGGAGTCGGGTCCTGCAGGGTCCCACTGGTTTCTTAGGGCTGCTGTAACAGTACCACAAGCCTGGTGCCTTAGAAGAGCAGAAAAGGGCTTGAAGATCAGCTGCCATCATGAAGGGCAGGGTAACTATCCGAACCAGGAAGTTCATGAGCAACCGACTGCTTCAGCGGAAATGCATGGTCATCGACATGCTTCACCCCGAAAAGACAACAGTACCTAAAACAGAATATGTGGGAAACTGGCCAAAATGTACAAGACCACGCCAGATGTCATCTTTGTGTTTGAATTCAGAGCCCATTTTGGTGGTGGCCAGACTACAGTGCTGGAGAAGACTCTTGAGAGTCTCTCTTGGCTTTGGCATGATTTACGATTGCTTGGATTATGTGAAGAAGAAGGAATCCAAACAAATATTTGCAATACATGGCCTGTATGAGAAGAAAAAGACCTCAAGAAAACAGCAAAAGGAACACAAGAACAGAATGAAGAAAGTCAGTTCAGTTCAGTTGCTCAGTTTTTTAATTTCATGGCTGCAGTCACCATCTACAGTGATTTTGGAGCCCCCAAAAATAAAGTCTCTATTTCCACTGTTTCCGCATCTATTTGCCATGCGGTGATGGGACCGGATACCATGATCTTAGTTTTCTGAATGTTGAGTTTTAAGCCAACTTTTTCACTCTCCTCTTTCACTTTCATCAAGAGGCTTTTTAGTTCTTTGTTGCTTTCTGCCGTGAGTGTGGTGTCATCTGCATATCTGAAGTTATTGATATTTCTCCCGGCAGTCTTGATTCCAGCTTGTGCTTCATCCAGCTGAGCATTTCTCATGATGTGTTCTGCATATAAGTTAAATAAGCAGGGTGACAATATACAGCCTTGCTGTTCTCCTTTCCCAATTTGGAACCAAGCTGTTGTTCCATATCCAGTTCTAACTGTTGCATCTTGAACTGCATACAGATATCTCAAGAGGCAGATCAGGTGGTCTAGTATTCCCATCTCTTGAAGAATTTTCCACAGTTTATTGTGATCCACACAGTCAAAGGCTTTGGCATAGTCAATAAAGCAGAAGTAGTTGTTTTTCTGGAACTCTCTTGCTTTTTCAATGATCCAGTGGATGTTGGCAATTTGACCTCTGGTTCCTCAGCCTTTTCTAAATCCAGCTTGAACATCTGGAAGTTCATGGTTCACGTACTGTTGAAGCATGCCCCTGGAAACCTCTAATCTGCTTTCGGGGTCTCCATAGATTTGTTGACTATGGATATTTTGTGTAAATGGAATCTTAATGATATCTGACCTCTTGTGAATGAATGCTTTCATGCAGCATGATGTTTTCACCTTATAGCATGGATCAAGGCTGCATTCTTTTTCACAGCTGAATAGTATTTCATTATGTGGATAGACCAAATTCCGCTTATTCATTCATGCATTGATAACCCGTGGGTTGTTTCCATCTTTTGGTGATTATTAGTAGTGCTTCAATGTGAACAGTTCTTAGCTGTGAGATTCTTGAGAGAAGCCCCCGCAGCACCTGCTTTGGAAGAAGCGAGTGAGAACCTGGCAGACAGAGTTAGCCAGAGTCAGTGAATAGATATACAGACACACAGATGAATTTGAATTTCAGGTAAACAGTATCGGGACTCCCCAGGTGGCTCTAGTGGTGAAGAATCCTCCTGCCGATGCAGGAGACGCAAGAGATAAGGGTTCAACCCCTGGGTCAGGGCGATCCCTTGGAGTTGTAAATGGCAAACTGTTCCAGTACTCTTGCCTGGAAAATTCCATGAACAGAGGAGCTTGCTGGGCTACAGTCCATGGGGTCCCAAAGAGTCGGACCCGACCAAGCAACTGAGCACACACACACACACATGCACACATACACACGTCCCATTCAGTATCTGGTGTATACTTTTATCCGCCAGACCTGAAATCCATATCTCCTGACTCAGTTCAGAGTACTTTAGCTTGTTCCTCCTTTCCTGGGATGTTGAAGAAATCAGAACATTTCTGCCCTTCTCATTTGCAAGAAAGAACAAATCATGAGAAGCTGAGCTCATATCCAGGATTTTATGTTTTAAAGACTAGCTGTAAGGTTCTAGGTTATCAGTCCACAACTGGGTCTTCTCTACCCTCCCCATCCTGGCATCTGTCCCAGACTACGAGCTCCTGGAGCCTCTGTCCTTCTGTGACTCTAAGACTTCCATCCATGGAGCCCAGGGTTTGTGGTCTGGAAGGGCTTGGAGATTTTCACATCCTAGATACACTCTCCTGTTCGACAAAGAGGTACCTTATGGTTCAGTTCAATTGACATAAAATGAATCATCACAAGCTAAGGCTAAGAGAGAATGAATAGAGGTTAGTCAGGCAGGGAAAGGCATTGGGAAGAGAGGGAACAGTTAAGGCCTGGAAGTAAAGAAGCACTGCATATCTGGGGAGGAGCAAGGAGTCCCAGGTGGCACTGGTGGTAAAGAACTGCTTGCCCATGCAGGAGACGTAAAAGACACAGGTTCAATCCCAGGGTCGGGAAGATCCCTTGGAGGAGTGCTTGGCAACCCACTCCAGTGTTCTTGCCTGGAGAAGCCCGTGAACAGAGGGTTCTGGAAGGCTACAGTCCATAGGGTCGCAGAGAGTCAGACACGACTGAAGCGACTTAGCACGCTTGCATACAAGTAGTTCAAAGTGGTACCAGAGGGTCAGGGGAAGCCTGGGATATTGGGTTAGGAATAGGACAAGCCACAGGTTTGTAGAGGAGAGCAGGGTTTACATTGGCCAGATGGAGTCTGTGCTGTGATGGGGCACTTGAGCAGAGCTGTCCAGGGGCAACTGACCAAACTGAGGACAGGACAGAGGTGTGCAACCCAGTCTGTGTTCCGGAGAGTCACCAGCTGTGAAGATGTGAAAGGTGAGAGAGGCAGGAAGAAGGGCCAGAGGGAAAAGAGAAGAGGAGGTATGCTAAAGCTGCGCCGCTCAGCACCCTCGGCACAGGCTCCCTTCCAAGGAGGCCTCTGTGACCTGACCGGGGAAGCCACTGAAATGGGGCCAGCTTGTTCCCAGCAAGGGCAGGTAGAGAGTGTCAGGGACAGAAGACAGCTCTTCCCGACACAGCTAAGGTGGACATCCCCAGGGGAAAGCCCAGGCCTGTGTTCACTCTGTCCCCCGTGAATCAAGCCCTAGCCAAGGACAGCCATATTTCACAATGGCCAGCAGCCTGGTGCTGGGTAAGTGAGAGAGGGATGGGGGAGAAGTGGGGAGGCCGGCAGGTGGATTCCAGTCTCAGCTTCCAACTGTCACGTGGCCCTGGGCAAGTCATTCTCTCTGGGTCTCCGCTTTTCCCCAGCAAAATGGGGGTGACTTGTCTTTCTCTGGTTGCCAACCACAGACCAGGTGATTGTTCTATTCATACAATAGTTGGATGAGCCAAGTGAAATGGAATGATATTCAATTTTTTTTAATCTCTGAAATCCACAGTTTTCATATGGTTCAACCCCTAATAACACCCTTCAAAATAACAGTGGTTACTTGCACACTTTCTGTGAACCAGGAGGCATGTGGAATGTGACCCGTGTTCATCTCACGCACAGTCTCGGAGACACATGTTATTGCCCTGGCTCTTCCGATGAGGGAACTAAAGTCCAAAGAGGTTACAAAAGTTACACAAGATCACAAAACAGGATCTGGACTTGGGCAAATATTTTGGGGGTATTTCCTCAGTCCAGACACAAAGTTCTTAATGCAGACTGTTTGCTCTGCTGGTGTGTTCTTGTGTCGGCTCATGCAGAAGATCACGTATGAGTTGTCAGACAGAGAGCTCAGCCCTGGCTCGTATAAAATGGCCAGAAATACGTACAAAGTGGTTTTCTTAGGAAGTGAATCATTTCAGACTGGTGCCTTTCCCTGGTTGCCATGTCACCTTAACCCTCCGTGTGTATGTTAGTCACTAACTGTGTCCGATTCTTTGCGACCCCGTGGACTGTAGCCCTCCAGGCTCCTCTGTCCATGGGAATTTTTCAGGCAAGAATACTGGAGTGAGTTGCCAGTTTCTTCTCCAGGGCATCTTCCTGACCCAGGTCACTGGTTTTCTCATTTATCTAATGTGGGGTGGGGAGATATTTCCTGAATCTAATAGAGACATATTTTTGCATGTTGGTATCTTGAGAAGGGGGATGTAACTTGCTATCAACTGAAGTATTTATGTAATGCAGGAGTCTGTCTTTCCTTCCTCACCACCCCACTTCTCATTAAACAGATGGTGATGACTATTATAATAGGAGAACCCTTAGAAGCAAGTTTGTTTCATCTAATATTTAGTTCATCTAAATGTGAACAGATTGAATGCACATAACAATCCAATGAGTAGAATTTATTACTATTATCCCCACTTTACAGCTAGGGAAATTGAGACAAGAGAAGTTAGATAACTTGCCCAAGGTCACACAGTTAGCAAGTAGTAAAACTAGGACATCTGGTCCCATAACTTCGTGGCAAATAGAAGGGGAAAAGTTGGAAGCAGTGACAGATTTCCTCTTCCTGGGCTCTGAAATCACTGTGGTTGGTGACTGCAGGCGTGAAATTAGAAGATGGTTGCTTCTTGTCAGGAAAGCTATGACAAACCTAGACAGTGTGTTAAAAAGCAAAGACATCACTTTGCCAACAAAGATCGGTATAGTCAAGGCTATGGTCTTTTCAGTAGTCATGTACGGATGTGAGAGCTGGACAATAAAGAAGGCTGAGCACCAAAGAATTGATGCTTTCAAACTGTGGTGCTGGAGAAGGCTCTTGAGAATCCCTTGGACAGCAAGATCAAACCAGTCAATTTGGGGAAATCAACCCCGAATACTCTTTG